TGAGCTTAAAAAGGGGGAGAAGCAGTTCCGTTCCCAGGCAACCACATTTTGACTCCCGAACGCCTTCGACTCGCCGCGGCCCACCTCACACCCATGGATACCACGCTTGACAAGATTAAGGCCGCCCAGGCCTCTGATCCCCTCGCTAAGACCATTCGCGAAAACTCAAGATACCCCTGCCCAAGAACCGAGGAAACCCAAGATCGTATCAAGCGGTTCTCAGATGAAGATGGGATCCTGCTGCACGATAACCTGGTCTATGTCCCCACCAACGAGCTCCGAGCTGAAGTCTGCCACGACATGCACGATACACCCCTAGCCGGCCACTTTGGGATGTCCAAGACGCTCGAACTCGCCTCCCGCAACTACTGGTGGCCCAGCCAGTGGCGCTTCGTCAAGGCCTACGTCAAGTCCTGCGAACCTGTAGCCAAGCGAAATCCAGTCGACACAAACCTGGCCTACTCCAGCCCAACAGTATCCCTACCCGCCCTTGGGGATCTTGGTCCCTGGACTTCATCCACCGGTCTGCCTCCCGTTGATGGGTACAACTCATCCTGAACGTCAACTGTCGCCTCACCAAGATGGCCCACTTCATTGCCTGCAGCGAGTCAGAATCCGCCGAGTCCACCGCCGACCTAGTCTTCCACAATATCATCCGTCTCCATGGCCTCCCTGACAACATCATCTCTGACCGAGGCCCCCAATTCAACTCCCGCTTCTGGCGCCGACTCCTCGAACTCCTTGGAACGGAAGCCAGCCTCTCCTCCGCTTTCCACCCCCAGAGCAACGGCCAGACGGAACGCACCAATCAGATCCTGGAGCAGTATCTCCGATGCTTTTGCAACCACCAACAGGACAACTGGAAACGGCTTCTGTCGTCCGCCGAGTTCGCCTACAACAACACCCACCAGTCCGCTTCCCAGACCACCCTCTTCTACGCCAACAAGGGTCTCCATCCCCGCTTCAGTTTCGCTGCCTCTGCTACCTGCGAATCCGTCAACCCCGCCGCTGAAGCCCGCCCTAAACAAATCAGGGAAGTCCATGAACAGCTCGTCCTTGAGCTCAAGGAAGCGCAAGATCGAATGAAGCGCTACGCCGACGCTAAGCGAATTCCTGGACCGGACTTCAAGCCCGGCGACCACGTCTTGCTCCTCTGCAAAAACCTCTAGACAACCCGGCCCTCTCAGAAACTCGACCATCGCAAGATTGGGCCATTTCCCATTGTTGAATAGATCAATCCAGTCGCCTACTGGCTCAAGCTCCCGCCTACGTACAAACTCCACGATGTCTTCCATGTCTCGCTCCTCGAACCCCGCTTCACCATCCCCGAACGACACGAACCCGAACCCGCGCCCCAGAGACCGTTGAGGGTCAAGAAGAGTGGGTTGTCAAAGCCATCCTTGACTCTCGCATCCATCGTCGTCGCCTTCAGTACTTGGTCAAATGGCAGGGCTAGGCCTGACTCTGAGAACACCTGGGAGCCCTGTGGAACACCTCACCCATACCGACGCACTCCTCAAGGACTTCCACAGCGCGTACCCCAACAAGCCTTCCTCTGTCCCCTGTAGCGCCCTCCTCTGCAACCACACCAAACTCGACGCCGCCGCCACCGCCGCTAAAGAGAGGGGTGATGTTATGGACGACGCGCCCATACCATAAGCTTACCTACTGACAGCCGCCAATGTCAACCGCCAAATGTCAAACGCCAATGTCAATGTCAATGTCAGTGTCAATGTCAGTGTCAATGTCAATGTCAATGCCACTCCCCCTCTCTCCTCTCATTTCGCCAATCCTCCCGCAATATCGCCACTCCTCCTCTCTCCTCTCATTTTGCCAATCCCCCCTTGGCTTCTCCACATCCCCACTACTTCTCCATAGCCAGCAGCTGTAGCAATGCTCTCTACGCTCGCCACGCACGCTCTAGGAGCATAGCTGGCGCCCCCCCAGTCCCCTCTTGTTGTTGTTGTTCTCTGGCCTGCTGGGTTGCCTATCTATAAATAGCCGGCCTCTCTTCGTCCATTCCCTTCCTCCCCAGCAGATCAACACCAGTTCTTCTCATCTACTGTTCTAGTCCTTGTTTCTTGTTTCGCCAATACAATCTCTTGTCGCCTATCGCTCTCGCTCTGTCTTCTCTTCTTCGCTTCCGCCTCTGTCGTCGAGATCTTAACAGGTAGGGGACCATCATCTTCTTGATTGTCTTGATGACGTTCTCCGTCTTGCCGTCGGTCTGTTTGTGTCGTGCCGACGAGAGTTCCTGCTCTATGCCGGCGCACTTCAGAAGGTGCTTCCAAAAGGCGCCGGTCCATTTGGTGTCCCAATCGCTGATGATCGTGTGGGGCATGCCCGTGATGCGGAAGGCCTGGTCAAAGAACAGCTGGGCGAGTTCCTTTGCCGTCACCTTGGCGTGGGTCTCGAGGAGGATTACGCGGCTGGATAAGTAGTCCACCAGGATGAGGACGGCTCCCTTGTCCATGACGGACTCCTCTCCCGCTTCCCCCCCCTTAGAGTTCGTTGTGGGGAAGTAGATGTAACGTCAGAGGAAACGTAGACGATATTGGGCCCTTCTGAGAGGGCTGAGAGCAGTATATTGTAGTGAAGAAAAAAGTAAGAAGCTCTTCGCAGCGGCCGCTGGACTGACAGCTTTATATATGGGCTCCCAGTGGGGCTTGCGTGGCTTCAGTGAGGCTTGGCGCCTTATGTAATGTATCACCGAGAGCTCGGGTGGCCAGCCCGGGTCTCGGATCAAGTAGAAGTAAAGAGATATAATATGAAATACAAGTGAAGATGAGATATCCCCGACAGCTTGGGTGGATTGCGGAGGCGCCCAATACGAATACCCTTCATCTCCCAAGACCGAGAGCGCTCATTCGGTAGTCGCGGACGGGGCGAGGTCGATGCCCACAGAATGATGCGATTTGAGTCAGGCGAGATTGGCGACGACATCCACGCGCGACGTTCTTTTGGAGGTGCTATGGAAATTCAGCGACGGGCGATGGACATTTTGGCGAGTTCCTCCCACCGATGTTCACACAGAGGATCATTGAGCATCCCGCTTTCCAACATCCCCGGGAAGTGACACACCTAACATCTGTGCGTCATTCCTTTTGCGTTGCAATCATACAAGCATTTCTATGATTTTTCGCGCATCAAACCCTTAGATCGGACTTTTCCTCTTGAGGCTGTGCAGCGCATCACATTTTTTCCAGCTATGGCAAACTGCGCCATACATCTGCATCCACTGGGCTGCGAGATGGTGTTTTCGGATTACGCTAAAGAAAGAAACTGGCTGAGTAGTGTGCGGTTTTCGGAATCCCAATAGTTCATATAGAGAAGCCCTTAGATCGGACTTTTCCTCTTTTCCGCCAAGCTTTTCCAGCTCCTGAGAATTACGCCTTACATCTGCATGCATGAGCCTTGCCGCCCTTGGATCCCTTCTTGCCGACACGGTTGTAAGTTTTGATGAAAAACTGGACAAACAGGAGGAGGTAGCTGCTCAAGATGACACAGCCGATGCCAGCAGCCAATGGAGTTCCTGAGCACGTTCCAAGGTTGAAGTTGGGGAGGATGTGGGCGAGGTGGGTGGACGAGAGGAAGATGTAGGTGGCGAGGTAGATGGCAGCGAGATCAATGACAAATTGAACGATCTGAAGACTATCCGATGAAAATGAATTAGCTCCTAGACGAACCTTTCACTGCATAGCGAATTGAACTCACGTGGTCAGGTACTTCTTCCACCAAACGGGCTTGGACGATACCGCGGTGCGGGCATAGTACTGGAGTGCGAAAGGGTCAGCGTTCTGCAAATACGGGTTTGCTGTGCACGGCAATGTCATTCGTATGTCGGTGTTGCGGGCGCCAAAGGTAAGATATGGAATGGAAGGGGTTCGAGCATGGTTCGCAGTTTGACGATGTATGTGCTGATGGCAAACCACACCAGGCCCCGGATGCGGATTGCGACATAGGTAAGCTTTCGTACATCTGCATTGAGTATACATATGCGCTATTTGCTCACGTACGAGTCGTAGGAGAGCATACGTTCCGCTACGCCTTGTACCCGCACAAAGGAAGCTTTGCTGAGAGCAATGTGGTTCAGGCTGGCTATGAGTTCAACGTGCCGTTGGTTATCTCGTACGTACCATCTGCTACAGATGATGCAAAACCCTGCCCATATCATTAACCCGATCCACGCTCCACAAAGTCCGACGCCAGTAGACTCGGCATCGTTCACCCCACGTCAGTTCTTTTCCATTAACAAACCGAACATTGTGCTGGACACCATCAAAATCGCCGAAGGACCGCTGTCGGATACTGCAAAGCCCGCTTTGAAAACCCTCGTTCTGCGGTTCTATGAGGCATATGGGGGACGTGGGGTCTTCAAATTGACTACGTACGTATTCAGTTGTGTGCCTTTCTCGTACCTGGTAACGTCATGGCTCACGGGCTCTCTGTGCAGATCGTTGCCCGTGGCCTCCGCAGTCTTCTGCAACGTGCTTGAAGACTCTGGATCATCCATCCCCACCGCCGACCTCGCGATCCCTCTTCTGAGGTCGGAGAAGACAACTACCTTTGCGATCGGATATGCACCGTTCAAGATCATCAGCATTAAGATTGAACTGGAATAGTAGACGATGTTTACTGTGGAGCGTTGTGATTATGGCAATCAATGGACCGGATGCGCTCGGAATTGTAGAGAAGTCTTAAGAAGCCGAGTATGTAGCTTTGCCGCGTTTGTATTTGTACACGTTTAGTGAAAAGGTGTTTCGAAGACAACGGTGATATTGATTGATCTCTACTTTATCTAGTGAGATCCAGGGATAATCATACGCCGATATTCATACGCCATGCGCTAAATTAGTTCCTCATCTGTCGACTTGCTGAGCAACAGCATCCATACGAAAGCCGTCGTATTCAGGTAAAAGCCTTTCATTGCCCCATATCTTCGTCTGAATCCTTTCTACAGTAGCTTCAGATGGCCGGTAATGGCATTCACAGCTTCTATTGGGCCTGTGAGAATCGCAAGAACGGGTATGAGTATTTATACCTGCAACGGACAGATTGAGCCACGGATGTGCGGATGCAACTCATCTTATGCGTGCGATTGCACATGCATAATGGTGACAGGATACAGGATATGTACAAGCTTTGTGGTTGGGTATGTGTGGAGCTGGGTTATATGAGCTCGTAGGCGGCTGACAATGATATGAAGCTACTGATTCTTGCCGGATTCCAATCAATCCCCCTCCCGTAATCGCCTATTCTGTGCCCTCTCCCACACTCACGAGCAGAACGCCCCAATTTCTCGCTGACGATACGCACACCCCTTCGCGCTACTCAGAAATCCTCCAAATGCACAACCATCCTCGCCAAATTCCCTATCTCCTCCAAACCCATCCTCGTCCTCACCTCCACATCCCCGCCCCCTCCCACCTTCTCCCCACCCTCCACCCTCACCGCCCCCGCACCGGGACTCAACCACCCCCCCTGTTCATCAAACACCCACCCAACGCCCCTAAACCACTCCACAACCGCCCCCGGCTGCCTCGCATCAAGCCCGAGCATCGTCGCAGCCTGCGAAACCGAGATGCTCGAGTACGTTTCAGAGAGGAGCGCGAGGGTGCGGGATTGGAGGGACGTATGGAGGGCGTTCAGGAGTGGTCTGAGCGGACCGGGCCATTCCAATCCGCTGCTGCTGGTCGCGGACGATGGTTGTGATGTCGCCGACAGGGCGGTGTACACACCAGGCAGATCACGGGCCCATAGCTTCTCGCCTAAGGCTGTGACGGCCTCGTATGTGTCGTTACGGAGCTGGGGGGGGCGTGCGACGCGCGGCGAAACGGGCGGAGGGGAGGTCGTTGGCTATCAGGTGGGCGAGTTGGAGGATGGGGTAGAGGTTGATGTCGTCGTCGTCTGTGTTCTGTGGTGTTGTCGATTGCTGTTGTTGTTGGGGTTGTTGCGGGACTGATGTACTCGGAGCCGGCACCGATGCTGCCTGCTCATCACCCCCGATCGACCCCACATACTGATCCACGGTCGTATCAACATACGTCTGCGTTCCCGTAACACTCCCGTCAGCCCCTATCATGCCCACCTCGACATTCCCCTCCTGTTGCCACATCCCGTGCTCAAGCTCCACATACGGGTTGGTGTTTGCGTTCCCATCAGCTGGGACTTGGGGCACAGTGATGGGGTTCGGATTCTGATTCTGCTGTGCGGGTTCTGATTCTGCGGGGTTCCGCTGCGAAGTGCGTTTTAGCGTGCGCAGCCCGACGTTGAATTCTTCGGTCTCGCAGAGGGTGATGAGGAGCGGGATGTCGTTGGCGGAGATGGCTTCGTAGATGCGGTCCATTGTTGGTTTGGTGGTGGGAGTATGTGATGCTGAGATGGGGATGGTTTCTGGGGGCTTTTTGTGAGATGATCTCTGGAGCGCCAGGGTCGTTTGGGAGTTCTGCGACAGCTGCTGCGGGATAAGAACCCTGTATATAAATATAGTTGCGCAACCAAGCTAACGACGAGTGGTCGGGGACTAGATCTGGTGCGACGGAGCTATGCTGTCTGCCTGGGAAAGGAAGTTCAACTTGCCTCGGAGTCTGAGCTCGAGCAGACGCGTGGCCACGGGCAAGCCTGGTCTCGCTCGTCTCAGAGCCAGACTGCTGACCACCGTGGGACCGTGCTTCTTCGACCATATGATGCCGTACGGGAAAGAAAGAGCCATACTCCATGTACATCGTTGCATTGCGCATAGATCAGATGGCAACGCTTGACTCAGCTTGCACAAAAACACTGGGAAGTCGAACAACGGTGTATTCAAGAAAAAAACGAAACATCCGTTTGATGCCTATATGATGCATATTGCGAGTGCGAAGGATGAATCCCATAAATCTGGTATTCAATATTTTGAGGTCAGCTTCAGACTCTCAAAGCTCAAAGCTAATCCACCCCTACACCACATACCTCTTCCCCAATCTCACCCTTTAATCACGTCCTCCGGCACATAAGCATTAAAGTAATAAATCCCCGCATTATTCTTCAACGCAATCTGCACCAAATTCGGCGGGTCCATCCTCTGCACGCCCCCGCCCGTATGCAACGGCAGCTGCACCTCGGCGGTCTGGTGGGATCCGAGCGGCTCAGGGACCTGTAACCCGCGCGTTGGGGCGAGACCGAAGGTGTTGACGTTGAATTGGATGGCGAAATCGGTGAGGGGCGTTACGGTGCGGTTGGAGAAGGTGAGGTCGAGGAAGATTTGGTTTTGGCGTTTGTTGAAGGCACCCTGCGAGTGGTTTGATACGAAGGCATGAGCTACCACTTTACGAATAGATAAATGCGGTGATTATCACCCACCTGCAAGTCAAGCCCATTAGCCTCCCCAGCACTCAACAACGTCGTCTTCGGCGTGTTCGTCGCAGCTCCCTGTCCCACCGGACTGGCCAGCCCGCTAAAACCACCACTCGGGCCCCCCACACCCGGCGACGACATATCCGACAAGCCCAGCAGATCGTCAATAGCCGACGCTGTCCGGTGATTCGGCGCTGGTGTCGTTGCAGAGGTCGTATCGTATGAGCCTCCGAAATCGAGGTCGAGGAGGTTTTCGATCCCGCCGCCTACTGCAGCGTTGACTTGCTGGGCGACGGTGCGGGCGTCTACTTCGGGTTCTTCGCCTTCGAAGTCCACACTAGGGAGGTACATATCGTTGTGAGCAACAAGGAGGTAGGGAGAGAGATAGGCTGCAGACGGAGACACATACGCTTCCCGAATCCTCGACACAGCCACAGCCGTACCCCCCAATATCGACGGCGACTTGTGATAAACAGACGCCAAGCTCCCAATATTATGAATCAGCTCATCCAGCAGCGATTCGCTGACCGATCGTGCGTCGGACTCTATTGGTGGTCGTTCGGCCAGGATGACTCCTTGCGCCGCCTGGGGGTTGGTGGAGAGGAGACGCCAGTAGATGTAGGCGCGGTCACGAATGTCGGGATTATCTGAGCCTTGGGTTGCTAAGGTTAGGACGCGTTGGACGGTCTCTTGGGCTGAACCGGGCTTCTTGAGGAGGAGTTTAACGGCTGCTGAGAGGAGTTGCAGTTGCACCTTTGTACAATCGACAATAAGCCACGTTTGCTCCGGGGAAGGTCAGATGTTAAGGAGAGAGTAACATACCACAGGCCCCTCCTCCTTGAAGTTCTCCAGAAAGTACTCCAGCAGCTCGGTAGCATTCGCAATGCGGTCAGCGTATTCACCAATGATCCATACGATAGACGCTTTCGCTTCTGGCTCGTCGACGCTTTCGATGTTCTCGCATAGGGTAGGAATGATGCCCTCATAGCGGTTGGGGTATTTGCGGAAGATATCCTAGAGTCAATCGCATCAGCCGCTGCATAATGATGACCTTTCCAAAAATGTATGAATTTTTGACCAACCTTGATCACCACAATGGATTCTTGCACGACATGGGTGACCTTCGTCTTAATCAAATCCAACAGCGCATTGACACACTTCTCGGATGCGGAATCGATCTTTACCGCACAACGGCCGATAGCTTTAATCGACTTCCGCACAAAGTCCACATCCACCTCATTGGCGTACCTACACACTTGTTAGCACTTATACAACACGCCCAAAGCGCCCATCCACCTTGAACTTACTCCCGAAGCTCAGACAGAACTTGGTCGACATTCTTCTCAGAGCACAGCTTGATGATGACTTCCAGCTTTTCAAGTTTGACGTACGGCGGGTCGTTGTATTTGATGAAGAAGACGCGGATCTCCTGCTGGAGGACATCCGGGCGCTTTTGAAGGATTAAGCTGATATTTCGCAGAGCTACGTATTGGATCTCGGGTTCGGAGGACAAGAGGGTCACTGCAGATCCGGAATGTCAACGGTTGTTCGCCACTGAAAGGAGGTCGACCGCCATACCTAATGGTGGTGATAGTTTGCGGATGATTTGTTTTGAGAGCTCCTCGTTGCTGATATAGTTCAGGTAGATCATGAGGACCTGTACTGGGCGATTAGCTTCTGGCCTCGTCGTACGCCGCTCTTTCCCTGTCCTTCTAAGCTTACCCTCACGGCGGACAGCCCTACACTCGCATTCGCATGCTGTAATCTAGGCAAAACTCGCTCTGCAATGTCGGCGGCTTGGGCGGCATCGGTCGGTTGATAACTCGCAAGCGAGTTCAGGATACATATCTGCCCCCATCTGCGCGAGAGCATGAGCGCTACGAACGTTCCCCAGCCATGTCTAATACCACCGCTCTCACGTACTCTGTGCACTCGTTCAACGCAGCCAGTAACTTTGACAGAATGCCAGCGTTCACCACAAAGACGTCGCGTCTAACCGACGCCTCGGATATCTCTGCCAACGCAGCGACGGCGTTGGCAATCACCATCGGGTTCCTGTCGGACAGCATGTCCTGCACGATCGTGATCAGCCCGTTATCGATGGCGATCGTTGGATTCAGGTCATATAGCTTCGCAACACATAGAGTTGCGGTTTTGCGCACGTATGGATCGTCATCCTAATGCCCGTTGTGAGCCGCGTTATGTACGGAGCTGATCGAGAAAGTTGGACCTACTTTCAAGCCTTTCTTCAAAGGCTCCAGCAGGTAATCGATGATCTTCTCCACCCGTAACATTCCCATCGTCCGAATGGCTAATGCGCGTATCAACGGGTTGATGTCGTCCGTATCCTATGCAAGTTGTTTCCCAAGATTCAGAAGGCCGCATCCAGCGAAAACGCGAGAATCTCGGGAAAGTTTGCCAACCTTCACGAAAGTATTGACGGCCAGAATAACCAACTCCGGCTGAGTCCTCGCATAGTTGATGAGGTACAGATACACCAGCTTCTTCAATTCCAAGTCCTCTGTCTGCATGTTTTTGACAACGTCGGCAAACAGACTGCTGACATCTTTGCCGATCGTCATGTTTGCAATGACTTTTTTGACCGTTTCTTTGCGCTTTTCTCTATATTCGCTGTTCAGGTCGGCTTTCAGCTCAAAGTTCTCCCCTGTTGGTTGTGGGAAGATGGGTCAGATGGCCGGGTGGGAATTTGGCAAGCACGCGGACAAGGTACCCTTTTTGGTTGTGGAGAAGAACTTTGGGCCGCGAGCGGTGGCGGCCATGGTTGCGAGCTTGAAGGGTTATCACCTGGGAGTCCAGGAGCCCGAGATGGATGCGCTGCCGATGGTCGAGCGTTGAGGGACGTTGTGAAATCGGCGAGGGCAAGCTGTGGTGGTCCCCAAGCGAGAGCGGCAATATGCGGCGCATCACAGGTGAGTCATCCCCCTTCCCCTTCCGTTAGCCTTAGGCCTTAGCGCGCGACGGGCAGTCTCCAGTGTCCACGCAGTCTCCTCCCCGCCGCAATACATACAGTACATAGCAATGGAATTCTCAGTCTTCGTCCCAAGCACCCCGGTGTTCGATAGGTCGGTCTGGCAGCTATGGCTCTACGGCTTGTCAGGTATGTCTTCCTTTCGCTGCTGTCCAGAAAACAACTCGGACGCGTTGCTCGACGATTTCTGACCTGGGCCGTTTACTTTGACAATAGTCGACCAGGCGACGTCTTTCCTGCAGAAAAAGAGGCCTGGTCTGAAGGCGGCCACAGGGCCGCTCCGGAACTACATATTGTCTCAGGTAAGTGTGTGGGTGGAACTGCGTCAAGATCGCGCGTACGCCTGTCGAGCTATCGATTGCTGCTTCGTGCCATCTCGTGCCATAGGTAACTCGACCCCCAGAAGTAAGCACAGTTTTCTCTCCCACTATAGTATCGACATTACGAAATTCTAGAGCCCCATCTCCACCGCCCAAAGCATCTCTACACCTCAGCCACCGCCGTCCTCTTCCCCCACCCCGCCTCGCAAGGCACGCGCGCTTCATCCACGATAAACACATCAAACATAACAACCACCAGCAAATCCCCAAGAGGAGATCCAACACGGGCGTACCTCATCGAGACCTATTACAGTTTCCATCCCAGCGTCATGCGGTACACTCTCGGCAAAAAAGTGTCGTCGAGACTGCGTGAGGACGTGTGTTTGAAGACGAAAGTGCCGAGTGCGGGGTGTAGACGGATGTTTGACAATTTCAAAAGGATTGTGAAGGTTGTGGAGGATGCGGAAATGCGGGATATTACTTCGGCGATTGTGGCGGAGTTTTTGCTTCCGGTGCCACTTGCAGAGTATGTATATCTACCGCGTGGATTGAACGTGGAGGACATCGCGGGGCAGGGCCCGAATCGAGGGATGGTCTTCCACCCGGTCGCTGACCAGATGCCTACCATTGCGCATTGCAGGCAGTACGCACATATAATCTTCATCAACAACTATCGCCTGGACACCTTCAAGCGGAAACTCACCTACCTCAAATTCGCCGATTACGAGTTTGGTAAGTCTTACGTACGTTCCTCCTGCTCCTGCTTGATCGCTCACCACCCTACCCATGCACAGTCGCCTCCGTCTTCATGCAACGCTTCGCCCACCCAACAACGCCCATCCTCGATGACCTGGACTCCACCCTCTCCCAAGACGCCCGCGACATCAAATCCCTCCTGTTCAACCAACGCGGCGTCCTCGACGAATACAAAGCCGCAGTCATCGCCGCACTCGCCCACTCCCACCCCCACCTCCTCTCCTCCTCCTCCTCCTCCAATCCCTTCATAGCCCCACAACAACAACCACAACCCACCCCCCTCCCCCCCTCCACAACCACAGTCAACACCCTCTCCACCGCCGCCTCCCACGGTTCCACACCAACAGCCGCCCTCCTCCCCACCCAGCCCCCCGCAACAACAACCTCCATCCTCTCCCCAACCTCCTCCCCAGACACCCTCTTCAAAACCCTCATCCGCGGCGTCCTCTCCATCGGCACCTCCCTGCAACACCGCAAAGAGCTCCGCGACGTCTTCCAGACCATCCACGACCGCATCGTCGAGCCGGCGTGTGCGGGCGCCAATTGGAGTCCGAAGGATCTGAGTGTGTTCTTCCAAGTCGCGGGGAGTGTGTTCGCGGGCGTGGGGAGTGTGCCGAGGGGGTTGAGGGGACGGTATGCGGGGCCGTGGAAGAGGCTTTGTGAGGGGGTGGGGAGGGCGAGTGTGAGGTTTGCTGAGGTGTATGTGGGGGCGAGGAGGGAGGGAGGGGCCGCTGTGGGGGTGTGAGCTTTCGCCGCTGCCCCTTCGTCCTTTCAGGAATCACACATTTTTGGGAGTATGTTGTGTCTCCAGCTTCCATAATGCTGTCGATGTGAATGGAAATCGTTGCCACACGGAAGCAGCATAAACGAAAGCAAAATGAATAATGTGCTTCAAAAAGAATTATAACATTGAGCCAGCAAGAAATGAACAAAAACATGGGTATATATGCATGCAAAACATGCAAAGGAGAAAGGAGAGTCAGACAAATATTAGTTTTGGGTCCACGGAGCCGAACGTGCTCATGAGGGTGAATAGACGTGGCCTCATAAAAGCTCCCCAACCCTCGCCTCCACAACCGCGGGCCCCGCCTCCTTTTTCCTCCCCGCCGGCCTCACAGTACTCAACGAAAGCGCCGTCGATCCCGCCACCGACGCCGGTGCCGTCCTACTCGGCAAGCCCATCATCGGTTCTGTCACACTATTCCTCCGATGTATCTTCAACGGCGGCAGCTGCTGGTGGTGCGATGCGAGCTGTTGGGCGGCGGGCTTGAGGTATTTTGATGAGTGCGTTGCGGGGGAGGAGGAGGAGGAGGAGATGGAGGTTCCGGAGACGGAGACGCAGTTTTGTTTGCGGGAGGCGGGTGGCGGGCGGTCGGTTGTGTTGTTGAGGAGGGTTGCGGATGCGGAAACGAGCATGGAGGTGGTGGTGGATGTTGACGAGGTAGATGAGGACGCCGCGATGCTGTGTGGTGCGTGCCGCCCGCTGTTGCGGTTCGTTTTGCCTTCATGCAGGCCGATGATGCTGCGGGAGTTGATGGGCAGTTTCCCGCCAGCTGCTGAGATGGCGGCGGGGGCGGATCCTGTGGATTTGATGTACATAGTGCTCCGAGCCAAATGGGATGATTTGAGATTACTGCCCTCGCGCGTCCGCGAAGAGCTGGAAGCAGGGGCGTGATCACCGCGGTCCGACTCGTGGTCCCGGTCTCTCCCTCCGTCACCTCCTTCCGCGCCCGGTTCATCCCTGTTGTGGTAAGAGTCGATGCTATCGCAACTCAGCGTCGATATGGAAGTCCGGCTCCCGTGCCCCGACGCCGCCCCTGCAGGTGCGCCGCTGCCCAGCGCACTGCCCCAAGTCTTGAATGCTCCTGCCCCTGTGCCAGGTATCGAGAACGACGCGCGCCGTACCGGCCCCGTCGCCAGCCCGCCAGCCCCATTAGTCTGCTGCCCTGATGTTATTGCAGGCAATGCGGTCGGCGCGAACGTCCGGCGGACGCCCTGGATGGTGCGGAACCGCAGAAATGCGACGATGGCGTGACCGGTTCGCCGGAAGCGCCGTTCGGCATTGTAGGATTTCATTAGCTCCAGAACGGTTGAGGGGCCGTTATGTTCGAGGTTCATTTCTGTCCCCTGTTGGAAGTACTGCGGTGATTAGGTGGCTCTTTTGCCGTGGTCGACTACGAGGATACGGCGAGATAGAACGTACCCTCATCCAGGGATGCATCAAAACTTCTCGGGCCGTTATCCGCTTTGCGGGATCAATTCGTAGTATTGATTCCACAAGATTTCTCGCTACGGAAGGTTTCCAGTCCATGAGTAAAACGAAACTGCCCTCAATTCAGACGAACACTTCTGTCCAGCACACCTCCAGGAGATATCTCATTCCAATACACGTCCGGAAAATCCACACGGCCCTCCTGTATCATTTGGTGTAGGGCCCGCTCAGCATCGCCGCGATATCCACATAGTCTGCAACGGGAGCACGTCAGTCTCATAGTCGAGCACTGCAATATTGATGAAACCGAAGGGCTGCAGAGCATCACGTACAACAGGTACATCAAAACGCCGATACTCCATAAATCGCACTGTGCGCTGTATCCGAGGTTCTGCACAATCTCTGGCGCTAAAGACATCGGTACTTCACATTCAGTCCTTCGGTAATACTCCACCATCCAAACATTCCATCGAACGTACCCATATACAACGGCGTGCCCACGATGTTTTCCATCATATTGCAAGCACCCGTGAACGTCGCCAGCCCGAAATCAGAGACTTTGATGTTGAATATATCTAGCGGTTCGGGTATGCTGATCCCGTCAGTGGCGCCACTCCCGTTGGCCCCTGCGATTGTATCGGAGGAGATTAGGATGTTTTCGGGTTTGATGTCGCGGTGGACGATGCCTTGGTCGTGGAGGTATGCTGTTTCGGTTTGGATGGTACAGGTTGGGCGGGAGGAAAATGGGAAGTCAGAGGAGTCCCGGTAACAGCACGTATTCTGGTCCTCTGATTATGGGAGACGCCTCGCGAAGGCATTCTCAGATGTCCCCAAACGTGTCCGTGAACGGTGGTACATACCAATAGCTTCTACCAGTCTCCCCATGATCGTCCGCACGTCGTCTTCTGTGCAGTGTTTCCGACTCCGGACGCGTTGTACTAACTCTCCTCCCTTGCAGCTACATCCATCACAACGGATGAAGAAAAAGCCTCGAGATCAGCCACGGTCCAGCAGGCAGAATGTCAAACTCATTCGACAGAGATCCCAAAAAGGTCATCCTCCATCCGCAGCCTTTTGGACCCCATCTCGGTCTTCCCAAGTCCCCAACCTCCCAGCGCACCGGCAAGAAATTTGCACCTGAAACTCACTATTCCATGACAAGAAAAAATTTGTGCGGCGTCTCGAACACTTCCTTCAACTGAACGATATGGGGATGCCGTACACGCTTCATGATGTCGACTTCCCGCTGTATCTGCTCATACGCATTCGGTGCCCCCCTTCGTTTCCGCATGATTTTGCAGGCATATGTCAGGAGTGTGCTTTTGTGCTTCACGAGGCGTACAGTCCCAAAGGAGCCCCTGCGATTAGCTTGTCGATTAGACACCACCCAGCAATCATATCAGTACTCTCGCTGAACTCCATGCCCCGCACGTACTGTCCAACTTTGCTTCCCAAGGCATATGCGCTGGAGAACGCGGTCTCATCGTCAGTGCGGTGATGGGATATGGGTGAATCCAGAGGGGTCACTGACGACCTTCGCGTGCTGCCGCGAGATGCAGCTAAGAATTGAGCGGGTCAGCGAAACCCCTTATCACGCACATCAGCGGACAAGCGTTGTGCCAAACTTACTTCCTGACATTTGTCCCTGCGAATCCCCAACCCAGTACAAAAATCAAACAACCCTGTCTGCTGCTCGAAGTCGTGACAGCTGTGTGCGTAGCGGTCAGGGCGGTCAAAGGGAAGCAGGGATGCCGCTACTGCCCTGCACTCTTTGCTAAGTTAAATTCGTGCAATGGCGCTCGAATTGGATACCAGTAAACGTGGTGGCGGCAAGCTGGTTGGAACGCACACTGAGGTTCTGAGGACGTGCTGGTCGGTTGCCGTAGTGCACAGATGTGGTTTGACAGAATCGGCGCGAAAGTAGCAATTTTCCCACGGAATCGGAGGGGCACCGAAGTTAAGGAGCATCCAGGCAGCGTCCGGGGGACATCCACTCTATGGAGCGGCCTCTGCTTGCGACCGTGGGTATTATCAGTAAGGGCTGGGGCGTCATACTAGGTACAAGCAGCAAGCAGCAAGAGCGGCGTAAGGTTAAGCTCAGGCAAATGCCAACGCAGAAAGCAACGGAGGGCTGCTGATGCTGCACTAACGGAGGGCCCCAGGAACATGAGGCAAGCGGGAACGCGGCCTCATTGGCTGGCGGGGTTCAGCTCCGCTCGCTGATTTGCTGCATTCCAAGTCGCGCTGAGGTAACCGGGCTCTCACTCCGCTCATGCTTTCCCCATCGCAACACGTTGCTGAAAGTTGCCCGGGTGTTGGCAAACGTATTTATCACATGTGTTCTAAATACATCACTAAGAGCAGTCGTCTATTGTAACAAGTTATTGATGGATGCATAATCAGATAGTAATGTCAAAAACATTGATTGCAAGAAAATACACGCTCTCCTTATCCACTTTGGAGGAGGGTCTGAGAAATTTCGAAGGGCGTTACAACACAACAATTTGTTCGGGTGAATACTTCAGGCTAAGGAGCAGGTCGTAAACTCCGGAATTCATAGCGGGTGGCCTATATGAGGATATGGAATTGAGTTCATCAGCGTCGCCGCACATGATTGAGATTGAAAACGAGTGCCATACGTACCCGCAAACCATTATAATCATCTGCTTTCCTCCTTTCGGTCCCTCCTCACTAGAAAGCGGTTTCGCCGCCGCGGGAGACTCGATGTACTTGTCGCTTGTAATCATCCACTCGTCTGGCGCGACGAACGGAATTGGATCGTTCAGGATGGAAAAGCCCCCGGGAGTCGCCTTGGAGCGGTCTTTCACAAGACTCGCACTACTCTGACGATCCGAGGCCCCTGACGATGACGGGTTGCCTCTATCTTCGCCCATAATACGTGTTTGGGCCATCCCTAGCTTCGGCAGCTTCGGCAGCGATGCAGAGGATATGCCGAAATTTTGGCTTTGACTATGGCTGGACCGCCGTCTGTGCATGCTCATTGCATTCGAGCGAACCATTGAAAAGGATGGCGCAGTGAACAAGTCCCCTGGTGGTAAGACGTCCTTCAATAGTCCACCAGTAAGTTGCCCGCTGCGGCCTTTGTATTTCTCTTTGTTGACCACGTTATGGCAAAAGTTGACCACGTCGAGGTTGCCCATGTAGTGCTTGACCAAATTGTCGATCTCGTCAATCGCAAACATGTCTGCGTCACTTCTGTTCACATTGAGCAACGCTGCTTTGAGTTCCGGTCGGCCGGTCACTGGGTCGCGCTTTCCGTGTCGGAGATGAAAATCTAAGGCGAGCAGCATTGGTGTCAAGCCTGTACAGATGCATCAAAAACCGTAAGCCTGTGTTCTCAGATGGTGCATCCCTTTATGCACCAAGATTGAACATACCAGATCCGCCAGCAACCAGTCCCATAACATCCCAACACCCATTCTTGTCCAGAGGATTGGTCGCTTCCGCATGCATGAACGGTCCTCGCATGCGAATGGACTTACACTCGGCAAGATGAGCCGTCATCAACCCCACATTCATCTTGATATAGAATGAGATATGTCCTTTGTAATAGCTCTTCCACGGCGTATATGGTCGAGTGATGATGCTGCCGTCTTTACCAACACATTGAAAGTAAACGCTTTCTCCTGGGCAAAATATCATTTCCTCATCCTCGTTGTCGAACGCAATCTTGACAAGATGCACCTGCCGCTTCCCACCCTTCGTAACGGCGTCGCGAGACGTGACCCGGAAGTTCCGGTACGAGTCCTCCGATAACGGCGCACGTTCCTTCTGCACGGCTTCCCGAATACCCACCGGACGCAGCAGCCGTGTCGAAAACACTGCCGAGTCGTTCCCACCGCCCTCTTCATCCGCGTCGTTCCGGTCTGGGCTGGTGGTTTTCTCAATGCGGCCAACAGCTAGGGAGGCCAGGAGGTTTTCGGCCAGACGCGAGTGGCGGTGGACCATTCCGTGCAGTGGCTTGTGGGAGCCGGTCTGTGGTTTAGCGTTCATGTCCGTGCGACGGCCTCGCGGGGGCGGGTAGAAGAAATCCGTGGCATCCATGCCCACGGCTTCATACAAAAGCTTTGCTCCTCCCGGGTGTTTTGGGACGAACGGTTCTGCGTCGTACACAACGCCACGGATGATCAGCCATTTGCATCCGTTCGCAACATTCTCTTGGACGGCGTCCCATGAGAAGAGAGGCAGGGAGCTTTGGATCGTTGGGCCTTTTGACTCCCTTTCCTTCTCCGCGGCTGATCTGAGAGTAGCCGGCGCGAAGCGGGCCTGATATAAATGCCATAGCAACAATCCTGCTGGGGTCATCAGCACCATCGGTATGTACAACCACTTCAACCCTGCGATCCTGAAATCAGTACTCTCTACCCACAATGGATGCGACACTAGAAAACCTACAGTTCGAACTCGAGGCTTCCGTGATATCATTGACCCCCAAGTAACCCTGCACAAGCCCCAAAAAATACGTCGCATACCCCAGCACCCAATGCGCCAACCTGATCTGCCGATTATACTTAATCGTAATCGGCGAGCTCCAGTTCCCACTGAACCGACCCAGCCACGTGATACAAAACACCAGCACGGCAATAACGAGCCCGATGTTGGGATGCGGGCGTGTCCGGTCGCCAAACCCGCCGAGAAGGGCCAGAACCGCCGAGAGGATGATCTCCCCACTGACCAGCGACATCAGCGTCTGGTGGTACGCGACCCAGGTCGATTTCTCCTTCCAGTAGCGGGCGATGTAGATGCCTACGGGATAGGCGTACGCGAAGCCGACAAACATCATGATGCCGTGGAAGATGTTGAGCAGGTGTAAGGAGTGGCTATCGGATTGGACTGTTGTAAGGCCGGAGTAGAAGTTGATCAGGGCGTGGGCGCGGTTGCCGGGGCCGTGGTACTGCAGCTCGCGGGAGTCGCTGTAGGCGAAGATGACGGGCATGTCGGTAGTTGTAATTGCGACATCGCGGGGGTCCTTGGTGTTTAAGAGCCGGGAGAACTTAAAGGCGTGCTTGTATTTTGTTGCGGTTACTGGCGTGAAGTTGATCATGTCGTCCGTGCCTCCCACAGATGTGTCGGGGGATGGAATAGCTGTATTCGAGCTATCAACACAAGTCAGCACACCATAGTCGAAACACATAAACGTTCAATCGGAGCATACCTGTACGAGTCCTGCCCCACCCAATTACCCGGCGTCTTCTGATAAAACAGATAGATATCCGCCGGCAACATATTCTCCCCAAACCCAAACCCAAACCACCCCTCCGCATTGCTCTCAACCACAAATTCGATCCTCTCGCCCTCAATCGCCCACGACAGCGTCGTCACTCCCATCACCGACACCGCTGCCTTGCTCACGGCCTTCGCCGCCGACGCGGACACGAGGTCGCCGATGACGAACGGGTTGTCGGGGTAATCCGTGATGTTGGTGTTCCATTTGACGAGGTTGCCCAGCTTGACTGTGGATTTGATCTCGGCGAGCTCGGCGTCGGTAAAGACGCCCGGGTTCTCGTACCAGTATGGGTCCCCGTCCCGGATTCGGATGAAGTTTTCTTTGACGATGGCGCAGGAGAGAGGGCCGAGGATGGCTTTGCCTCTGTTGGCGTCTTCCATTACGCCACCTGTGAAGAGCGGATTTCCGTTAGCCCATTACTCTTCGGTTATGTTTTTATTGTGATTGTGCGCCTTACCAACATAACCGTCAATATTGTCCATCGACGTCCCATATAACGCTGACATCCGACTCTGCAGGGCCGTATCAGCGGTAATGTCCTCCCACTTTGTAGCCCGCGACAAGTTGTAGTGCGCCCGAAGCGTGTTGTAGTCTGCCAGTCCCAACTCCCGATTCCTGCGATGCATGCCACAAACGGTCAGCATTTTCGTACCGCCGAGATCCAGTTCACAAATCGGTTGATTACCTCTGGATATTCGTCGCCACGAGATCGAAGGGGTGGGTTCCCCCAAGCGGGAGCTTATTGCGCACACTGGGCACGTATCGATCGTCTACTTCCTGTTCTGGCTGCGCGGCAAAACCGCGCAAGTATGGGTCCAGCCCAACGTCCAGAAGCGCTGCCATGTTGTCTCCCAGAAAGGAGTCTTCGAGTAGCTGATCATCGGAGTGGCGTAAAGTCAGCGTCGATAATGAAATCCTCAAAGCAAGCAGATCTCTGATTACTTACCAGATGCCCCTGGTGGACCGGATGACCGTCGGAACCAAAGCGTTGGATGACAGCGTTCAAGGAACTGTGCCCGTACCGCATGGCGACATTCATAAGCGCAAGATCCAACTGCGGGTTGACTTCCGGATTGTAGCCGGTATATGCAGGTGGCGCCTCGCCGACCAGTGTGGGATAATACTACAGGCGCGCTCAACTCTTGAGGATGCTGCAGTGATATCTATATAGATCCGGGGTGGGTGACTTACGTAGCTCATGGTGATCCTCTGCATGGTTGCAATCATCCACCGCCGGGCCTTGTGGAAGACTTGATCGCTCGTCCAGTCTGGGTGGACTGCGAAAATTTGTCTCGCTCGCCGATTGTGTTCGCGCAGGAGTAGGATATATGTGACCGTCAAATGCTACAAAGGAGAAGACTGAGCAACAGCCACTTTGTACCCCAGGACAGCTTTAGCACTCACCGGAACCAGATTAATGACACCCAGGGGAAACTTGAAGAACCCGTTTTCCATAGGCGGCGCCTCTCCCAAGACGGTATAGTTCACCGACTTCAACAACCCGTTATCGCCTCTAAGCTCATTACACCCCTGTTCCGTCGGCGAATACAGTCCCGTCCCATCGATGAACGCAGTAAATTCGTTGATGATTTTGCGCGCGAGTTGCGGTCCGTGCTTGCCCTGCACCACTTCAACGCCGCCGAACCTCTTTCTTAGAAACGGTATGCTGAGGTTGCCGAATTTGTAGGGGTCAAACACGGTGTCGCCCGTGGGGACAGGTATCGGAAAAGGGTCGGATTCTGCAAGGATAGACGCCGGGTATGTCAGGACCCTCGAACGCAGATCCTGTTTGCTATCGATCGCACTTACCATTGTCCATGGGCCCACTAAGCTCGGTATGGAGGAAGAGACCCCACCTGGTAAAGAGACATATGGTGTTAGGATCCGGTGCATGCTCGTACTGTGTCTCCAAAGGTTCACGTACATCGGGAGCAAATCAGACGACGACATGGAAGTGTACACGTATGGTGCGGATCCAAGGCCGTTGGTGGAGATAAGTCGAGCATTTGGTCCGTTTGTTGGAGCTGCAAAGAAAGCAAGGCTGATGTCAGATACATCTTGTCTTTTCTCGAGGGCAGCCTCCTACAAAAAACCTACTCGTGTTGTTATCCGCATAGTTCGCCGGGTGCGGCCTCAAATAAATCTGATATTCAGCTCCGTAATTCGGGTGAACTTTGTTGTTCCCCGTCCCATCAAACGACTGGTAATCCAACTGTGGGGTGACTGCTCGCCGTTGCACATTTTTTGGCGCGAGCGACTCTCCATCGTCAGGGACCCGGGCTCTTAAGTTCCACGTACAGCCGGTAGCAAAAACTGGATCCGAAGCGTAACTGTCGTCGCCTGTCTGGGATGCCCTGTCTGGCGTGCCGTTGCATAGGGTTGCGCAGAAGATCAGACCTCCGATGAGAGCAGTTGAAAGGTGCATATTGCCGATTGTACACGCTTGCGATGCTGGAGGGCGTGACTTCAGAAACCTGCTCCGTACCTTCCGACGGGAGGCAGATCATACACAGAGGCGAAGAATTGGGCTGCGTTAAAATCCTACCGAGGATGTTGCGCGCGGTGCGTCGGAGACGGCGAACATGTCACGCGTTTCCTCATGCGTGCGATTGCATAATGGAATTGTTATGGCAGCAGACCTGAACGAAAGCACACCGTTGGCCGAACCCACTATTATGGCAAACAATGAGGAAGTTCCACAATGAATGTTTTCCACGACCACCCTTTCATTCCCTGAGTCTGAAACGTGTACAGTACGTCCGCACTCATATCCGAAGTTCCTTATCCGCCGTTTTGTAACCCTTCCGAAACTTTGACGGGCCCTTTGAACAGTTCGTCAGGTGTGTATGCAAACAAAGCCCTGGTCCTTCGTGATGCAAAACCCATGGGATCATTCTGGAGCGCTTCCTTCGAGTAAAGCAAGACCGACATATGTTGTGTTCTGGCTTCGAAATCGTCACCGACATCTCCGGGTGGCCAATGTGGCCTGTGTTGGAAAGTCACAAAAGGAAGGGCTTCATACAATCCGCACTTCTTCCGATCGCGATCGTACAGCTTCTATATCTACTCGTCTCCGCTTGGAATGAAGTGGTTACCTACAGTAACTCTCCATCACAACGCGGGCGCTGTTAAGTCAACAGTAGAACACGCGCGATATGGGCAGGACCTGTCAGTCGCCCATCTGCAATCGGTCTTCCCACCGTCCCCGTTCCCTTTCCAACAACTCCAACTTCGTGCAGTCCCACCAACCAGTTCCATGATGTCCACCGACGCAGATGGAAACCCAAAACTGGCCGGGTGTGAAGCCCTCTGCACGGATATTCTCTCTCGTATCTCGGAGCACGCACATGTGACGGTTCTGGACGGACCTATCGAAGATGGTAGGACTTGAACATTTTGCTTTTGTTTCATTCGTGAGATGTTCTTCTACCGACTCGTACTTATGCCTCTGATGCTTACTAGTGCTCGTTATCGAGAAAACGACAACTTGCGCGCACGTCTACATGACTCAACGCATATCACCCTCCGTCCTCGCAGACGCTTACTTCCGGCGTGTCAAACCGGCAACCGTCACCACTCAGTCAAGCAAGACGCAAGATCCACCGGCGATGCCCGGTAAACGAGCAATGAAGCGCGGCGACTACCATGTGCCTCACACCGGAACCGGGGCCAAAGCCCTTTACGCTCACCTTGTCGATCCGCCGGGAGTGGTCTCACTTCGGGCGCGCGGAGGTTCACAGGCCATGCGCTTAGAGGAATACTTTCACTCCATCATTAACCACCCCGCGATGTTTACGGCAAAGGAGGAGAAAATCGTCCTTGTGCGAGACTTTCCGATGATCGAACCCGAACTCAAAGCGAAGGACGGTAAGCCTGCTCCTGACGCCAAAGAAGCACACCAAAAGACGTTTTTCGACACAACTTTTCCGATATACGTCCCATGCATGGGTAGCGTAGACGTCGCGGCATGTGGCCAGTATAGGCAACATGTGCTTTGGGCGTATCGGCTCGTGCCGATTCGAAATTCGACAGGTACACCCAAGAAGAACTGCAAGTTCGCGGTGGAAAGAGTGCCGAAGGAAATTACGGCTATGGCGTTCGCGAGTTTGGGAAAGTGGGAGTTTGAAAAGTTTGAGTGATGCGCTGGGACGGGAAAGGTCTCTGAAACATCTCTGAAACAACATGGTCTTCGAAGAACGGCGTAACCTTGTCATGCGCATCATGCGTGGAGTATGGGTGTCCATAGGGGGAAGACAAACTCGAATTTGTAACAACTGTATATGTAACGTCTCTTCTTCCCGGGTAGCTTGCGTCTGACGACACGCATGAATATCATCGCATACGACGGCGCACTGACAGTGTCAATGAGTCACAGTGTCGATTTCGGAGGAGGTCGCGCACGAGCGCTGTCAATACGACGCTGTCCAAATGCCTTTCGCTTTCCGATTTCACATACCGCCCCCCTTTCGCTTTGCTACTTCACCATTCTCTCCCCTTCCTCCGTTCCTCCACAATTTTTATTGTACCGAGTGCTGCTCTTACCAACCATCAGCCGAAAGACTTGCTGTTGCCATCATATAACCGGCCTCTGCCAAAACGTCAGGACGGAATTTTTGACAGGTTCTTGGCGCACGTCAGCCACGTTTCCTGCAGGCGGGGCAGTTTGCGACTTCTCGCACGTCGTGGCTCGCTCTGCAAGCTCTTACTTTCTGCCCACAACGCAATCGGCTCTATCTGTTCGTCGCTCGTAGAAGGAACTACCTACGTCCGCTCCTACAAGTTTCCTCGCTGACTAGTTTCGTCGAATCCATTGCTGCCTAAATCAAGCCAGACGTTCCCCGACTGGCAGCCGTCCCAAGTTCCGTACACAAATTTCATCTGAACCATTAAAAATGCACCCGCAAATGACCTACCTCCTCCAACTCCTCGACGAAACCGGCACCGCCATCCCGCCCAACCCCGCCTCTTCAGAGCCCACCTCCGCCCTGCGCGCCTCTCACCACATAGACTCCCACCACCCCGGCAGCAAGTTCTCCGTCCTCGTCAAGCCGGTCCGTGTGCCCATCCCTTTCGGAACGCAAGCGATCAGCCGCAACCTCTTCCCCACCTCACCGCAAACCGAGACGTTGTCAACACCCCCCAGCACACCGACGCAGGCCCCCGCTACGCCGCAAATCGGCTCCCACAGATGCCTCCAAGTCTTCCACAACAAAATCCTCATACATTCCCGCATCATTCCGTCCCCGCCCATGTCCAAAGCCACCTTAGCCGAACGCAGAACGGCCAATCAGCCTATTCGATTCTCCGCGGACGGCGTGAGGTTTGGGGAGGCGGGGGTGGTGAAGGTGGAAATTTGGAATGTGATTGTTTTCAAGAGAATGGCGTGTAACAATGATACGGAGGCGCTGGGAGATGGGAAGAAGAGCATGGTGTTGTGTAGGCGGATCGGGGGGGATCCGATTTTTGTGGGGAGTGTGAAGTATGGCGAGGGTACCGTTGGGGGTAAGTATTCTGACTAAATCCGAGCCTTTTCACCCAGAATCCGTATTCATCTTCCCACAATCCAAACAGAACCAGCGCACACCCGCCCCGCCGGCCACCCCACCACCCCAACGTCAACACCCACCTCAACTCCCCTCCCCCATCGGCCCCCGGCCCTCCTCCCAACCTTCCACATCCCCCTCCCACCCACAACCCCGCCCTACCACACCCCACCCACCCACCGCATCCACCTCCCCGCCCCCGTCCCATCCCCGCACCGCGCAGTCCCTGACCTCTCAGAACCGCCACACCCCTTCCGCGTCGCCGCTGCAGCGTATCCACTCTCGCCACCTCTCGTCAACAGCCCGATTCGCCCTAACGATATGGAAAAACCATGTGGACATTGCAGCAAAACACTAGCTCTCTGCGCCGAGCTGCAAGTAACCGTGGGAATGTTACAGAAGGAGATTGGACGGATCACGGGGACGAATCTCAAGCGGAAGTGGGGCGTGGATGTGGAGAGTGAGGCACGGCCCGCGGGGAAACGGAGGGAGTAAATTGTTTGAGCGCTCGATCGGTCTCTCTCACGCACAGGGGGCAAGAAAAAAATCCGAGGATACACACCTCCCGATTTAGGTAGCTCCCATCATCATTTGCATCTCACGGCGTAAACCACCCTCCCTCAGTTCTCCGCACCCTTCCCCATTCTGTGAATCTCATCACTGTGCGTTCGTGCATTCAAGCCTGCTGTATATGTAGTACCTCCTCCCTTTCTTCCATTTGCACATGTATCTTTGCCGACATAGCATGAGATGTACCACTTCATTTGCCATAAGCCTCTAAAATTGACGGTCCCTGCTTGCGTCAGCTCGATGCTGATCTTGTCATCGCCCGGCTAGTTCTTTTCCAAACGCTCGCTGACCACATAAATCACAGAAAATAGCCATAGACGATCTAATTGACATGCCCATATCATTCCTCGCTACTATACAAAATACATACAGGGTTTCTCGCTAATATCACGACATGCAGGTACTCAAGCTATGTGCCTTACGCGGAAAGCCCGTCAACAAACACCTTCCCGTCCGCGGAGGTGCTGACAATGTATTTTGCGTCTGGGCCGAACTTGATGTCTGTGAGGTGGCTGCTGCCGTGGGTGGCGAGGTTGGCGAGCTGATCCCATTTTTTGGCGAGGTAGATCCTGGGAGGGAATTGAGAATGTTTCAGCATATTGAGCGAAGATGATAGATAGGTGATGAACAGGAATCTCAACGAACCTTAATTCATCACCACAAGCCGCCGCCAAAAACTGCCCACTGTAATCAAACCGCACTTTGCTCACACCCGTAGTCTTGGCATCCTCAATCTGCAGGGACTTGAAGTTGACCAACTTCCGCAAATCCCACAGCTGCACGACGGACTCGGTGTCGGACGAGGTGGCGAGGTAGTATCCGTTCTCGGAGAAGGAGATGCCGGTGACTTTGCCGGTGTGCGCTTCGAAATCGCGCACGTTGGTTTGCGAGCGGATGTCCCAGAGGCGGACGATCGAGTCGCTGCCGCCTGTGGCGAGGATCAGGCCGTCCGGGTGGATTTGGGCGGATACGAAACCTGTCGACGTGGAGAATGTGAGTATTGCGGCTCTGAGTGATGTTTCAACCTATCGACGAACTCGGATGCTCACCTCCAATTTTGCCCGATTGAGAAACGGACGACAACGTCTGCCCAGTGTGAATATCGTTGAAGGCCCATGTAGCGTCGGCTCCGGCTGAAATGAAGTAATCTCCAGAAGGATGCAAGCTCAGCGCGGTAACAGCCGCCGTGTGAGTCTTGTTGACCCACTTTGCGGCACCGACAGAATAATCGTCGTCGCCAGTAATCTCCACCTGGAAGTACTTGATGGTCTTGTCGGCACCCGCAGTCAAGAAGTGCAACGAGTCGTCCTTTCCAGCAAACACAACATCGTTGATCGCACTCTTGTGAGCGGCAACGTGAGACGTGGTGAGTTTGTTATCCTGGGCTCTGTCAAGAATGTTGACATGTCCCGCCTTGTCTCCGACAATGACAAGCTCCCGGTCCACGCCTGCGACCTTTCCAGAAAAGACGTCGGTAGCCGACACCCCTTTGGTGGCACCCTTGATCTTGATCCCCTCGCCAATCTGTGCGTAACCCTTCACATCGTCCGGCTTCGCGCACATCGCAGCGGGCTTCCTCTTCTTCCGCACGGTCGACAATGAGTCGGACGTGGCCTGCAACTTCTGATGTGCCTGCTCCAACAAAGCCGCACCATCGTTGCTAGGTTCATCCACATCCATCTGGTCCCCACCGTTCGCCACCGTCGCGGGTGGAGCGGCGTAGGTGGTCTGGACGGAAGCCAAGGCAGCACGGGCCTCGTCCCGCTCCCTCACCAGTCTGGAAATCACTCGCTTCGCAGCGTCGTTCTCGTAAAGAGCGTTCGAGAGTTCCTGTCGTGCGGCATGGTATTGTTGTTTGAGCTGATATGTTTCAAGCATCACCGCATCCCATTCGTTTTGAAGCGAGATCAGAAGGTTGGGAATGGAAGTCGCTGCTGGCGGTCGTGGTTTCACGAATTTTGTTGCTACAGGGATCGACGGTTGTCAGCCTGAGGTGACCAGCGCGTGGCTGTCTGTATGTCCCACTTACAGAGCTTGATGGTTAACAGATCATCAGCGGTAAGCTCCTCGCCACTCACGGGGTCACGGCCATTTTCGGAGATGTACTTGAGAATCAGCCGTTTCTCGTAGATGTTTCCGGACTTTTGCGAGACCACAGGCTCCACGGGCGATTCTCCCGATACTGTGAAAAGAGTGAGGTTAGCCTTCTGCACCTGTGTGGGAATGCGTTTCACATGCTCAGGAAGCCATGGGACGCAACTCACGAGCACAGAACATTGTGAAAGATCTAGCGAGCTGCCGGTTGCAAAAGCGGATATTGTTCAGCTTCCAGACGTTCTCTGCAGGCTACGGTAGTGAGCGTGGGTTGAAGACAGCGAGGTAGCAGTGACCGACTTTCTGCGAGCAGGGGATGTTGAGCGAGGAAGTGTGTTGATGGGGTGTTGCTCAGTTGTTGCTCGCCGTGAAGGCGTGGCTTAGCGATCGGACTCCCTGCTCGCGTGAAATGCTCCCAGTCTACAGTACATGCGGCATTTCACCCAGCGCTTCAACAGGGTCGTGCTGTATGGATGGGCTGGAAGCATCCATAGCGTATAGCTTTATTGACGAGGGTGGTTACGACGGTCTCAACAGCATTAGGCTGGTGTTGTTTGAAGGAAGTGCATGCCCTTGCAGGTTGTGGGATTACTTTGAGAAACCAGTGCATTCTTTCTAATTCACAAGCGAAGATGGCAGACGATCCTTTCATCCATTCCGCATCCTCGCTGCGGGAACAGCTGGTACCAGTAGGAACGCCAAATCTAGCACCACAGCATGCCGCATTATCTACATTATCAACCCACATATCCTCGCCTAAACGCAGTTTCCCGTCCGAACCCGACCCCGAAACACAACGAGAGGAAAGCTCACCCTCAGCAGCTAAACGGCTCAAAACATCCCACCCGAATGCCGTCACGACTCCTCAATCAACAGCACTGCAACTCACCGAAGACAGCATATCTCTCGACCTAGACCGTCTCATCAAGTCTGTCGAGAGCGCCGATGATGCACTCAAAATTAGCGAAGAGGAGGAGGAAGCGATATACGCCAAGATGGCCGCGTGGGTGGAGAAGGCGTCGGAGCTGAGCGCGTTGATTGTGCCGTGGACGGGCGATGTGGATGATGGGGTGGCTGAGGAGTCATCCAGGAAGGTTGGAGGGGAAGCGATCTTGGTGGGAGAGATGTTGTGGGGAACCCGGATGGAGACGCCGCCGACGGTGATGGCCATCGTTGATGTGCATATGGAGGATACACCACCACCGCCGTTGGCTCTAGCGCCGCCGACGTTCCTACACACCCCAACAGTCGTCGTAGGCGGGCCAGAGGATGGGAAACTGGTCACTGTAGCCGCCAACGCCTTCCAGCCCCCACCACCCGCCGACGAACCCTACCCACCACCCCCAACAACCTACTACCCCACCGCCCACCCCCCAACCCACCTCCTCCCTTTCCCAACCCTCTTCCCCCACACCCGCGAAACCCTCATCACCGCCTCCCCAACCGGCACAGTCCACATAACCGTCCGTCGCCGCCCCTTCCGCTCCGTCCCGATCGGCGCGCGCATCACCTCTCTACACGCTATGACGGATTTAAGGGGACGAGGGTGGGTGCTTGCGGGCGATGGGGAGGGATGTGTGACGGCGTTTGGGGCGGTCGAGGGGGGTTGGAGGGTTAGGGTGTGTTCCCCCCAGGGATATGCTCCCACCCAGGATGGTGGGAGCAACGCGGTCAGAGCTGCCATACCACTCCTGGTATCCACCTCCCCCGGGACGCTGACACAGTACGTGGTCGTCGCGACGGCGTCACCGGCACCGGTTCTCCACGTCTACGAAACCGACACGAAAGTCAAGATCCTCGAAGTTCCCGCCGCGCCCGTGGCGGTCTGCGCCGGGTTTTTTCGGGACGGGGACGGGGATGAAAGGCGAGCCGCGGGGAATGTAGATGCGGATAATGTTGACGCGAGACATCAGCAACTCCTCGTCGCATTCACCGACCACTCCCTGCACCTCATGGACGGGTTCAGTGTCCATCCGAAGCCGTACGCCCGTTTGCCCGCCCTGGTTACCATCATCAAAGCCTTCTCCCTCCCATCACAACAACACACATCACCACACCACCCCCGCTCAACAGATTACACCGTTCTCGCAGGCCACTTTCCCCAATTCCACATATACAATTCGGGACAGTGTGTGTACACGCGCGAGACGGAGGATTGGGTGAAGGAGGTTGATGTGCGTGTTTCTGATGGGGAAGGAAAGGGATCGACGGCGTATGTGACGGCATTGTTGATGAATGGGAGGGTGGAGTGTTGGGCGATTCGGGTTGGTTCGTAACTCCCTCCGCGGCGTTTTTTTTTGGGGGGGGGATCGGGTAGTGTTTGCCGTATGTTTCCAGTTCCCAATACGAAAATGAACCGAGTTGGGTGAGACTCTATCTTTCATGAATGCACACATTTTCTGAGGAGGAACAAGATTGAGAAAGCAAAAACGGAGACGTTAATTTGCACAGATTCCATATCAGCAAGCTGGGGTATATGTACACAGCAGAAACCATGGAATCAAATGCAGGAGAACCTATTCCTGAGTGGTCGAGCGGCGGGCCCAAGTTCAAAAGCAAAAAACAGGCGGGGATATAGGGGATCAAATGGCCCAGAAGAAAAAAAGGGAAGGAGGAGGAAAGGGGGTGGGAAGGAGCGAAAGGGTAGTGTTGATTAACACTATCTTTTCGCGCCTTTTTCGGAAGAGAGAGTTTCTGTGGGCTTTGCGGCAGTTCTGCAACACTATTGCCCCCTCGATGTGCAACCATCCAACCTCCGGGTCGAAGATAAAAGCCTGCAAGCACACACGACGATCCGATGAACCACTCTGATGAGAGACCGCGCGCTCAGGAAGACCGTACCACTCTGTGACTCGATGGCAGATCGGTATTGTGTCCAATCAGCCATTTGTAAGCGTCGCCAGCGGCATCCTCTCTCGCGGCCGACTTCTTGTAGTGCACGCGGGCGGTAGGGAATGTGATTTTCTGCCTCCTCTCACCCCCGCCGCTTCCACTGTTGGCGACAACACCACCTCCCGCTCTGTTACCATCGGCGTCGTCATCATTGAAAGAACCCCCGTTTGCGGTAGTGCTATTGCCAACGACGACGACTTCGATGATGACGGAACATGAGTGGCCGCCTACGTCTGATTCGCTGAAATCGAAGCGCGGGGGGTTGAGACGGCGCTTGAAGCATTCGATGTCGAGGAGGCCTGAGTACGTAGGGTGCGCGCCGTGCACGCTGGCGGTGTAGCGCACTCCGGTCTCGTCGCCTGAACGAGGGTCGTCGTCGTGCGGTTCGGGGGAGTCTATGCGGGAGCGCTTGCCGTGGGTATACGTGGAGACCGCCGAGCGAGGGTCAGGCTGCTCGTAGCGGGAGTCGGGGTGCTGGTGGCGGGATGGAGCGACGGGAGGTGGGGTTCGCGGACGACGGGCTGGCTCCCGGTCCCGCTCACGGTCTCGGTCGCGGTCGGAGATGTACTGGCGTGAGGAAGAGCTTGAAGGTTCTTGTTTGATGAAGGAGGTTGTGGGTTCTTGTTTGAAACCTCTAGACGAAACACCCGGTTCCTGCTTAAGGTTCGGTGACAGCGGAGGAGGAGGAGGCATGATTGCTCTGCGGTTGCCGCTTGGGAAAGTAGGAGGAAGGGGTGGCGGAATGGTATGGTTGGTGTATTGTTGAGGCGGAGGATGAAAACCTTGGAACGCTGGCTGATACGACTGCTGAAATTGCTGGAAGTCCCTGACCACCTTCTCAAAAGCGATCCTGGCGGCTTCCTGCTTCGCCTTTGCTTTGGTCGGGAAAGTTCCTTGCGTGGTGAACCTCTGCCCAGCGACAAGGACCGACGCAGTATACGCTGACGGGCTGTGCTGCTGGTGCTCGTACATGGGCATGTCAAACCTGCCAGCTTGTGCGCGGAGCTGCAGCTTGGAGACATAATCCACATCCTTCTCGACCAGCTGCTTTATGAAAGGGTCTCCCTTACTGCGAAGATGTTCGACAGCAGCCACGGTGACTGTGCGCTTTGCTTCTTGCTTGTTGGCGAAACCGCCACTCTGAAAGACCAAGTCCGCCACTGTCAGTTTGCAAGTAAAAGGTGGTTGCCCTGTTATCTGGTAGTCCGGTGGTGAGATCCTGGTTTTGACGCAGTAAGCTTGTAGGAGACTGATCGCAGCGGCGGCTTCCAAGCCCTCCTCCGGCCCGATCCTAGGGATGGTGATGCTGCTCGCGGGCGGTGTGGAGCTCGAGCCGTTCTTGGACGGGTCGCCGCTGCTATATTGAGGCTGGCGCTGGTAGTAGTCTTGTCCTTGCATGTTTGCGAGTGTGGTGGGTGAAATCCGTGGGGAAAAAGTGTCTGCAACGGCGGAGCACAGCAGGTGCGGGAAGATGCAAATACGCGGAGAGAGCGAAGGGCGAGTGTCCAGGCAGCGGCGGACGACCGGCCAGGAGGCACCTTCTGTCGAAGACGGAGTTGCTTTCAAGCCGACGTACAGTACTTGCGCCGTGCGTGTGTGGAGAGATGCTTGCTTGCACGATGGGAGACTATGTAACTGTACATAGGACGACGCCCGGAGCGCCTGGTCGAGCGTCTCTTCGAGTCTCTTTGTTGTCTGTCCAGAAACGCGTGCGTGCGGGTTATGAGGATTTCGGCAACTCCCAACCGTTCTCATTGAGAGACAAACGCCCGTAAAACGCCGATGGAGGCTGAGACGTATCTGCAACATAAAAAGCGGGCGAGAATCGTTTTATGTTACGTAGCGGCAGGTGGTTTGGGGGAAGACGCAGTTCTCGCAACAAGATGGAGCGCCAGGAGAGGGAACACATATCTAATTCCGCCTCCATAGTACTATGGCAACGTAGAAATGGAATTCACAGGATCAGCCAATCATTTTGGATATTTGTATCAGTGCAGAGATGGCATTTGCTTTTGTAACATGATATGGATGCAGACTGCATCAGACCAGCATCCGCACTGCCAACAGAGAAGATTTATGTCCAGATAGAAAGCTTGCTCCTGCAACCTTGTCCGACTCACCCGACTAAAGTAACAGTGAGATGATGATAACAAAAAGGCACCCATGACGTGAATACTAGGCCTCCTATAGTTCAAGATAGCACCACGAATCGCTTGAAATGGAGTCACAACGCGGGACTTCAGTCCTAAAAGGTAGCGAAATGGTCGCAGGGCCGTGCCACGGACACAACGAGAGGCTGGGTTTGTCGATGCGCCATGATGAGCGAAATCGACCTGAACTACAGTACTTCAGCCGCCGCCGTTCACAGTTCCACTACGGAAGTCGTCCGGTTGAAGGTCGAGAGCTGCTGAAATCCAGTGAGCCCTGTCATCGAACAGCTAACACTGTTTCGGAAAACGCCCGAACGAGAATCGAATAAGGAGCATCATCAGAGGCGCTCCGTCGCACTTCAACGAACGAGATCCGTGAAGGTTACATATATCCTGATCTGGAGGTAGATGGCAGTCTGGGGCCTGTTGGACTGTGAGCGACATCAGCTATCCCCGTCCAGATCTCTCGCGGGGGTTCACTCCGGTATGCTTTCATCTAGGTGATCGTGTCGTTTTGCGTTCGTTCGGTTTGCGAAAACGGTAAAAGCCGTCAATAAAGTCGTCCAACTGCCTACGTAATCGGGCGATCATGCGCGCAATGAGACGCCTTCGCTCAGCGGGTCCGGTGGTGGTGCCAACGCCGACAACGAGGGTTGGGACTGAACAATATCGCTTACGGCTGAAGCCTGCTGCTGAGTCCTGTTACCGCCGCCGCTTCTGGAGCAGTCAGAAGGTCTGAGGGGTGTTGTGGAGTCGAGCGAAGGGGGGGGGGGGGGAGGGGGGGCAGACGCACAGGCATGGGCTGCTCGCACGCAGGGCGTTCACCCCTTCTGCTGGGCCCCCCAACTCGAGCCATCTTCTCTCCTCTCAGCCCTCAGATTCCAATTTAGGTCATCGGTTCCATGGCGGGACGGTGAAGTCAGAGATGCCATGGCCGTGATTGCTATCCCGCGTCCCGGCAAGCCACCTGCGGACCCAGTATGACCTGAGAGGGGCGAAGCAATGAGTGACCACAGTTGTCTGCCGTCTTGCACTTATACTTACCGGGAGGATGTAAGCCCTCGACATGTCGCGTGGAATATTGTCTGCCCAATTGGCAACATGCACGCGTTCGGTACGCGTAAAACCTGGAACTGGAAAGACGTCGGGAGACGAAGAGAAAGTAAGCGTCGTGCGACGGTCTGTTTTGAAGGCCTTATGCCCTTAACGTCGATGTCTTAGACAAAGGGGGAAAAGAGGGGGAGGACGGGATGCTGTCAGACCCAGCGGGAATGGAGGGTGGCCCTGGGGACGTGGCGAGCAGGGCACGGAACGGGAATCGGGCTTTCATCAAATCGTTCGAGCGGACCCTTGCGCAGTTTGAGATGCGCTCGGACTTGCACAGCGCCAAAATATGCTGACAGTACATTATATGTACACGCGTTGTGGGGAACAACGCGTCGAAAGCTTCCGTTACGGTAAGAAAGTGCGAGGAGACGGGACTGTTCGGCTTGAAATACACGGGGTTACAAATGGCAGGGGCAGAGCAGATATAGGGAGCTGTCCCGTGAATCATGCAGGTGACTGCCGAGCCCGACGATAGCGCTTTGTGTTTTACCTGTCAAAGTTCACGCACCTGCTCACGGATGTCCAGGCTGTCGGACGCGCTCGGGCACTTCCTAAATCGTCAGCAGACTTTTCCTTCGGCATTGCGTGCCAAGCGTAAAGCAAAAGGTACGAGTCCCCTGGCAAGAAATAGAACCCCGGCCTTCGCCTGACAGCATGGCTACATCCTGAGCGCTGGACTACGAGGGATCGTTCCGCAAGGGAAAGGTAAGGTAAGGTAAGCTGTCAAGCAAGGCCTTGACACTTTGCCTTTCTCTTTCCCGTTGGCTGTCCCTTTCCTTTGCAAATCACGAGTTCGTAAACGATCATGTCCTCGCCCTCAATGGCCGACGAAACCACGCCCATATAGACGAGAGAAAGTAATGTTAACAAAAAGCGCGTTGAAACTTATAACTTATCCTTAGCATGCAGGACCGGGCGGATGATGTCCGCTTTCTTCGCCATGCCGGGCACATGCCCAAATGCGGCATGCCTGTACACCGTACGCTCGAGTCTGGAATGTTGCGGATAGAGGATCATCGAGACGAGAGGCAATAGCAGGAAGTCATACGGTATTGACGACCCGTGACGGCCGGGTAAATATCTCCTGATATCATTTTTCGGTGGACGGAGGAAGGCTAAAAAGGAGGAAAGAAAAGTGCGAGAGGAGCGGATAGTCTGAAATGAAAGCCGAGACTGTGTGCGCTTGAAGATGGACGGTCCAGTCGGGGGTGTGTGTTGGCGTATTGAGCTTACGTGATACGCGTCACAAACGATCCTCCCATCTCCGCGTATGGAAGTTCGCGCTCCCAGGGTCCCGTTGTGACGAGAAGAGTCGACAAAGACGCTCAACAAACAGCCAGGCAGGGTGAGAAAGCTTACCGTCCACCGCCTTTCTGTTGGATTCTGCAAGGTTCGCATGTGTTCCGGAATTTGTTTCGACGTCTTTGGAAGACGGCAAGCCATATGGCAAGAGCGCGTATGCATTTCTAACCCAAAAACGAAGATATAATATTATCCCTCAACGCGGTGATTGGGTTGGCAGTGACTCTGCGTCTGTTGACCCTCGTCGCCTCTCGTGGGCTCCGCATCAGAGTGCAGATGCACTACGACACGCATGCCCATATCGGGCTTCGCTAACTATGTCTGATTGGCGTTTCGACATTTTGTGACGCGTTGGTTCATCCTTGAAAACTCAAGGTTCCTGAAGAATTCAAGGTTGCATTGCAAACTGACAAAGCGCTTGGCCCAGCCTGGGCCGGCGCAGCGTTCTTTCGAGGAGCATTGGCCCTCTTCCAGGCCCAACCTCCACCATCCGGAAGTAACAATTCATGCAGCACAGGCCCACATTGACAATGGAGCCGATGTATTTTTGCGACTTGTTTCGGGTTGCGCCCAGCGATTTCGGAGTTCTCCGCCCTTGGCATAAGGTGCGTAATAGGAAGGGCTGGTCTGCTAAGCTCACTTGACTTTCGTCCATCTCAGACGCGCTGGCAACGCGTTCACTTCTGCGGGACGATGGGATTCGCGTTCCGACAATTGCATCTGCAGGCCCTAGCAGGGCCCGACAGTCCTTGATAAACGGGCAAAGCACCCAAGGGTCTCCGCCACATCCAGAAGAGACAAAAAGCAGGCCCCACTCCTAGACGAGCAAAAGTTCGTTTCGTTTGCGCATTCTTTCCAACGTACCCATTAAGTCCGCCTTGAGTGCGCGAAGGATAGCCCATCCTGCACTGTTATCCGAACTCTCATCGCTTGACAGGCGAAGTCTTTCTCAATCCACTTTCATCCCCAATTTTAAGTAATAGTAATATTACTGGGTCCTATTTATTGGACGCGCTGACGGTTTGTCCTATACGAGGAAAAGAAGTTATCTAGACGAATGCGAAAGTTCCAGGGGGAAACCGTGGTGGGTTGGGGTCGCCTTATGTGCGGCTAAGCGGCAGGGACGGACGCGTTACTTGCTTTCAAAAGCTTTGATACCACTGACAACTTTTTCATGACGCGTTCCTGACGCGTTTTCCTTGAGAATACTCGAAGGTTCACAAAGGGCACTAAAAGGTCCCGAGGCTCAGCCAGGTCTTCGACGGCGCAAAGGGAAGGCAATGATGGTTAATCGCGCTCTGGGCAAACAGAATCGAAGAATTTTCAGGACAGCACAAAGCTCTACTAAGGCCAGTGACGCGTCTGCCACTGCAAAACCACTCAAAAAGCGTTTTGCACTTTCTCTACGAGTTTCGGAGCTCCAGTAGGGGTTTTTGGAAAGGGAAGAGCATAATAGAAGGGGTGGGAGTGGCAGTCCACTTATTTGCAGATCATCTACTTGTATCCCGGCCCTGTGTCCGCATTTCTCTTTTGAAAACTGGCGACGCATTTTGTTTCCTCCGTGTGAACTTCCAGGGGTCCAGCACATGCCGGGACCTTGTGACGTGTTTATGAGCTCCTGGAAAGCGGGAACTGGCGAGATCCGTGGTAGAAAAACACAGAGCCTGCGACGCGTTCTTTCTAGAACATGGCATCCCTTCGCCACGCAAGGTTGATTTGGTCGGACAATGAGCAAACGCTGAATAGCCAGGAGAGTACAGCGTCTGTGCTTGTCATTGCTTCCACAAGCCTCACATAGCGCACTTGATGGCTTGCATCTTTGAATGTTTCTGCAACGTGTTTGTTGTCTCCTTTGCGGTGCAGGAAACCAGGCCCCATTGGGCTAGCTAACCTTACAAGGATGCAAAGCGCCAGATATTGAGCCACGCCTCTGGGATCCTGCTCTGCCAGGCCCTGATCCCCAAAAGACAATTCCCAAAAGAGGAAACCCAAAAGACAATCCCCAAAATGTCATACATTCCTACCTTCGAAGAAGGTCAAAGGCATAAGGATTGGCGCTCTTCTGACCCTGACTCCGCTTGTACCTGCCCAGGAGCCACCACCCCTTGAGGGGACATTTGCAACCCTCGGACCCGACTCGGGCCAACGATGAAAGAGTTAGCCATCTCTCGTCCAAGTCTGTCAGAAAGGGGCTTTACTTTAATAGTTGTGCCGGGTGTGGAGAAAATCGAAGATGAGAAAAAAAGAGTAATTGCGGATTGAGAACGGAAATGTTACGTCTTGGCCAAAGTGCTTGTAAGTACAGGGTGACGACGCAAGCAGCTCGACCACGCTTAACGCTCTCCGGATCCCTTTCTGATGCGAAGCGGTTATTTTTCAATAAGACTCGCTTGCTGCCATGTTGCTGTCGCTTCAAAGAACACGGGACGCGTCCAAGGCTCGTCAGGAAAACGCGTCCAACCTCTCACAACCTGCTTACGTGACAACTAAAATGACAAGAATTCATCCACGTGATCAAAGACCCCAAGTGCACGGTAAATTCAGCGGACGCAAGTCATCCAACCAACATTTCGACGATGATAACGAAGCCATCAAGATCGCAAACAACCATCCCGCATATCGCAATGTCAAGGCTCAGTCCCGAACTCCTCCTCCAAATTGTCCTTCTATGCGACGGCGCGACGTTCATCTCGGCTCTGTGCGTCTCTGATCTGTATCAGCTGTTGACACCGAGAGACCTCACAAAGAGGTTCGCTCACAAAGCCAAGTTGGGGGCAGTCAAGAGCCTTTCCATAGTGCCGGAAGAACACCTGCTTGTATTTGTCGATGAGTGGACTCGAGTGAATCACTTAGAAATCTCACCCAACTCTGAACATCTCGGTGTGGCGTTAGCTCTGATCGGGCGGGTGGACGCTTTTTCGCTCATGTCGACACGGGGTTTCCAGATCGACCTGGGGAGGGATCCGGACGATGGCGTTTCTTTTCGGCATACGTTGGCTGACATTGCTGTCGTAAGAGAGCACGTGGACCTGTTCAAGCACCTGACGGACTTCTATCCCCCGTCCCTCGTTCATATCAACCGTCTGCTTTATTGCGTCTGTGAGCAGAACGGCGACTTGGACATGATACGACATCTCCACGAGGAGTGTGGGGCCGATCTTCTGCAGCAAGACGGTCCCATATGGGTAGCGAGAGTAGCAGGGCACCGGGACGCCATCATGTATATTTTGGACAGGGGAGGGAATATGAGCGAGGCTTTCAATCAGTGCTGTGGGCGAGGTCACCTCGCCCTTGTCGAGGAGCTCATGTCGATGGGCGCGGAGGTCGTCCCGGAAGCGCTTGCGAACGCTGTTGGATGGGAGCAGATAGAAATTGCAACGCTCCTTTTGACGACAGATGTGGACGTGGAGTCATCGGAGGTGCAGAATGCTCTCCAGTGGGCGAAGGAGACCCGGCGGACAGAGATCGTCGCGTTATTCGCCATTGACGATGCAGAGAGAAACCTGGCTACGCAAAGAGATCAGGTGTCTCGGTGAGTGTCTTACATAGTAAACATCGGTTCCGCGACTACACAGCACACTGAAAGCACCGCGCCCAAGCTCATGGCTCGATGTTTTCTCTCACGGAAGCAAAAACGGTAATCCCGCCGATTCTTACACACGGGCAGCAACCTACATGATACCGGTACGGGGACCCACTTGGGCCGCCCGGGCCTAGCATCGGGTTCATCAACCTGTCCTGCCCTTCTCCGATTGTCTGCACTTCCCTCGACCGCTTGGCCATACGCAACTCTCTCCTGCTCTCCTCTGCTTATCGGAAGCCCACGCGCAACCAGTCATATTCGCTATCTATGCCCCTACAACCCTATCTATGCCCCGCCAAGTGCGAATTTGATGTCGACGGATGGCGTATGCATTAGATCTAGATAATGTTGGGTATTTACATAGAAACCATGATACAGCGCCCTGCAGAGGAGGGTACTGCCAGATGTCTAGATTGCCTCGTAAGCCCCAGTCCAGACGAGGAGTGCGCACATACTTTCCCAGACTGCAAGTGCTCACTTCATATATTCTCCGATGGCCAATATTTTGAGCTTCCGTATGATAACTCGAACTTTTTCTGGAGAACTTCGGACCCTGCTTATGTGAGACGCGTTCGCAATACGCACGCGCAAGGGATGCAACCTGCTCGGATGTCAGTCTCTGGACACAGTGCTCGTTGGTTCCTTACAACCCCCACCAGATCTTGGTAATCCGTCCCGCAATCTGACTTGGAAGGAGATGTGGGGGGCAAAAAAAGGGGACCCCTAATGAACGCGTTTGTGACGCGTAAGCCCATGTCAACAATTCAGGAACGGGCAATTTGCACCTGCTGTCATTCGGCATGCTGCTGTCAGTCCCTTTATTTCACTGACAACCAAAACAAGATCGCTATAAAAGATGCGAGGGATCTGTGGTCCCACTTTCCATCAGCGTTCAGGCTTGCCTTCCCGAAACAAGTTAGCGCATTCTACCAAAACGACCTCGACATTCCCAGGCTGCCGAACCTGTGTGGCGATACCTCCACACATCTCCGCCTTTCAAGTACCGCCCGTTCCAGCAGGAACCGCGTTATACCTACCAGTCTACACTCTATAGTCGTCTACCGTGGAATTTCACTCAGTTCAAAAATGCCAGTCCCCTCTGCCCCCGTGACCAGGCCCGAACCTCGCCTGCAAGCTATGCGGGCAACGTACTATGGAGCCGTCCTAATCAACTTCTTGACCCTCCTACTTCCCGCGCTCTACGGAACTCTGTCAAAGCTCTGGATTGCTCAGCTCGCGCCGTCTCAAGTCGTCACCACTGACATATACACATATGTCGGGGTTGTCACTGAAGTCGTGAATGAAGGCCTGTCACGAGTGGCATTCAATGTCATAGGCGACAAAGAGAAAGGCATGGAAAAGAGAAGAGGGCTATCCTGGACGCTCATTCTGGCACAGAGTGTGCTTGGAACGGCTTTGAGTGTGTTCTTTGTCTGCGCAGCGCCGGCGTTTGCGTCCTTTTCGTGCCGGAAGATGTAAGCTAACATTCCTCCTGCGTACCCACCTACTTTTCATAACTGGCCCTCTTTTTCCTGCAGGTGCGCGAAAACTCCATCACCTATGTTCGCATCGCCGCATTCTCCAGCCTCTTCTCCGTCCTGCAATACGCAACAACAACCGCCACCCGTTCTCTCGACAGACTCGACATCCCGCTCCTCATCAGCGCACTGAGCACAGTTCTCAATATCATCTTAGACCTCATATTCCTCTCCACATTTCGAGTGTACAAGGGCACACCCACTGCAAACACGCAAGGCGTGCTCCGCCTCTTTTGCGACGGCGCGGCTGCATTTGCCGGCATCGCGTACTTCTTCTATAGTGCGCGGCCCGGGGATGAAGCCTTCGATCAACGCATTGAAGGAACTGTCGCGGCCAGCGGTCTTTACGTTTTCGGAATCGGCTATCCGCAATGCGTTGTATCTGTGGCAGGTGGCGAAGATTGTGAGTCTTGGGTCTGATTATGCTACTGCTTGGGGAGTGTTCAACACCATTCGATGGGGAATAATGGTAAGTTCCATGTTGTTGTTCGCCGATGTTTGTATGGAAAACTTCTGATACTCCCTCAACCCATAGATGGTACCGGCAAGCGCGTTCGAGCAAGCAACCTTGGCGTTCGTGGGCCATCGTTGGGGAGAGTACAAAGCCCAGGCCAAAGTCAGCTCCGGAGATAGTGTGGATGAAGAAGAAGGCGGGAAAGATGAGCCCCGTATTGTGGCGGCGGACGACATTGATAAGACTCAAGGCTCGTTGGAGACCGAAAGCGACAGTGGTGACGGCGATGTCGACAAAATTGAAGATGGAAGCGACTCGAGCTCCATTGCTGACTCCAGCGGACCCAAATTGATTATGCTCAAATGTAAGTGTTCGCCAACATCTGCAATCCGTTTTTCGCACACCTTCGTCATCTCACATTCCCCTTCCACAGACGTCACCCGTCCTGCCCAAATCTCCTTCCTCTGGACTCTCGCCATCGAACTCATCCTCGCCCTCCTCATGTCCTTCGCCCTCATCAAACCCTTCGCCCTCTACCTCTCCTCCTCCTCCACCGTCGCCGAGCTTACAACCACTCTCTTCCACCAACTCGACTGGTGCTATGTCCTCTTCACCCTGCAAGTGCAACTCGTGGCGGTCCTCCTCGCCACGCGGCTCGACATCTGGTTCATGACGGCTCTGACCACCAATATCCTCTGGGTGCTGCCCTGGTGCATTGCGTTTCAGATTGGTGCTGTGCCGGTGGAGAAGGCGTGGTCGTTTTATGCGTTGGTCTTTGGGGGTGGGTTGGTGTTTGATTTTGCAGTTGTGGTGCTTACGCTGGGGGTGTGGTGGTGGGCGGTGAGGAGGGACTGGAGGGTGAAGTGGTTGAGTGCTTTGCATGATTAGGAGAAGGATCTGGGCGTAGGACCTCAAGAGATTAAGGACGTATTACTTTACTTCTCGTCTTTGATATGTGGTATCCAGATAGGCGGAGGTTCACCGTTTGAATGTATACCATTTAGTCTAGCCATCAATGTGTCTGGGTCACAGTAGTATCAATGCGAATATCGCACATCATTGAGTGCTGGAAAGCGGCATCCTAGCTGGACCGACGCGCATCAAGATGCGAACAGGCTGCCACCTGTTATGTTGTCTGTAGGGATTGGGTAAGCAAACGCGGAAAACGAAAGAACGCGTCGAATGTCGCTGATTACGATGTCCGACTCCAGCAAGCCAACTCCGCCCTCGAGCGCCGGCTACGTTCTCTGTCAATGCATCCAAGTCTACCAACGCAACTCTGCGGAAAAAATGATTCTGGCCCGACCCGAGCCTGGATACAAGCGCAGAAAGTCCGCCGATACCCTGCAGCATAGCCAATGTTCTCGTACCTCACGAATTCCTGCGAGAAAAGATGTTTAGGCCCGAATCGGGCCTCGATATAAGAAAGGAAAACCCGAACCATCAAGAATGTCCGCAAAACGCACGCAATCCTAGGCAAAATCACTCGGGTCCGACATAGGCCTGGATATAAGCGTAGATGTCCTCCAGCATATACACACTTATGCACACTTATGTTTCCTCAATCATCTGGGAGGACCTCGTACGCCCGATTCGGGCTTGGGACTCGGCAAATATTCTCTGGTGATATCCTCCACCACAAGTTATCAACTTTTTCTTCTGACTAAAAGTCGCATTGGTCTGATCGGGTCTGATACGAAGTAATCGCATGCTAACGATATCTTCCCGGACCACTGATGTTCTCTTCACTCGGAGGGCTTACGGAACGGAGGCCACAAAGGCGGCCCCGAGGCGGACTCGTTCAGAATTCACTTCGCTGAATATTGTCATGCATCACGATGTTGTCTTCCAACGCATACCATAATGCCCGAGTCGGGCCTGGTCGGTGGGCTTACATGGACAATCCGGTTGACCACAGCCTACACAAAATTTTCCGAGGGACGACATCAATTTCGATGACCCAGCGTGCTTGAAGCCCCGATTACGAAGATGCGCGGCGATGCCTGCAATTACGATCTTGGCCCCTCATTCCATAGGCAGCGTAAAACTGCGCTATCCATCAGCATCTGTATGGCACGGAGAACACACGAGAAAGGAGAACCGATTCGCTGGCCCCGACTCCTGTCGTTTCTAAGCAAGCCAGGATCCGAGCGCGGACTCTCCAACGGGAGGGAATTTGTAATACGCGCGAGGGAAAAACAAGGGTGAGCAAAAAAATCGCGTTTCCCAACTCCCCCTGTACAAGAAAACCCAGAAAAGGTGATAGGTCTCATCCTGCCATATTCGTACTTACAGTGCGTATAGGAATCACTAGGTCTGAGTTTTGGGAAACTGATGACAAAAAAGTGAAGGGAAGCGAAGGTGCTTTTATAAGGCGGCTGGATCTGGTTGAGATGTGGAGGGGTCTTGTTCAACCCCTCATGCACTTGCTGGACATCGAACCAGTCTCAGGTTAAACAACGGTAAGTTCCAGGACCCTGCGACAACAATCTTACTTCCGTAGGTTCGTCTTTGAGCCAAGGCAGGGCTCCCGCCATTCCGCTCCCGCTCCCTGTACAGTACATTATGGACCCCATGGATTCCCGCGACCAGACGACTGGTCATCTTGCCCACTCATTCACAAAAACGCGTCGCCTGCTTGCGAAGTGGTCGCGGATATACCACAGATGCCGTTCATGTAGACGTGGGCCTAGAACCCATTGGAATATATATGCATGGCCTCAACGGCCTTGGGGCTCTAAATGTAATAAAACACAGGGAACTTCCTACGCCGACGTCGTGACAGCCTTCCAAACAGCACCTTCAGTCACAAAATCCAAGACCAAGACCTCACTCTCAATGCTTTTCCCGTCGGCACCCTGGCTTCCCTTCCAAATCTGCTTAATCTTGTCTCCAATTTGCTGAAAGTTCTCCGTGGCGAGCGCCAACACTGTAGGTCCGGCTCCACTCACACACACACCGAGCAATCCCGGACAGTCAGACGGCGTCAGGGCGAGAATCTGCGGTAAGCCCGGCACAAGATGTTGGCGGTAATGCTGATGGATGCGGTCGTGCATGGCGCCCCAGATGAGGTCTGGCGATGGCGTCGGGCTGCATAAGGCGGTGGTGAGGACAGACAAGCGTTGCAGATTGAACACGACATCTTCGCGGGCGTAGGTAGTGGGCAGGACCTTGCGGGCCAATTTGGTAGAGAGCTCAAAGTGCGGGATCACGACCACGACGCGGATGCTGGGCGAGACGTTGAGTTTCACATGTCGACCGAGGCCTTCGATGGGTGGGAGTGGGAGATCCAGCCGGTGGTGTGTGTTTCCGTTCGTTTCGCCGCTCAGGCAGTAGTCATCCGGCGTCAACGCATGCACCTTCTTGTACTCCTCCTCAACCCCTACGGCCAGATAGCTCGCACAGAATCCACCCAGCAAACTCGCCGTGACGTTATCGGGGTGGCCCTCCAACATCAGGCAGAAATCCAACACTCGCTCCCGGCTCATACCCAGCTCGCACGCCTCGTTCGCCAACAGGACACCAGCGACCACCGCGGAGCCCGAAGAGCCTAGGCCCCTCGCTAACGGTATATGGTTCTCGATATGCAGCTTCAGAGGTGGTAATGGGACGCCACGGGTGGCGGCGGCAATATAGGACGCGGTTTGGGTGATTAAGTTCTGCGCGACGGTCAAGGGAACGGTGTGCGCATTGTTGCCGGAGTAGCTTATCACTGTTTCTTCGCCGGACTGTAGGACTGTGGCCGTGAGGTGAAGGTAGAGGGAAAGAGAGGCCCCGAGGACGTCGAAACCGGGGCCTAGGTTGGAGGTCGAGGCTGGGACCTTGATAGTAATCTCTCGAGGCATGTTGGCGGTTTGTGTAGTCTATGTGTCTTCCGATGCGTGTAGATTTTGTCTAATATCTAAAGCGACTTGCGCCAGTACGATTCGTAGTCGGGGATCAAGGACTGAAACCTGTTGGTGTGCCGAGAGCCTCGACCGTTCGAAACTGAGCACGAATGTGGCCAGAGTCCTCTTGGCCTTGGTCGGTGGAACTCGGTGCGTCCTCAGTGTCGCCTAGTGTCTCTGTATGAGCTTTGCAACCGGCAAAGCAACCTCAGGTAGTCCTCTCGTGGGCTGAACTCGTTGGGGCTAGCGGTGGGGTAGGATGGGGTTGTGCTGGGCAGACAAACAATGCGTCGAGGATGCCGTTTTATCGTCCCGAAGCTGTGACTCCACCACGTCAGCAGCAATTCCTCTCCAGCCAATTTCGCTTCGCCCCGCTAGACATTAGGCCCGTCTTCCGCAGAACTCGTTGGAAGCATATACATACGCACGTAAATAGTCTAGCAAGGGTTGGGTTGCTCATACATTGTAGCGCTGGTGCTACCAATTCAGCAACGATTCCGCAAGATGGCCGAGTCAGGGCGCCCCGACGACGTTGGTGGGATGCCGTCCGCGAGACCATTCCTCCACGAGCTTTTCCCGGTGCACCGCTGGCTCCCAGACGACGAGTCCATCCCGGCTCAATACCGTCCAGGCACGAATAGCTCGTCGTCCGCCGAGCCCACCTCGTACAGTAGCATTCCCCGCCGTTTCCTGAAGAACCTCACCGCGCGTCTGGTCCGCACTTTGGATGGTCTCGTCATATCCACAACGATCCCGCCAGCACTCGTGCAGCTGCTCCCGAACGTCCGTCCCGCTTGGATACTAGAGGCATCGCCATGTGGAAACTTTTTGGCGGTGCTTTGCGACTCGAGGCTTGAGGTCCGTTCGCGGACAGCCAACTTTGAAGTCACTGGGGTGGCTCGCCTGGACAGGGACGGATTTCCTTCTTGGCGGAGGGTGGCCTGGTCGTTTGATTCTCAGCTTTTGGCCGTCTCAGCCAGCAACGGGAGGGTAACAGTCGTACGGAGTGATGGGGCCATAATGTGCGTCATATCGCCCAAGAGCAAAGGGAGCGGCACTGGGAAGGGATCAACAGCGCTGCCCACGCAACCTGTCCAAGTCGATTTGCAGGCGTTGGGCGAAGGGAAGGGCAATGATTCAGTAGGATTCATAGATCCAGTATCAATTCTACTCTTCCTGCCGCCTCAGCGCGATTCGAAGGATCCTGAGTTGTCGTTCGAAGGACACCCATATACCCATGAACTGCTTGTCATCACGTACGATGGCCTGCTCAGGAGCTATCTAATCCACAAGGACGAACTTGGAAGCTCCCTGCCGCCACCAAACACCACCTCGTTCGTCCCTGCCATGCACACGAGGCGTGCCAGTTCACCCGGGCTGTCCATGCTACGGGAAAGCAAATCACACGCGGGTCGCATCACATTCTACCACAAATTCTCATTTGACCATTGGCACGAGTGCGTCTGCACGGCGACCATTGATGTGGAGCGTGGAATCATGCTGGTCAGTGGGAAGGCAGTACAGAAGAGCAAATCAATGCACTCCACGAGTGCGGCAACTGGGCCCGGGAGCAGTGTCGTGTCGGAATGGAAACTCTCCTGGGACAAGCCTTACTATCATATGGAGGGCCTGGAGCTTAGCGAGAGAGTCGTCAGTCCTCATGGATCAGACGAAGAGGACGACGAGCGGGGAGTATGGGGCGGATTGCGAAAAGCCTTGTCAGTCAACTCGGTGTTGATGTCGCTGCAGCCGTCCCGACGGCGGTTGTACCTCGATACAATACATCAGATTGCCCTCTCACCTAATGGGAAACGATTGGTCACCTTGGATTGCGGGGGCACGTTGAAGCTATGGGATGCACTTCGGCTCGATCTGGTGTGCGAATGGACTACCTCCGCCTTACGAAAGAAGCTCGGGCTTCCCTTTTCAGAGAGTGCGGACATCGCGAAACAGGTTACTGAACAAGGACCCGCGACGACGGTCCCGGATATCTTGACCTCGATGGGCTGGTGGTCCGACTCGAGTGTGTTCCTATCATTCGGAGACGGATATGTTCGAGTAGTAGCCATCCCATCCCTGATGGGACTCTTAGTGGCCGACGTTCCACCATTTCCAAAGATGCCAGACGCCGTTGCGCTGCAACCAGACCGCATCTTCATCCTAATGCACGAGACGGAGGTTGTGCGCCTGCGTTTTCGTGATGGCATATACACACCGATTCGGACCGTCGTAGGAGACTACGACACGGAAGGGCCTACCAGCGGGGCGTTGATATCACGAGACAAAGCGAGATCTATCCTGGAAATCATCGTTTCGCTTCTCTCCCGCCCACTACGTATCTTCACCTCGACAATTCTTTGGCACTGGGAAGAGGACGCCTCCCCGTCACAGAAAACCGTTATCGTAAACCGCCGCCACTATCAGCTCATGTGCCTGCTGAAAACCACACCCTTGGAAGCCATGCGTCGCAAGATCCACGGACAAGAGTACGAGGCCGCCCTGCAGCTTGCCCATGAGCATGGACTGGATATCGATGAGGTGTACAAAGCGCAATGGATGCGTGCGGATGTCACCGAAAACGCGATTGCGGATTATTTGGCGAAGATAAAGGATAGGGAATGGGCTTTGAGAAGCTGTGTGGAAAGGGTTCCGGCGACGTCGAAAGCTGCTAGGCTGTTGCTACGATACGGCCTGACGCAGACCGACGTGATATCGTTACAGGATGTTGAGCGAGAGGTCGAGGAATTGCTGGATGAGATTGACGAAGAAGCCGTACACCATGCGAGGGTGGGTGTAAACATGTTTGGAGCGTCAACAGCGACAATCTGCACATACCGTGCCCGAATATTGAAATACCTAGACCGTCTGGAGACCCATGCCGCGATATTTGCTGGCTCGTTCGATGAGGAGGACGCTGATGGCCAACGTATCACCTTTGCTGAGCACTTCGCGTGGTTTCGCGACTGCAACCTCGTCTTGCAGGCTGTGGATTTCGCGGTGGATGAGGATACGGTGGCCTTGGAACATCTGTTCACCCGCCATGGGAAGGACATCTTACCGTATCGGTTAGCTGTTCTGGACCACATTCCCGAGACCGCTGATCCTACCGATTACAAACACTTGCTGCCGAGAATCGAACCAGCAACACAGCGCGAGATAGAATGGCAAGTCATTCCGTGGCGACGGCCCGATTGGACCGAATCAGACAGCGTTAGGGAGTTTCTGGAGATGGTTGAGGACGAAGAGGAAGGCGAATCCAACATGAATTCTATCGCGACCACCTTACGCAACTCAACCACCCTGCCTCCCGAGATCATCTGCACAGTCTACCCAGCCCCTCAACAAGTCCTCAGCGAATGGTACGCGTCCCGTGCCCGCTTCATGGAAGCCGCATCAGGGCAATCCGACCTTGCCCTTGACCTCGTCCGACTGGGCATCCAGCATCACGTGAGCGGTCTAGAAGACCTCCGGGATAACCTCATCACGTTGGGCAAACTACTTTACGAATGCTACGATCCGACTTCGAAGGATGTGGTAGATCTATCTCTGGATCGGTTGTCCAGGTTGTCACCTGAGGAAGTTCTGCGGTTGTTTGTGGCGCAGTCAACGGACGAGACGATCGTTAGGGACGTGAAGCGCTTCGTGCTACCGTACATATGTAACCGCGCCATTAGAGCAGACCCGTCGTTGAAGGCAACGAGACCCGGCGATGAGTACGGGTTCCAGAAGCAGTCGAGTCTGACTGCTTCGAATCTGCAGATTCTGTATGGCTGGATCGCGAGCGTCGCGGAAGAGCATCTGGAGTGGTGTACGCTGATTCTGGAGGATTCGGTGGCGGCTGGATCTGAGGAGGAACGGATCGTGAGCGCGGATAAGCTGCCGGAGCTGGTGCTTGAGTGCGCTTACCGATGCCACCGGTCCGATGCTGCCGTAGGGGCGCTTTACGACCGGTTGCGACACTGTTTGCCGGTGGAAGAAAGTGAAGAAGAAACAAAGGGTGGTCGTAGGCAGGATGGCGGGAAACCTGGTGCGGCTAAAGCGCAACGGGGCTCGTCGAGTACGAGGAAACCGAAACCGTCATCCTGGGAAGATGAGTTGGATATCACTTTGGACGATGTTGCGAGTACTGCTGCCGGAACGCCAAAAGGCTTGAAAGGTCTCGACCCGGAACTCCAAGCGCGCGTTCGGAGGTTCATTGTGCATGTCAAAGTCGCTCAGATTCTTGCAGAGTACGGGCTTCCCAAACCCCTCCCATGGCTCAAGGACGCCGAAACGCATCCAGAACAGCAGCGGGCCTTGCTGTTGTTGCTTGCACGCCAGTCCTCAGGTGACCGTGCTGCACCTGCGGGCTCGGTAATTCCCGCAGACGAATCGCGGTTCGACGACGATGAGGACTGGATGGGTTTGCTGACGCACATGCTTTCGTTGCATGAGATGGGCGTGCTGAGTCTTGTGCCCCGAAAGGACATCTATGTGGAGTATCTCTCGGTCATTCTAAGCTGCGGACTGTTCAAGCTCGCGAAGCGGATCATGCACCCTGATCGGAAACTGCCGCCCTTGTCCGCGGATGCCATGGAGGGTTTGTTGATCAATGCCGCCAAAGAGTATTACGACAACGCCGATTCCGGGGATATGACTCAGGGTCTGATGAGAAAAGCGCGAGAATGTTTGAACGTCTTGCCATCGTCGCCGGCTCTCCAGACCGAACTCGATTTCGTGCAAGCTACTCACCAGCTCACCGTGCGATACAACCTCACGTCCGAGAATACCGGGGATATCATCCTACCGATCCAGATTCGCCTCCATCCCGATCGGGTCCAATTGATAGCGCGCCTCCTCTATTCGGAACCAGACGCCTATCGCGCTCCACTCGACGATCTGACCCGCAAGATCCTCCGCGAGCAATACAGCGCAACCGCCAAAGCGCGCGTTCATGCCCTTATCGCTGATGCTGCCCTGCGGGCGGGCGACTGCGACTTTGCCTACAAGACCTGCGAGGCGCTGTTGATCTTCATGGACGACTTGCACCCATATTCACGTGACGTGGCGAACGCCGTCTGTGAGGTGTGCATGGGTTTGGCCGGGGTCGCCAGCTGGCGTGAAGTAGAGAAGAAGATGAAGCTTGTCGGCCATGCTTTGACGCTTTGCACGGAGGAGAAGATGACGGAGGTGTTGGGCGTTTGGACGCGCCTGGAGACTGAGAGGGTCGCCTTGAGTGCTGTGAGGAGCGCGATGACTCATGGGGAGGGGGAGAATACTGAGGAGGATGCTCTGAGTCTCGTCGCAAACCGATCAGCTGGGGACGGTGCTTATGTCTTTAGTCATGAGAAAGCGTTGGGAGAGCTGGAACGCCAGGCATTGGCGTTTGATGATCCGGTGTTCGCTGCAAGCGAAGGTCAGAGGTTAAGTCAGTCCTCCTTTTATTCGACGGAGCCCAACATCATCATCAAGGGGAAGAGAAAGAGTGAGAAAACTTCTTCGGCAAGACGAATCGTCTTGGAAGCCCTCATGCGCCTAAAAAGCGTCCAAACATTCAATGACGATCACGAGAACAGGCCCGCGTCTAATGATCGAAAGACAGACGATAGTCAGTACGATGCAGAGTTGCTTAGCTTAGCTCGGGAGTGGTACGCCACAGACGCAACGTATGCCCTCGGTTATATGCTCGCCATCAAGGAGGACACGACAGCAAAACGATTCTTCGAGGAGCTTCCTGCGTCGCCGGTCAACGAGCAATTGGCTTGTTATTACTTTGCCGTACGCGCACTGCATATCGCCTTAGGTGAAGAAGACAGGGCAGAGTTGATCAATGAGCTGTATCGATGTGACCCAGCGGACATCCTCTCCAGAGTTCGTGAGATATCAGCGAAATATGGCGTCGATGAGTCTCAACCCCCGGAATCGGAGAACAGCGGTTGGGACTTGCATCTCGATGAGCACACTACCGTGGCAGATTTTAAGGCTCTTTCCCAAAACACCGCTACCTCCCCGCATGTCAAAACCTTACTCGCCACTGCGCTTCGCCATGCCACGTCCATGGCAACCAAATCGCAAGCACAGAAACTTCGCTCGCTCTATGACATGCCTGGTGTAGACATCGCCCGGTTCGAGGCGGACCCGGCGTACCGTCGTGAGGCGGTGCTAAATTTGGCACGGACGGTCGACATTGCTGTGTTGGAGCGGGCCTTTGTTTTGGCCAAGCATGTGAGCATCGATGATTATGATGTTGCGATCGAAGCACTGGAATGGTGGTTTGCGAGCGAGGCAGCTGGCGATGTGCAAGCGTTGATTGAGAAGGTGAAGCCCATCGTACAGAGGAGTGAGAAGATGCAAGATACTGTCGACCGGATCGGACAGTGGCATGCAAAGGTAGAGGGTTAGCTGCTGGCGGTACGCATACCGTTTGGCTGCTAATCATGCGTTCAACATCTTGTTGCAGATATCGGGGACTAGTCGAACAAAGCTGCTGCAATTATACAAATTCCTTGTTGACTGTGCCGAGTCGACACAAACGCACTTGGAGGTATGTCACCTCGTCTTCTTTTACCAAGTTTGTGCCGTGCGGAGTTGACGTGCACAATGTCCATAGACTGTCCCGCAAGTCAGCCTCCGCATAGACGTGCTGCAAAGGCTCGCCGCTGGCGGTAAAGCCTTGTCCATTGTCGACTTCAAGGAGCTCATTTCCTCACAAAGTGCGGATGTGGACACCTTTATCAACGCTTTTGGCCCTATTCGATCGATTCCCATTCTTGAGGTTGTCGCGGCTATCGTGCCCAGGTATGTCCTCCATAACTTCGTACATTTCTCCCGAGCGATTCGTGGTGCTGATTCGACACTCCCTTTTCAACAGTGTGCTACAGCTATCCCCAATCGCTCTTTTTGCTGATGAGGTTGATGTCGTGGATTTACCAAAAGCAGTCGTCGCTGCACCCGGCATTGTGAGCAAACTTCACGCACACTACCTCGATTCCAAATTACCGAGCGTGCCTTGGGAGTATCTAGAAGAACAGAGGTATGAAACACAAATTCTCGCGGAGTCCGATATTCCCTTATTTCGACTGATTGAAACCCCATCACTGCTTTCCAGTGTTGCCGCGCAGTTGTCTCAATTCATGATTTTGTTTGAGCACTTGAGCGCGGAGGATTTGCTTCAGATTACAAGAACCCTCACGGTCGCGGAATCGGTAAGTCAGCAGTCACGGGTCGCCATGGATCCTTCTCTGCCGGCAACCGACAACTGACAATACTCTCAGGCGATCGGAATCCCTGTGATATACCGGCAAGATCTTGTGTCAAAGTCTGATGCGCTAATGCAACAGCACGCTGCGGCCGGGAAGGTAGTGTGACACCCATCGATCTGCTTGTGCTTTCACCGCTCTCCGGCTTGACTCAAAGAGTCTGCTCATTACCCCTACAGGTATCCGAAGCACATTTGAACGAAATTCGAAGCATAAAGCGCCACCTGAACCTAATCGGAGGATTGGCGTCGCTTGTTGATAATGACTATGGGGAGACCATTGCCCCCGAGCGTGTACAGCAGTTCGATGCCTTATATGGAAAGGAGACGAATCAGGTACGCCCTTATTGCAGATTTTCGTGTATCGAACGCCGCCTACCTACTCACCATCTTTCCTCCAAAATTAGTTTGCAGGTGTCGTGATGCGGATGGTCATTGGGGGAATATCCCCAGTACTGGTCTACCAAGCCTGCAAACTTCTCAGTGCTGCATTTGACCAGGATCTGACCATTCTGTACCCTGCCACTTTGTACAAAGAAACGGCGTGGAGTATCCTCGGCGTACCCTCCGCTACACCTTTTGAGGGCGTGTTTAGGCGTGGAGTGGACTCACCCTTGGCGGCATTCGAGAGAGTTCTGGGCAGTGTGGCGCCCTATGCGCCTGCTCCTGCTGCTGAAATTGGGAGCCCACAAGCGACGGCTGAAGGTGGATGGCACGTCCATGGGAATGACGATTTTCGGGATACGACATCACCGAGCACGTCAACATCCACCGCACCCACGAAAGTGAATGAGGGATGGGACGATTGGGAAGAGGATCACTCTGCAAAACCCAAATTGAGTCCCCGGCCGTCGCTGACCGTGGATACCTCGCGCACCCACCCAGCACCCCAGCACCCATCTCAGACGGACATCGACAGCGAAGGGTGGGACATTGGCCACATCGAAGGCCTGAGCCCCGTGAAGACGAAACCGGCGGCCCCTGTTGAGCCGCTCACCATGGACAGCGGTTGGGATATCGACCTCCAAGGGCTCAGCCCCGTGAAGGAGAGCAAACCCGATGTGGAATCGAGCGAGAGTGGGTGGGATATTGATCACATTCCGGGACTCAGTCCTGTCAAGGAGACGACGAAGCCTGCGGAAGGGTTGGGCGACAGCGGATGGGACATTGATTACCTTGAGGGGTTGAGTCCGGTCAAACAGACGTCACATGAACCTTCTGGGAATCCCGGGTTGAACTCTGCTCTTTCAGACGACAAGGAGCAGGTTTCCGCAATCGATAGCGGATGGGATATTGATCTTAGTGGATTGAACCCGGTGAAGTCATCCCCATTGTCTGGCAACACTGTTCCTGCGCCGACTCCAGGGCCGTTGGGAGGAGGCCAGGAAGGAACCGTAACGCCGCATACACCGTCCAAGCCGGCGCCAGGACTTGAGGACGTCGTTCCTCCCTCAAAGGCACAAACAGCTGGCGATGTACTCTCAGAGCCATTCGACGTGATCATGGTCAACATCATGAAGGCACTGCGCGAATGCCTGACGACTGTGGTGAACGACCAACAGAGATTCGGGCCCGCTCTGGGTATGCAAATGCTCGACCTTCTCAAACGATATTTCATCCTCTCCGCGACCGAGTCGATCGTCATGCAACGCCGCAGGTTGTGTCTCATGGCCGCCGCCGCTTGGAATGTTCAGATCCGCGAATCCGATCTGATCGACATTTCGGGCCGCCAGAAGGTGTTACAGACGCTATTGGCCAGCACGCAGACTGCTGCGCAAGCTCAGGCCCTCGTGGCTGTCCTCTCCGAATGGCTCCCTCCTATCGGTGCGAGTAATACACAGCAAGCAGGCGTAAGGGGCTACCCAGTCCCAGCCTACCTCCAACTCTACTGGAACGCGCTGCTATGCTGGATGGTCGAACATCAAGAGTTCTCCATGGCGTTACTTGTTCGCGTCGAGTTTGCAGCGTTCAACATCCTGGACCAGAAAGGAGAGATGATCCTCCTGCAGACGTTGCAGGACTCACAGAAGTACGCGGAATACTTCAAACATGGGCTGCTGTCGCGTCACGCCCGGATACGGAATGAAGCGATCAGCGAATTGCATAGTGTCATGGATACGGCCCCTTCGCCTATGACAAATACTCGGAATTCGTCAACTTCCCAATTGCAGGGCCCATTCTCGGAGGTGGAACAGGATCGGTTCCTCCATGTCTTGATCTGCGCAAGAGGACTGGCCGCGCTGGTTGCCGGCACCCCATTGTGGCCCGCGGTCAGAGCATCACTGCTCGCATCCGCTCCCGACGTGAACCCCACCAATCAATTTGATGGCTACAATACCAACACTCGTCCGACGACCAACCACTCGCGCCTCCTCACCACAGTGGCCGGCGAACTTCGCGGGGCAGGCTACGTTGCCGCAGCCGCATCTCTTCTCTCCGCATCACCCTCCGCATCCGGGTCCCGCTCGCCTATCGCCTCACGTCCATCCAGCTCGCTCGGATTGGTTACATCGCCTGCCTCAGGCGCTGCCGACGGCGGCGGCGGAGTGTTTGGTCGTGTCTTGAATTTGGCGGTTGCGGCAGCTGGAGCCGTTGCGCATCCTTTGCTTTCGGGCCATGTCACTAGAGCGCCTATCCCGGCCCAGGAATGGGAGTTAGAAGAGAAGATGCTGGAACGGGTGGCGCCGGCCTGAGATGTTAATTACCATAGGGTAGGGGTTCCGGAAATGATACCTACGAGACGAGCGTCGACCGCAGACGCCATATTTATCTCGAGTAGTTAGTCGGCCGAATCAAGTATCATAACGAAGTTTTTGGGGTGTCCTGATATGGGGCCTGAGTTTTACAGATTTTTTCTCGTGTACCTACAACATGTACTGTATATACTGTGTGAAATGTTAAATGGAGAGGGTTTAACATCCCAAAAGATGCACGGGGTACGCGTCTTCGCCGTTCGGCGTGATGAGCGATGGACGCCTATAAGTGGCCATGCATGACCTGAGAATGAAAACCCCCTTACTTGGCATACATGTACAGAGGACTTGCAACGGAGGTCAGCTGCACGAGTTGCATTTAGCCCGACATGGGCCTAGATGGGTTCGGGAATTTGCATCGAGACTGCTGTTCTCCCCATATTGGCTGGCAGCGGCAACCTGGACAGAGAACCTTGAGATACGGAAGCAGAGTTGTGCATACATAACAGACTGGTCTGGCGTCAGTTCTGTAATGCACCTACCCATTCGTCACCCGTGTCTACGGAAGGGACCATTCGCTGGGAGTTTGAATCTGGAGCTGCCAAACGCGTGCTCGAAACGCGTCGAATTGCTCACTTCGCTCGGAAGCGAAAGCGGAGCTAGCGGAGTTTGAAATGACTTCACGCGCGATCGCGCTGTCACTCGCTTACGTACTCCACTGTCATTTTTCTCGCGCTCCCTTTTTCCGCTTGCGGTGCACGAGAGATTGAGCATTCCGATTGCATTGCTGTAACTTGCCAGAAGACGAGACTTAACGAGCGGAATGCATCCGAGAGATTCAGAGCAGTGCGAGAGCAGGGCTGCTTCGTCGCTAGATCCCCGCTACGGCTGCCAGCAAACTACGGAAATACTATACTCCGTGTCTCAGGTCAAGATCAACTTACGGGGCTTCCGTCGGGACTCGGCAAATGGCAACATTTCCTGTTCTTCGAATGAGGAGTCTCCCGTTGAACATGAAGCTAGGAGTGTTCAGCGGCGCAGCGGCGCACAAGTTTGCGCCGACATGCCGAAAAATCGTGGATTTTTGCGCGTTTTTGACACTTTTGTCGACCTACAGCGGGAAAAACTTGACATAGAGTGCGCCGAATAGCGTTACATCGAAGGTTTCTTGGTGTAGTTGGTTATCACATCTGTCTAACACACAGAAGGTCACCAGTTCGAACCTGGTAGAAACCATTTCTTTTGGATGATTCCATGTTTTGTATGGGAGCTTCCCGGAACATATTTTTGAATGATTCCAGTCCCGTGTCGGTGCTGTTTTGTATGGGAGCTTCCCGGAACATATCCAGTCCCGTATCGGTGCTGTTTTGTATGGGAGTTTCCCCGAACATATACGGGAAGTCGAGGCTTGTTGGAACGGCGCGTCAAGTTTGGCTCGAAGTATGTCAAAGAGGGAAACAGTGTGTTTTGTATTCGTAGACGAGGGATGACTGTCGAGCGGCGTACGATACTTGAATTCATTTTACGAGACTTTACAACACGTTCAGATCTGGACCAGATTGGGATTTGATATAAGATGTCAAACTGGACGTCGGAACGGTTTGATTTGTTCGGCGTGGACGAGGGATGACTTCGGACCCATCACGGAGCTTCACCCAGATGCGGTGAAGCTTGGCTCAACGGTTTTGATGGGACCGTGGAAGCACGTGAAAATCGGGCTCGATAAATAGATGTCAATTTGGGTACTGCTTTTTTGTTTGCCGAAGTCACCGCAAGTCTAAAAGATGCAACACCGCAGGACCGCCACGATTCCCCACGGAAGCCATTGGGAAGCCACGGAAGCCACGAAGGAAAGGTCGTTTATTATCGCCCACTTCCTCTTTCCTATTATTGCGATCTGTTTTGTTTGCGTGGATGACGGAGGAATTGCGACGGCCATGCGTGTTTCTGGTCTGTCTTCTTTGAGTGGATTCGAGCTGATTCGAGGCTGTCGGAGCTTCGACGTCGGCGCGATTCCAATGCTTAATGCTTGTTACGGGAACCTTCAGCACGTTGAAACCGAGGTTCGACAAGTATGTTGATTTGGAACCGACTCCTTGTTGGAAAGTTGTTTCCGCTTCAATGCGTCTGGATGTGGTCGGACGGTATTAGCAGGAGATTCAAAGGAGGGGGAAAGGGGGACTGACTCGTGGCCATGGTCGCGCGTTGCTGGCTGGGGCCCGCCGAAGGTCTTCAGACGTGCCTCCGGGTCGCGCCCCGCGAGCCAGAGGTTGCCTATCAGTATATGCTACCTTGGCACGAGTACGTTCAAAAGCTTTCCGTTGAGTTCGTCTTGACAAGCCTCTCGTCACTTGTGCGGAAAAGGACCATCACCACCAATGAACTTGAAGGGCCTCTCGCAAAGGTCCCCAATTCAGATGTTCTACGTATTTGCCGCAATCTATAGTCCACACTCCCCGCTGGCCTACCCCCATCCCCTCTACACTCTATCAACTCACAACTTCCGCTTATAAATTCTGTTCATGAACGTCACAAACATATCCCTCGGCAACAGACTCTCATCAATCTGCTCAATCAGCTGCGAAATGCGCGTGTAGCTCCGGTCCTCGTACTCGCGGTAGACGGATTCGAGGTCGAGTTGTTTGTAGATCTGCTTGACGATGGACACGGCGGAGGGTGATTTTTGCCCGTAGTTTGCCTACGAAATGTAAATTCAATAAGAGATAACGCCAAGGAAGTTGGGGGACGTGACCAAAACTTACATCCAAAAGCTTCCTCTGCTCCCCACTCGCGCGCTCCAACGCCTGGATAATCAGCCACCCACATTTGTTATCCTCGATATCCGTGCCCACTTTGCCAATCACCTCCGGGCTGCCGTAGCAGTCGAGATAGTCGTCCTGGACCTGGAAGTACTCGCCGAGGGGTAGCAGCACGGCCTTCGCTTGCGCGTAGGCGGTTTCGTCGGTGATGGCGGCCATGCGCATGGCGAGGGCGATGGGGAGGTAGAATGAGTAGTATGCAGTCTTGTACTCAACTATGTAGGCGTGTCTGTTTGTGAGGGTGGGGATGTCAGCGTTAACCGCGCTTCTGAGCAATGAACGGATATTGCGAACTTACTTTTGAGGCGAAAATTTGGACAAGTCGACGTGGTCCTCGGGCGCCGTCAGCAGGTCCATCATTTGCCCGAGCTCCGTCTGATACGTGACCTCGTGGAACATCTCGACGAGCTCGGGGTAGTAAGATTCAGAGCGGAAGTACTTTTTCAGCAGCCTGAAGATGGCGCTTTCGCAGATGAGGGCGTCGTTGATGGCAATCATGCCAATGTCGGGCTGTTTTGATGATGAGGGTGTTGAGTTGGTGGTCTGCGGCTGTCTGGAACGTGGCTTTCATGCGTTCCTCTTACCTGCTTGTACCAGCAAGGTTGGCCTCGTCTTGTGATGGAGGCGTCCATGATGTCGTCGGTGATGAGGAAGAAGGCTTGCAACTGGGATGCGATGGTTAAAGTGAGTATGACCCTCCTCGATTCGTTCCAAACCTCAAGATTCAGCGGCTACTCACCCATTCAACGCCCCAACCCAACACTTGAGCTTTGAAGAGCTCGTCCTTCGTCAATTCGCGTTTCAGTAGGGATTTGAGAGCGGAAGGCACGGTGAGACCGCGGTTGAGTTTGCCGCCCGGGACCGTGTAGTGCAGCATCTGGAATTGCGTATATGTTAAACTTGAGCGAAAGCGAACGACCAACAACGGCAATCGAGAAAGGACTCCTGCTCGCTTCGCTCCCGCCAAGAATGTTTGGCGGTGTGCAAGAAAAAGCGAATGCGTTCTGTCTCTCACAATCGAAAACGACCGTTCGCTGTCGCTCACATTTGCAGCTCGCTTCACTCGCGGCACGACGCCCGCTTCGCTCGGTTTTTGCTCTGGTCGTCGCTACCAAGCCTCGCCTATGGCTCGCCCGCCTGAAGTAATCTTGCGCCTGGCTCCGCTGGGTGAAAGCCCCGTCCACCCGCCGCGGTTCGCAACCCATCCGGATTCTAGATCCAAGGCGCCGTATCCGTCTCACCGTCCTCTCCCCATCTCCCAGATCCTCCCCCTCTGCTCCTCAACTCACCCTCTTGATATGCTCGACACCCTCCTTGGGCACATTATAGTTCTGCAAGTCCCTCACAATCTCCTCGGAGATAACCTCAAAAGTCTGCATGAAGCTATCCTTCTCGCTGAGTTTCCCGGCCTCGGGGGCCTTCGTAACTGGCGCGGGTGCCGGTGCTGCTGTTGTTGACATCATTCTGTAAGTTATTGAGTGGGCGAATGGCGTGCGTTGGAGGAGTGGTGGTGTAGTGCGAAAGAGTCGAGGGAGACTTTGGCGAAGGAAGGCCGGTGGACGGCGGAAGACGAGAGTTTGGAGGGATATGGTTGCGGGATCAAGTAGCTGGAGGGACGGAGACTGGAGGGAGACCCTTGTGGCGGAGACGGACACTTTATGCAGCTGGCCATGCTGTCCTTTTTTTTCTTTGTGCGTTTATGTGGGACGGCGGGTATGCGAGGGACCGCCAGACGCTGCTGGTGGAAAGACGTCAGACCACCCCCACGCGTTGATCTCAGTTGAGCGCAACAATGTGGCATGATTGGCAGGGGGAGGACTCGCTCAGAGCTCTCATACCCCACCACCACCACCAGCAGAAAGAGCAATGCAACACCACCCAGACCCCCTCGCCCACCTCTCAGACATCTACGCCCGCGCAGGAACACTCCAATTCAGCAAAGCGGCAAAGATCGCCGGCCGGCTAGAGGTGAGATATCCTGTCACACCTTTCCCCATCACTGTACAAGTTGACCTAATCTTTTATGAGCGCCACAGGACTACCAATGCCGCAAAGCCCATCAACACCTCCTCTCCCTCGAACAATCCTACGTCGCTCTCGAATTCGCGCGAAAAAGCTTTTTTCGCAAACACGTACGTTTTCCCAAAGTCACGTCTGAATTCCGACGCGTTCCGCCACGGCCGAAAAAGCTTGACGAGTTTGCCACTATAGAACCACCACGGAGCCTACACGACCCTCATCAAAGAGTTTCAAGAGCTTGAGAGACGATATGGAGGGACCGGAGAGGCGAACGGGCCTGTGTCGCTGCTGGCCCTGCATTTTAGGGCGTTAGGGCTGTTTTGTCGGATTAGGGTGCATCTTTTGGATATGTACGTGTTGGATTGAGGAAGAGAGGGGGTATAGAGACGGAGGTGAGGGCTGCGAGGATTAGCGGAGGATAGCAAGGCGCGAGGGTTCAGATTATGATGAGGGATGGGTCGGGAGGCGAGCGGTGGAAGGCGGGCGAACCGACATGATCCATGAGAAGCCAGCGACAAGCAGGGCAACATCAACACGAGCGCTTGAACGCCTTGTTCATCTCACTCTTCCATCCCCACACAACAGCTACCAAACCCTCGCAACAACCTCATCCCACACCGAATCACTCACCCACCACCTCGTTCTCAAATTCCACACTTTCGTCACCCAACAACGGCTTAACTGGAACCTTGACGCACTCGGACGACTGGGGGATGTTCTCTGGTAAAGCTCATAACTATTCCCCCCATCGTGCAGGGAGTGCAGCATTGCTCATGCGTTCCGATGATAGTTACGAATTCAAAACCCTTGAACACCTCCTCAAATCCTCTCTCGCCTGCGACCACCACAACATCAAAGACGCCGCGCTCTTTCTGTACGTCGCTGACGACGTGTTGGTCGAGTGGGCGCATACCATCTCCTCCGGTTCCCAATCCCATTCGGATCCGGATTCGGCCGAAGTGAATACGGAATTGTATACCTTCTTCAGCCGCTGGAGTTACGCCCTGACGGACAAACTGGGCGTGTTCTTCCATCGCGTGTTGATGGTTAAGCGCATTATTGGGGGGATGAGGGAGGAATTGTTGAGGGAGCCTATTCGATTGTACGTCTGCACATCCATCACATCCATTCCCATTCATCACAGGAGCTCACATTCTAAGTGCCCATTGACTATTGCACCTAGATTACTACGCTACCAAGCCCAAACCAAAGCGCAAAACGTCTCCCTAATTTACCTCATCCGCCCCGACGTGCCCTTTGACGCGGATGGGTACGCGTGCCTGCATAACGGGAAGGCCGAGCCGCTCACGGGTCTAAAGTCGTTTCCTGCTGTTTGTAGTGTTCCGTCGGTACGTGTATGTAAATCCTCCATTTTTCGATTTCTCCCCCATTGACGAAGGTGATGCTTCTACTTTCGATGATTGCAGGAAGCATCACCAACTCACTGGCCCAACATCGTCTCCCTCCTCCAACGCTCCCTCCTCCCTCTCATCCCCTCCTCACCTACACCCCCAACCCCACCACAACACCAACCCTCTTACACCTCCCTCCTAACTTCCTACCTCCTCCCCACCTCACAACCCGCACCAGCAACCCCAACATACCCCACAACCCGCTTCTACGACCCCAAAATGGACGTAACGTATGTGCTCGCGCAGGTCGTGGAAAGGTTGGTGATGGCGGTCACGGTGCCGGGGAGGTGGGAGGAGAGAGTGGGAGGAGGGAGTGGAGTGACGGCGCAGTGTGTGGGGAGTTTGAGGAGGATGGTCGAGGGGGCGGACGTTTGGGAGTTTTTGGTTGGGGGCAGGTAGTCAGGGTGTAGGGCGATTTTGAATCGAAGTGGGGGCTGTGTGACGTCGGCAAGGTCCGCCATCAATGGTGCGCACATCTTGGATCTTCAAAGCGTAAGCAGACTTTCGTCGTAGGCCAAAATCGCCCATCAAACTCTCCGATATACTACAAAGCCCACGTGAGACAGACAGATCCCTAGATCGTCTGCAAGTTAAACCCCATCTTCAACGTCCCGACCACCCTCTCCACCACCATCGAGACCACCCGTCCCGCCCGCGTGCGTTTCAGTCTCCTTAGCAGGCTCGCGAGAACGAGGAGGGCGAGGAGGGCCGCGAGGGGTGAGAGGCGGCGGAGGAGGGCGTTGTGGTTGGTGTGAGTGGGCGGTGGTGGTTTGGGTGAAGGGACAATGACTTTCGTGCTTTGTGATTGTGGGGATGGGGCTGGTTTGGTTGATGCCGATGCAGGTGAGGTTCTTGGCGGGGAGTTTGTTGAATGGTTGTGAGGGTGCGCGATGTTGGGTTCTGGTGTTGAGGACAGCTGCGAGGCAGTTGCGGCTTTCGTGACGGCTGCTGAAGGTGATGATGACACGGAGGGAGGCGAACGGTCGGTCGGTTTCACGCCATTGGGTTTGCTCGACTTCTGCTGAGCGGACTTCGCGACGACCTCCTGTTCCATCTGGGCCATATCCAGTTGTTCCAGGTATTCCTGCATGCAAAGAGAACATCAGTCATCGCATCCATACTCCCCCCACCGCTACAATTCACAAACCACTAACCAGCCTCTCCGCCTCATCCAACACCTCATTCATCTCCAAAAACGCGCGCGCCCCAACCCAATCGCCCATCTGCGGCAAGATCCGCAAACAGTACCACTCCACCACTTTCTGATAGCCCGTGCGTGGGTGCGGTAATCTTTCCTCGGTTGAAGTTGACTGGTTTTGGTGACTGGAGGTGGCGATGGCGTTGTAGGTTGCGTCGCTCATGGTCGCGAGCCAGGTTTCAATGAGGGTGCGGGATAGGGCGGGGTTGTTGAGGAGTTGAACCCTGGTTTGTGGAAGAGAGTTGCCTGGGGTTAGACTAGGAAATGAGAGCATGGGCAAGCGGCGACTCGGACTTACCCAGCACAAACAACCTGCCCCGACACATCCCTTCCCATCCTCGCACACCTCCCAATCACATACTCCCACTCGCCACCCAAGTCCCTGCCCTGTTCATCCTTTACACGCCCTGCAATCTTCAAAAAGAGCATACACAGCGCCTCCCACGCGACCCAGTCCACCCGTTCATTTCTCGGCAGTCCCGCGTCCAGCTGCTGTTTGGCGAGAGTGTAGGCTTCCGGGAAGCGTTGTTGGGTGTAGAGCTTGGTGACTTTTCGGATGGTTGTGTGGAGGGATGTTGTTGTAATGTGGGAGACCCCGTTCACGGCGGGATTGGGATGAGGCGAGTCGGATGTCATGGCGTTGTGAGAAGGTCTCGATGGTCGTTGCGACCGTTCCCGGGGATGGCAGGTCTTCTGCAACAGTGACTTATGCGCTTTATGGGCTTTGATGGCCTGAAACCCTTTCTCAGTGGTTGGTTGAAATGACCTTTTGAGGTTGAAGTCTGTTGAAGTTGAATTCTGATCAAGCGGGGGAGAACGCGCTCCTCGTCCAACTGTGAGGCGTCCACCTCAAGGCAGACCTCAAGGGAACCTCGGGCAGACAATCGAGGAGCACGCCAACCACGCTGAAAACGTAGCACTTGGCAAGTTATACGCCGGGATGCCAACGGAAGTGCAGCAAAGGGTGATCGGAGCACAGCCTGGAAAGAGGAAGGTTGTCGTGGCGACAAACGTGGCGGAAACCTCCCTCACAGTTGGGGGCGTCGACCATATGGTTGACTGCGGTGCCGCCAAGATCATGGTATTCGATCCGTGCTCTCGCCTGCATGAACTTAGCACCAAGTTCTGCAGCAGGGCGGATGCAGAACAATGCGCGGGAAGAACTGGTCGCACTGGTCCCGGTGCCTACTGGGCATGCTTCAGCATGGCAGACTTCTCTGGCCCCTTCCTTGACATATCTTGAGCGGAGGTCAAACGAGTGCGACTCGAATCGGCTGTCCTTTGCGTCAGAGGATTCGGATACCGCGGGGTTGCGTGGGATGCTGCTTGGCCCTGGTTCGAGCAACCTGGTGAGTTGTATAGCATTCTTACAGATCTGGGTCCTTCCAGGGAATTGTCCTTATACCTGTCACTGCACAGTGCCGGAATCATGGAAACTCGGGAACGATGTTTTGACATGCATCGGTGTCCTGAAGGAGACAGGGGAACTCACTCGTGTCAGTGCTGTGGTGGCAAGACTCCCCATTGACCCTCAACTGGCGACTGCTCTTTGGCACGCTTGTGATAAGGGCGTGGGACGACATATGTGCGATCTGGTGGCAATATTGGAACAGCGCGCCTCGGTCCTGCAATGGCCGAATGATCCGCTCGAGCGTGGTGCAGCCCTGCAAGTATGGGGCTCAGGCCCTCAAGGCCGGAATTTCATCGACGACACGAGCGATCACTTCGCACTCCTTAACGTGTTGGCCTCGTATAGGAAAGTCCATGTCCCACTTCGACAGACGTGGTGCCGATCGGGGTTCATCAACATGCCATCATTAAAACTCGCAGAGCACTTGAGTGGTCGGTTGTTGATAGCCTGTAAGGAGGCCGGCCTCACCACCGATGTTCGCACATCAATCACGACGCCGAACAAGCGCAAGCTCATTCTCCAGGCACTTGCGAGAGGCTTTGAGACGCAACTAGCGGTCAAACCGGACACTGACACCTTCTTCACCACTGTCCACTTGAAGACTACGGTGAGATCTTAATGATTCAGCGTCATATCTGCACACTTACCGACCACCATTTCTGCCCTCCCTCCCAACAGGACGTCGTCATTGACAACAATAGCTTCATCCCACAGGAACCGCAGGGAGTTGTCTTGTACCACTCAGGCATGATGAGGGGCGAAACCAAGAAGAGGGTGATCTCCACATGTACTGTTCTGCCGGAACCGCCATCCGGACGGACGATGTCAGATTACCTGCCACACCTGCCACACAGGGATCAATTGGGGCAAGTCCTTCTTATTTACGTCAGCTTTCAGCAACGCGTGGGGAACGCGCTCTCCAGAGTCCGTTTGAGGCTCTTCGAGCACTCCTGTTGTGCATTGCTGATCTGAAAACGTTTGCAACAATGATCTGGGCCACTCTAGGGGAGTTTACCCACTAGGTACACAGCTACTTGCTATATTAGGGAAGCCTTCGCCTACAAAAGACCGCCTGGAAGCATCCGCACATGACCGCTTGTCTCCGGAAAGCTTCTCAGCTTCTGTTTGGCTCGCCAGTTAGATTTGCCGTTTGGGGACGTTGGCTGATGAGTAAGATTCACACCTGCCTTTGTAAGCTCGCGCTGTCCATCTAGGAACTTTGTGGGGAGACGCTCAGGCAGTGAGTGTCATCCAGCGTTGCGGAATGCAAGGTGAGTGAGGTGTCACTGTCACCTTGGAATGTTTGCCAGACCCATTCTGTGGTAAAGGCATCAGGCGAGGGTCTATTGAAGATGTAACATTGCCCCTCTGTACATATCAGAGACGCAAGAAATGGATTGCGCCGTTATCTTTCCTCCCAAGCTGCTGGGAATCAGAATTCTTTGCCAGAAGTTTTGGCGGCCTGTCGCCACACATCCATGGCTACTAGACAGTTGCTTCCTCGGTCCATGGGACCATCACCTCACCGACTCGTCACATGCTGCGGCAAGAACCGCTCATAGTAAAACTCCTTCGTGCTGCTCTCCAACAACTCCTGCGTCGACTCAGGCAGCTCATCCACCAGCTGTGCTACAACCAGTCCGGCGATGTGTGGGGAAAGATGAGTGGGGAAATCAACACGGCATTTGTCCCATGCCAATGCACCCTTCATTCGTACCTGGATTGCCAGCATATACCGAAAACGACGGTATGACTGTATTTGGGGCGACAACCGATCCATCCAAGATCCTAGAGCAGTCCTTTATGATCGCAAACCGGCCCTGCCGAATGGAACGAAGAAATGATGTTGATATGAGATTGAACCGCGGACAGCCGAGGTTGACGGGAGAGGCGCCTGTCCGTTGTAAACACCATATCCTTGAAAATAACACTCAATGAGAAGAGTGTGATCCGCTGAATACGTACAATAACGCAGTTTTTGCCAATTTCAACATAGGACCCCACTTGCGCCGCCTCTATGACCGAGTCTTCTCCGATGGTCACATGGTCAGCTATCTTCATCGGGTAGTAATTCAGTACCCTTCGAAGTAGAGGCAAAGAGGTTAGTCCGCGGCTCGCCGGTCGAAGGGAAGACTCTTACTTCGGCACTCCCTCAGCACGCACGCACCCTTTGTATGTCTTATATGGGGGCCTTATGACACATCGCTGACTGAGCAAGCAGTATCTCCCGATCGCAACCACCACAGTATGTCCCGGCCCCGTTCGCCGCAGGTCGCCTCGGATAATGCATTCTTTCTGAATGACCGTCTGTACATTCGCGCGCTCAGTGAACATCAAGCCCCAAAACATTCGCCGCTCCTGCTCCATACCTTTCCTCCCAGCACAATATTCTGGCTTCCGCAGATCACAGACTTGCGGCTGACTTTGTTCCCAGTGTCCTGAGTGTTGTGCGCGTGTCAGGCGGGGCGGATCGGGCGAGAGGCTTAAGGAATCAGAGGCAGCGGGCGTACCGTCTCGATGTATTCTGCCTTGTCATAGTAGATTGGAGGGTCCTCCATGGAGCTTGTGTGTGTGCTTAGCGTTCTGCGGATCGGGTTAAGGTCTGCACTTGGAAGGGAATGTTATGGCTTCCGCAATTTCGTTCGCAGGCACGAAAGTTGACGAAACGCGTTGAGCAGAAGAGTCGTCCTGGAAGAGCGAACTCCCCATTCATTTTCTGAACCCCAGCGACCAGACTCCACGGGAGTGCAGTAAATTGTTCGAGACCGTCGCCACCAGTCCCAACCGGTCCTCAGCAGAACCACCGACGTCACCCACCAAATAACGAATAAATACAGTAGCAGCAAACATGTCTGACGCTGAAGACGCCGCAGGCCAGGAGGCTCAGAACTGGCCCACTACCCGAGTGCTGACGGATATAGTCTACTGCGGAGGTACGGGGCAATGACTCACTAGTTCTTCGGTTGTTCGATCCCAGTCCTCACACCAGTTTCCCACATCCCTTTTTAGTATGCAGCATGCCAACAGAGGTACCGTAACTGACCGCCTCCGTATCTATAAAGGTTGCAGATATGTGTACTGATCTCTTTACCGCGACATCATTCGTATTGCTTTCTTGCAGTATTGCGAATTCAGCGGTCTGACGGGAAAGTGCCAAATATGGTTGAAGAGGAACAACCCGGCGCTGTTTGCGAAAACATACCCTGACGTTGGTGAGGATCCTGGAGTTTAGGCGATGGGTGGGGCTGCGGAGGCTGTGCGGGATGATGAGATCCGTGTTTGACGGCGAGCCCGGGATATGGAAGAGGGGGACCAGAGTTAGGGATAACAAAGGGAGAAAGGCGGCAGAATGAGCCATGATTGGGGCGGGATGGCAGAGGAGGGAGGGGAGGCGACGACTCAGGGAGGTCTAAACAAGATGCAGGTCAACGCCTGAGCGGGAAGGATCCGATTCAGTTCTCGCGGATTCCTCATCAGATTGGAAACTGATATCATGGTTCGCTTTTAACAGAGATATCCGACAAACTAGAGGAAACAACACTGGAAGACGGCGAAGAAGCAGGCCTGTCGCGAGAGCAGCGGAAAGGTCAGTATGCATCCCCTTCCTACCCAACCGCATCCCCATCCATCACTTCAATCGACCCCTTTCTCACATTGCCCCCTTTCACAGCGGAAGCCAAAGCCGCCGCAGAAGCCAAAAAGAAAGCTTCCGCCCGCGTCATCGTCAAACGCGTCGAACGCACAAAGCGGAAATGCGTGATCGAAGTCTCTGGTCTCGAGCTGTTCAACGTCGACCTCAAGAAAGCCGCAAAGTTGTTTGCGACAAAGTTTGCGTGCGGGGCGAGCGTGACCAAGAACCCGCAGGGCGGCGATGATATTATTGTGCAGGGGGATGTGCAGGATGATATATATGAGCTGATTTTGAAGACTTGGGAGCAGGTGAGCGGCGGTTGGGGGGGTGTTTTTGTCGCGATTCGAGGGCGGCCCCAGATTTGCAGAGTGCTGTGTGGAGATGAGCAGCCTGGTTTTGACTCGACGTTTTCGCATTGCAATAGGTCCCTGACGAGCAAATCGACCTCACGGAGGGAAAGAAGAAATGAGCGCCGTTTCGAGCACGTTTGGGAAGCATTACACATCCGCGAGTTCCCTCCCTCCCTCAGCGATCAGCGATACTGTAGAAACGCAGGCTCATGTTGAATAGCATTGTACAGACAGATCGTAGAACATAAGATATCAATAGCACGGCGTACGCATTATGTAGTGGACCATACTGTATGTGGTCTGAAATGCACCTACATCAAACACACACAAGGGCCCTTTTCTTACTCGGGGCGGCACATAGGGATATCATGCACTCTATATTTTGTCACTTAGGCCCTTGCCTTCTATCAAATCCAGGTCAGGACTCCCGCATTCGCTTCGCTAACCAGTGGGTCATCTACATGTACAGTATATGCTACTGCTGCCGATCGCGTCTTCCACGGCGTTGACAGGATGCACCACAGGTATTGGACACACAGGCCCTTGGAGTTTTAAGACCAGTCCGAGCGCATCAGGTCGCCTTGAATTTTAGACAGGGAATATGGGCAGTTGGGTTGCCCGCCGATGGTACCGGAGTGCCCAATGCGTTCCATGACTCCAGTGAGTGTAGGCAAGGGTGGATCTCTCCCACAGATCGATTCCGCCTTACCGAAGCCTCCCGAAGCGAAGGAATCAAGACCCAGGATGACATGGTCGACTCTCCTTCATTACGCGACTGCATCCCAATCCACATCCGCCGCGACCATTATGTTCCCTTCCAACACTCATAATACTGTAAGCGTGGCACAGCTTTCCTTTCCGTCATTGACCGACCAGGCGCAGCCAATCCCCGCGGGTTCCCTCCCATGTCCCTCTTCTCGGCCGTTCGACGGGTGACGCCCGGTGACGCCGGGTCCTTCCTCAAAGTGATGACTTTTTCACGAGATGTCGATGAACGCTCTCGTGTCAAAATTTCTTTTCGATGACTCTCAAACGCGTCGCGCGTGATAACGTGACTCTCCCACATCTGTTGCATGCGGCCTGTCCCGGCCGTCACGGCGTCATCCTGTGCTATTCGGAACAAGTAGGAGCTTAATTGCTCCTAAGACGCGGAGAGAACCGGGGCGATTTTGGCCAACCTGAGAAGCGGAGGGAACCGGGGGATTTTGGTCCTAAGAACGTCGTAAAAACGAAAAGTGCTCATGATGAACGGGAACTTGTTCTCGTGGGAAAAAACATAAAAGGAGAGCGGGGCTTGCGTCCCCTCCTGCTTCTTTGACTTTGTAAACTGTGCGCTTCTGCCTTCCTTGACCCTTCTGTCCCGTATTCAACCGTCCTGCCATCGAAGTCGACCGACACAGTCGCGGACACATCGCTACTACCTTCGCGTCAAGTCCCTCTCATACAAACATTCACAAGGTATGTTCACCCACAACCAACCAACCCACTGGGCATCTCCTTCCCTCTTCCTTGACGTTGGGCTCGTTGAGCACTCGAAAGAGTGCGGTGCGTCGGGTTCGACATCGCGTGGGAAAAACACGTTTGTGGGGGAAGTGGGCAGCAAATGCGCCCTCGTGACTCATTTCCTCGTGGGGAAAAGAAAAAGACGCGTCTGGTCGCTGGATTATGGCTGTGCCCGAATGCCTTCCAAAGAGAGGGGAGAGGGGGAACAGCAAAGAAGGAATCCACAAGGAAGGAGGATGGGAGGAGGCGGCGCACATATGAGTTGGATGGTGGTTATCGGATTGTGTTTTGGCACGAGCGTCCGATTGTTTGGCTGTTTGACGCGACGGTATCCGAAAGGGGCGCATTTCTTGAATTATTTTTGGGAGCGCGCTTCATATGATAGCCGGCGGGAGGCATATAAACGCCGGTGCACTTCATCCTACCCTTTCTCTTCGCGAGTCTGCACCTTTCCACATTCGAAAAGCTAACAATATCCCACCAGTCTACATAACAGCATCATGACTCAATCGATCGACGACATCCACGAGCAGCTCCACACCGTTGCTCGTGTCGACTACAACAAACCTATCATCCGGAATGCGTCCATCGCCGTCCTGTACGAGCTTGCCCTGAAGAACGAGGCTGGAACAGGTCTTACCGCTGCCGGCGCTCTCGTCACCGACTCTGGCGCCAAGAAGGGTCGTTCACCCAAGGACAAGCGTATCGTTGAGGAGCCCGACTCCAAGGACAATGTGTGGTGGGGACCCGTCAACACTGCCATGTCGGAAAACTCCTTCATGGTCAACCGTGAGCGTGCCATCGACTACCTCAACACCCGGGATCGTCTCTACGTGTTTGACGGTTACGCCGGCTGGGACCCAAAATACAGGATCAAGGTCCGTGTCGTCTGCGCCCGTGCCTACCACGCCCTCTTCATGAGGAACATGTTGATTCGCCCGACCGATGAAGAGCTCGCGAACTTTGGAGAGCCAGATTTCACCATCTTCAACGGTGGCGAGTTCCCCGCTAACCGATACACCACCGGCATGACCTCCACCACAAGTATCTGTTTGAACTTCAAGCGCGCTGAGATGGTCATCCTCGGAACACAATACGCCGGAGAGATGAAGAAGGGTGTCTTCACCGTCATGCACTACTACATGCCAAAAGCCGGTGTCCTGTCTCTCCATTCCTCCGCCAACGAAGGCCCCGATGGTGACGTCTCCCTCTTCTTCGGTCTGTCGGGAACCGGAAAGACCACCTTGTCCGCTGACCCCACCCGTAGCCTCATCGGTGACGACGAACACTGCTGGTCCGACGACGGTGTCTTCAACATTGAGGGAGGATGCTATGCCAAGACGATCGACCTTTCCGCCGAGAAGGAGCCAGAAATCTTCAACGCCATCCGATTCGGTTCCGTTTTGGAGAACGTTGTCTTTGACGAGAACACCCGTGTTGTCGACTACACTGACAAGTCCAAGACCGAGAACACCCGCTGCGCATACCCCATCGAATACATCCCCAACGCCAAGATCCCTTGCGTCGGTGGACACCCCAAGAACATCATCCTCCTCACCGCCGACGCCTTCGGAATCCTGCCACCCGTCTCCAAGCTCACCACCGAGCAGGCCATGTACCACTTCATCTCTGGATACACCGCCAAGATCGCCGGAACAGAAGAAGGCGTCACCGAGCCCGGAGCCACCTTCTCGACATGTTTCGGAGCTCCATTCCTCGTGTGGCACCCAAGGAAGTACTCCGAGATGCTCGCGGAGAAGCTGCGCAAGCACAACACCAACGTGTGGCTCGTCAACACCGGCTGGACCGGAGGAAAGTACGGGGTCGGCTCCCGCATTGCCCTCAAGTACTCCCGCGCCATCATCGACGCCATCCATTCTGGCGAGCTCAGCAAGTCCATCGCCTCCAACAGCGTCACCTTCCCCGTATTTGGCCTCACTATCCCCGGCCCCGGTGGCATCAAGGGAGTGCCCGACTCGGTCATTAACCCCCCCGAGTCGTGGGCGGACAAGGCCGCGTTCAAGAAGAGCCTCGAGCACCTTGCCTCTCTTTTCATCAAGAACTTTGACACCTTCGGTGAGGCGGTCGCTGACTTGAAGAAGGCCGGTCCCGTTTTGTAAAATGGACCCACGCTGCACTTAGTCATACACCCCTTAGCTTCTTTCTTGGAGTGATTCATCCCTTCTTCATTATCCTTTCCCTCTGTAGAAGGACTCTCTTTTCCGGAAGAGTATACCTCCCCCGAACCACTGTTATATGGAGCCTTGATTCTCTATTTTAATCTAAAGCCGGAAATTTTGAATGAAAAAAAAACATTAAAAAATAACCCGTGTGCGTTCATGATGCGTTGATTGCTGGGTGATATTGCTGTACCCGCGCTGACGTTTGCTCAGACATAAACCCGATAGTTCACAATTCACAGTTCCTGCTTGAGAGCATGTGCACTCAGCGTCATGGGGCCGTCCTGCGCGGGATGGGACGGGATTTGCTGGTCCCGCGTCCCGTCCCGCTCACAGCACACCCATACGCGCGTCTTACTGCCCATAGGGTTTGGGTTAGGGTTAGGGCGGCTTGCTGCTTCCACCATGTCGATATGCTGTCGAAATGCTGTCAAGGGAGTCCCGCGGGATATCCCACTGCGGGACGACCCCCTACTCAGCGTCGGTGCAGGCGGAGCGGCGACCCATGCTCCTGTCGACGGCCTTTAGGAATACCAATCAATTGTGTAGGTCGCCAGGAATCTAAACCGACCGTCCCCAGTTCGCGAACTCGCAAGGATACCTCTTTACGACGCGTTAATGCTACGACGCATCAACGCGTTACGTCCGCACCACCGACACATACTCCGCCAGCCTTCACCAGCCTTTACCACAAGGCAAGGCACACATCCTCGCCGGTATTCACCCCCTGCAAACCCGTTCAGAGCGTCGTGAGGTACAGAAATACTTTCATTACGGGCAGGTGGATACCAAAGCATTGTAATGTATGCTACAAGGCCTTGTGGAACTGAGAAACTATAGAGGACTGAGAAACTTTCTACAAGTTACCTATAAGGCCTTGAGAAACTATAGAGGTATTGCTGCTACTCTGAGCGAGAGAACGAATGGAGAGATACTGTAAAATGATAACAAACGACCACATGTAACTATTGCAAGGCACCGCCAAAGGGGATGTTTGTACGCCTTCTGTGCTACGCAGATGTTGCAGAACTCAAAAACTGAAAAGGCATATGCGCTCGGGGAACTTGATCTCGAGCATGACGCCTACAACGACAGAATAACGGCCCCCATAATAGCCATCCCGACCGTCGCCGCAACCACCATCTCACCCAGCTGCCTGCCGCAATGCCTCTTCGCGTTTCGGTAATCCCTGCTCTCCTCGAATCCAGCGTTGGCGGCGGTTCGCTTTCCACTTTGTTCGGCGAGAAGCGCCTCGGTTTTGCGCTTCTCTTCGGCTAGCAATTTTTCGGTCTTGAGCTTTTCGGCTTCCAAGAGCGCTTCGAGTGCTTTTTTCTCCTCCTCGAGGGCGGCGAGGGCGGCCGATTCCTTTGCGGTTTGGTCGGCGAGAAGCGCCGCGGTTTTGTGCTTGTTCTCGGCCAACATCGCCTCCCTTTTTTGATCTACTTTGGCGGCGTAAGCGGCAAAAGCATCGCTCCCCTGTTCGCTGTCCCACCTTTCATCCCCAATCCGCTCCATCAACTCCACACCCTCGCCAAACAGGTCAATATGCCGTGTGTACCGGGCCCGCAATTCGTCAGTCTTTCGCTTCTCCTCGGCCAGCAGCGCCTCCGCCTTACTCTTCTCTGCCGCCACGAGCGCCTCAGTCTTCCGCTTCTCATGAGCTAACATGGTCATGTAAGATTCCAGTTCTTTCTTCTCAACCACGGCGAGCGCAGCCTTCTCCTTGTGCATTTGTTCAGCCCGCAAAACCTCCGTCTTTCGCTTTTCATCAGCCAACATCTTCTTGTAGGTTTCTACCTCCGATCTCAATTGTTTCTCACGATCGCGAAGCGTTCGTCGGCGGGTGCTAGTGGTGTCCGAGCTGTTGATTTCTGTTGTGGTGCTATCGGTTGTAGTGGTGCTGTAGTCGTCTAGTTCAGGCGTTTTCTCTGATTCATCGATGAAATCGCCGAAATCGCTCACGCTGGGGGGTTGCGGCGACAGAGATATTTTGGGTCCTGGAAGGCCTGTGATGTCGAAGAAAGGTCCTTTGCAATACTTTAGGTGCCTTTCCATCGGCCATTCCTCAGACATCTCTGAAGTAGATCGCGAAGAAGGGGACCTTGCGCTCACTTCAGTTTCAGTCGTAGTCCCTTGTGGCGAGGTAGATCGCGAAGACCAGAGCGAAGCAAATGTGCTTTCTTGGCTGTCAGATTCACCAGTCGTGCTGGACGGGGGTGCCCCTGGCGGGAAGTCAAAATAGGAGCGGTTGTGATAGATTCTTGTGTGTCCGGGTTTCAAAGGTGCTTCTTCAGGCACTTTCACACCAGATCGCGAAGGGGACGACCTTGCGCTTTCTTCACTTTCTGTCATAGACTCGCACCTTTCCAGTTCTTCAGCATCACTCGTGTCGGTTGGTTGGGGTGAAGGAGTTCGCAAACGAGATGATGACGTTGTTCGTTGCTTGACGTTGGCGGCAGCGTTAGTATTAGTGCTTTCGTTGATGATTGGACCGGGAACAGTGCGAGCGGGCGGCGAAGATGACCTCTGCGATTCACCACCGTTTGTTCCTACGGCATCACCAGTCTCGTTACTGCCTTGATCGAGTGTGCGGGTGGCCGAGGTTGAGATTGGTTCCCTCTCTCCAGCGTCGCCGGCCGCCGCGTTTTGAGCTGCTTCGCTTTGATGCTCCGCACGTTGTTCTGCCTGACGACTAAGCATCATGTGCACCTCCGACCTGCGTGCTTCTTCCGTCGTCCAGTTTGTAGCTCTGACTCTGGCCGTATCACCGTCGTCAAGCGGTTTCCCAGCCGTGCCTGGCTCCTTGGAGGCGTTATCGGTAGCAACAATGGCGGGACAAGCCGGCGGTGCAAGTGTTTGGGGTTGCTGAGCTTGGACTGCGGTATTGGCAAGATCTTGGGTTCCCAAGGTCAGCTGCTCAGATGATGCGGTGCTTGAGCTGAGTGACGACGTGCCGCAAACTGATGTTGACAAGCCTTTCTGTAGCCGATCAGCTGCAAGTTTGATTTGTTCTGATTGACCGGATGCAAAGCCGTCCGGAACATCTGACCAACGCGGCCAACGCGGGAGTTGTTGTTCAGGTCTTTTGCCCTTCTTCGCGACTTCCGAAGGTCTCGAGCAAGTTTTCGTCTTGCCATTTGGCGGCATCCTGGGAATACCGCGGTATCCTGGGCGACCTTCCCTGGGAATAGGGGAAGGAGGAAATATGTGAGCGCTGTGTAGCGAGGTCGTCGATTCCCGTACTCATGTCTCCCAATTCCTTCTTATCCTTTTCCAGAATCCACGGCAGACCATTTCATGAAGGATGAACTCATTAAAACCACCGTGATCATACCTTTTCATCGACTTTATGGGCCAGATTTTTGTCAACCTCACAAACGAACTGGTTATCGTCATCTTCGTCCTGGTCCACATCTCCCCTCTCAGGGGTCGTGCTTAAGGTCGTTGAGGATGTACCGCTGAGTGGCTTCGGCAACCTTTCTTGTATCAGTTTGGCTGCAAGCTTGGCTTGCTCCAATTGAACAGATGCGAACTTGCCAAGATCCGGAACCCTTGACCAATGTGGGGGCCTCATCAATGCGGCAAAGGAAGTTTCCTCCAACACTACTTTTTCATTCTCAAAGTTGATATTCGTCTTGGTCGTGTCCCATTCGACGAGAACTTCAGCATAGTCTGCTTTGATAGCTTGCAGGCTTTGACCGAGTTCATCATCATAATCACTTAGCTTCAACTTTTGAGTAAGTTGCGCGCGATTGCAGATGGCGTTCCAGTAGCACAGTCGGATGCTCTTCTGAAGACCTCGGTGGACATCTTTCAGGTCGAGTAAGGCGGCGTAGGAGCGCAAATAAAAGCAGATCTGCAAAAGTTCCGCAAAAGCCCGCTGTGCTTGGAGGCGTAGAGGTTCATTGCTCTCTGGGCTATGGTCCGAGGCGTACCGCGGAGGGCGTCCGAAAATTGCCAATAATATGCCGACGCAGTCCTGAACAGTAGCGGGATCCTTGGCAGTGAGGTACTGTCCTATGGTGTCTTTTGACTCTTCTAGTACGCCGAAGAATTGCCTATTTTTGCTCTCGTCCGTCAGGTCAATATGAACACGCTTGAACCATTTAGGCGACATCGACGCGAAGCTTTCCACTGCCTTGATGAAGAGTTTAAGAAGCTTGCAAATTTCTTCATCATTTGTTCCAGCTGCAGCGGTGCGGGAATTCTGGCGGCATTCATAGGTGTGGGCCATCAAGTTGCGTATCTTGTCACCGAATCGCAGAAGAGCGTCAATAAGCTCCGTGTCGAGCCTTAGGTCGTCCCAGCCTTCGACAAGGTATCCGAAAGCCTCTGGATGAGAGCAGCGTGGCGTTGGCTGGGGAAGCCAGCGCTGAAGTCAGTATGTGGATGGAAGGCATATCATAGCTGTCAGTGGAGTAAAACCCCTTCAAGAAATATTCACCTCTCGGTCTCCGGGTTCTTTAGCGTACAGGAAGCACACAGACCCCTACAGAAACGAAGTGTTCCGGCTTTAGACGTACTCAAGAACTCCCAGGCTATGAGCAAACAGAGGACACATACCTCGTCGGACGAGTCTTGGTCTGACATGGCGTCCACATGCGCGCTCATTGTTTCGGATGGGTGCGGCGTTTGACGTCTGTGGTAGCGGGGACGTGTGCGACTCTTTGAAGTGGCAAGACTGGCAGTGGCGATAAGGTTATGTAGAACCGTTTGAGTTCCCTACGGAAGGAGCAACATCGTGCGTGGAGGATGAACTTGTGGTTTCACTTGAAATCCTCCGAGAACCCAATGAATGCGGGGGGGGACGCCTTCCCTCTGAGGAGATTGCGTGCAAGTAACAGTTCAGGGACAGGCAATTGACATCTGTGGTGCTGTCAGTTTGTGGGAGCGTCACGCGTCATATCATTTCCAAGATAAACTGCAACCGACGACTGATGTGAACTTCTGGATATCTGCTCCGAGAAGCACTCCTACTTCTATATGCCTTCAGGAATACGGCCTATGCTAGAACCTAATCGATCGATGGCATTGGGGGCGGGGGTTGGGGGCATTGCTGCAATGGAGTCGTTCCGAGGTTCAGAAAACCGCAAATCATATTCCTACAACGCCCAGTAATCCCCTCCACCATTAGCGACTATCTGCGCGAAATGGTGTTAGTAGTCGGCTCATGCCATTGTGAGGCGAGCCGGGATTTTGTAAAAATAGGAGAATCTTCACCAAGCTTTTTTCTGGAACTCTACCATATCCATCGTTGACCTTCCACATGGAGTCCTCTATATGTCGATAGTGATCCACGTATGCGTGATGTGTGGAGGCGGCTTTCGCCGCGCAGGTCAGATAATCATATACTTCATTGGCGGCTTCTCTGGTTGATATCCCGATTCGTGAACCCGGAGCGCAACTGTTCTTCCGAAGGTTCGGTTTTTATTCTGCGCAATTGTTCTTCCGGCGCTTCTGTTTTGATTTTTTTCCTTGGAGGCTCCGTCGTATTGCTATCCCGAAGGTAATCGGCCAATGCTTCTTCGGGCGCTTCTCTTTTTATTGTCTTTAGAGGCTCCACCCGTTGCTATCCAGAATGGGATCATGACCAGCCGGTCGCCGGGAATGTAGCAGCGGCATGCGTGGCTTTCCTTTTTGCTTTACGTCGTAATGGGAAGGCGTTTAGCGTTACGGCAGGTATGGCACAGAACTCGTTCAGGCACTCCCTGTCTCACGGCTTTGTTGCACAGGGTATAAACGTAGAGTCTCGTGGGAAGTCTTGCGCAGGGTAGGCTGCCTTCGTCGAAGGCGGCCGAAAGAGCAGAAAGTAGCCCGGTGAAACAAACGAGGCTTTTCGTTTCAACTCTTTTAAACGCGCAGAAATCGTGATTCCTGACGAATTCGGCAGAAGGATGGGGTCAAGCGTCGACGGCCCAAGCAGCTCTTGGCCAGAGATCGCAGGCATACAGCAAGATCAAACGAAGTCGGTTCCCCAATGGACTTTGCAAACCGACTCTGAACGCCACATCGCTCGTCTGGAAGGCCACCTGGCCCGCGTCAAGAACCACCAGCGCAAAGAGAGGGCGCCGAACGTCACTGGGTTTGTCGGTGAACCAACGATGGGGAGCGACTACGATGGAGACCTTTCTGAGGCAGAAGTGTCCTCGGCTTCCTCGGGTTCTTTCTCGGTTAGCTCGGAAACGGGACTTCTTCGCCCGAGAGAACCCACGGGCTCACTGTGGTCGTTATGGACGTGTTGCTGCGTCTTCGACGAGAAATCTCCACAAGACAACAATCTGTAAACACACTCGTGTGATTTCCTGCCAGTAACGCCGGCAATCATATGATATTCTCTTCTAGTTTAAAGTGATGGAAGCTATGTACATGTTGGAATATGCTAATTAATAAGTTATGTAAATATCTGCCGAAAAAGCGCCTACGAGACGAACATAAAGTACTGCCTCAGGGTATCTGCCAAAACTTCAGGGAGATGCTCCACATCTTTGACCACGACGTAGTAATCGAACGGGAATGTATCCATATACCGGTTCATCTGCAGAGTGGGTCGACCGGTGGCACGGTCGGTGCCGTACGTGACGTTGGTCATCTTGACGATGGAATCCTTCTCAGGACGGTTGTCGAGGACGATGAAGACGACCATGATGCGTTGTTCTGCTGCTTGGCGCACCAGCGCTCGTACGAGTTCGTGATCTTCGCAGAGCCCGTCAGACAATACGAGTTGCAGCTGCCAGAGATCCGCACCGTTCCCAGACGCCATCGACCGGGCGTGATCCAAAACCCCCATAGCGGTCTCCATCATACTTTGCACATTCGTACGGTCTTGCCCGAATGTGAATCGTCGAAGGACATCACCTCCCGCTTCGTCCGAGAACGGCTGGTCGAAAGGATGCAACAAGTTGATATCTTCTCCAAAACTCAGGACGGAGACATCGCCGGCCTCCAGTTGCGTGAGAGCCTTGGTGATGACAGCCAGCGACTCGTAGGCCAACTGCACGGAACGCGATTCCGCCATGGACCGCGAGTCATCGATTGCTATCATGATCTGGTACGTGCGCTTGGACGGTTTCGTTCGACGCATCCAGATCTTGTCCTTCTTGAACTGGGACGCGATATACGGAATGATCTTGCGCATATTGAGGCGTTTTCCGGTGCGATAGTCTCCCATGAGTTTGGTAGCAAGAGTTGGTTCCAAGATCAGCCGTAATTGCTCACATAACGCGTAGGATAGATCCCTGGTCAACGTGATGTAGTTCCGCCACAGCTCCTGGGCTTCCACCGGGTCCTGCCCGCTTTCCCGCCACTCCGCAACCGTCCGCTCGAGTTCATGTCTGAGCTCTTCGTACGCCTTCGTGTCCAGAGACGGCAGGATCTCCTCATCGTCCAATCTGTCTTCTTCTGACGGTGGTTCTTCTTTGCCTGATTGCCGGGTGTCGTCTGTCACAGGTAATGCATCCGTGTCGTCAGTGTCCATGGCTTGCTCGCCGTCCACCTCCTTTTTGCTGGATGAGGGTTCCTCATCATCCTTCTCATCAGATTGGTTCTTGCCCAGATCGATGGCGCCCGATGGCTTTTCGTTTCTGGTTCCCGATGGTCGGTCCGGTTGGCTCTTCTCGATGGGCTCTTCGGTGTCGGGATCCGTTTCCGGTATCACTTCATCGGGATCATCAGCATCGTACTCCGCTTCCTCCTTATCGTCAGCCAGCGCCTTCGTGTCCATCTCAGCCATCTGCTGGGCAGTGGCATCGCCCATTGCTTGTGCATCAGCCGATTCCTCATCTTCCTTCACAAACTCGAAATCCATTGCTTCGTCACCGATGGCCTCGTCTTGCTTTTGCTTGGAGTCATTGTCAGGCTCGTCCGAGGGGGAGTCGGAAATGTTTTTGAGGCGCGAGAGCCACTTCTTCAAGGCGTCACCGACACTCCTGCGAGGGTTGGGATCGCGGTTCTCCGAATTTCGCTGTTCCGTAGGTGTTGACTTGGCCTGACGATCTTTTCTATCGGTGCCTCGGGCACTGGAATCCGCATTGGCATCCGCTCCTTGCTCCGCCAGCTCTTCATCCATAGTTTCGTTTTGCATATTTGCCGAGGATTTCTCGCCCGATGCGCCTTGTACCCCAAACGGCTGCGTGCTCTGCTCCACCGCATCATCAACGGCTTGAGACTGGTCCTGCTCAGGCCCTTGCTCCGTTTGTTCATCTTGTTGCGCTGGGGGCTCCTCGACTCCGTTTGCTGATTCTGGGATGTTTTGCTTCTCGAGGTCTTCCGCAACCATCTCTTCGGTTTCGTCTTCAGGTTCAGCCAGGGACTCGGGCTCCGGGTTGCCTCCTTCCTCCTCGTTGGCTTCATCTGGGAGCTGGAGCTCGTCTTCCATGAGGTCGGAATCCGGGTCTTCAGGACCAATTTCCTCATGGGAAGTTGTTTCCATGTCGGCCTTCGTTTCATCGTCACCACCACCTTTCTGCGTCTCTGTCTGGTCTTGCGTGTTTTCGTCGTTCTCATCTGCATCATCAATTTCCATCTGATCGGGGAGATCAGCGTCTTCCTCTTCAGCCCCCTCTTCTTTCGGTGGTTGTTCCTCCGGCTGATCGGCCGGCTTCATGTCAACCCCGTGATTCTCTTCGTACTTGTCCTCATGATCCTCGTTAATCTGATCATCGTCTTCGCCATCGTCTTTTTCTTCCGGAGCGGTATTCGCATCTCCCTGCTTATCTTTCTCGGGCTGGTTTTTCTCCTTCTCTTTATTCTGCTCATCTTCCCCTGCATCCTCTTTCGCCGCCATCTCTATTTCTCCTGCAGAATCCTTCGCCGGAGCATCCTTTTCCATCTTCTCATCTTTGCCATCTCCAGCTTCGTCCTTATCATCCTCACCCCACATCTTTTCATCAAGCACCTCAGCGTTGTCATCTATATCGCCCATCTGTTCATCAGCTTCTTCACCCTGATCGTTGTCTTCGGCATCGTCGTCGTCTTCCTGATCATTCATATCGAGGTCCTCGAGCTTGCCTTCGAAATCGGCGTCCATCTCGATGCCGTCATCCTCGTCCTCGATCTTCTTGTCCGGTTCAGGAGCGGCATTGTTGTTCTTCATCTCTTCAACTTGCCCCTCATTCTCGATTTCGTCACTGACATCCTTCTTTCCCTCTCCTTCCCCGATGCCAGTTCCCGCCACGTTTTCGCCTTCATCGCCCTCATCCTCGTTGCCGTCGTCCTTCTGATCCTTCGGTACACAGAATCCATCTTTGAACAACGATCCGAATGTATTGCACAAGATGTACGCGAGTTTCAGAGTGGACTTGTGATGCAGAATGCCCTCAAACAAGCGGTATTCGAACGCGAGCAGATACTGAGAAAGTAAGGGGTACACCGAGATCAGCGTCTCCAGGTGTTCCCGACTCAAGTCGTCTGCCAAACGCACGTTCGCATCCAAAACTCGTGTGACATGGCAGACCGCTTCGAATATCGCGGCCATGGGTCGAGACGCAGCGTGAACACACAGTTGCTTATGTGCATCCATGAAATGGCGCTTGCGCAGACCGAAGTCCTCTGCTTCTTCGTCAACAATCTCCATAGGTGTCCCATTCGCATTCGCGGTTGCCGTTTTCTGCAGGCCCTGGAAAGCCACCAGAATCGTCTTGACGAGGGCATCAACGCTTTCCATGAAATCACGCGACAAAGCACTCTGTTCATCACATTGCTCAGGTACGGATTTGACGATCTCGTTCGTCCGCGACGTCTGTGCTGCGAGCTTGCTCCTTAAAAGCTCAGCCGCTTGCTTGGGAACATATGCTTGAACCCCTGCCGTTGAGGAGAAGTGCTCAATGCTAACCACCAATTCGCCAACGGTACCGATTCGTTCCGTTGCGGCATGAACCATGTCTTGCACCGCCATGGTTGGAACGCCATTCACGACGTGTCGCGTGAAAGTAGTGTCGACAACCTCCTTCAATGTGGTCAGGACTTGTCGGCTTTTCTCCAAGGGGTTGGATACTATCGGTTGATTGCCAGCCTTCATGTGTGTCGTGTACAACATGCAAGCTTGAGTCACGACTAACAGCGCTTCATCAATCAAGTCCTTTTCACCGGAGAGGAGATCGACGACGACACGGCTCGAGGCGGGTCCATCTCTTCCCGTCCTGGTCCTCGAAAACAAGACATCCATTTGTGCGCCGATCGCTTTGAGATTGCGGAGGCTATCCGCTGACGCGGCGAAGACACGTCGCTCCTCGATGCTCTGGTGCAACAGATGCTCCAGGTAACTAACGGCCTTTTCCACTTCCGATCGAGACAGGTCGGCGGAGGCAGTGATTTCCAACTCGCGCACCTTCGACATTTTCGCGACCACCCGGTAGAAGTAATGGTCAGCCTTCTCCCAAACATCGGCAAGATCCTTGCCCAACCAAATCTGTGCGTCCCTTCCCGAAAGCAGAAGTTTCCGGTTCATCTTGATTTCATGCAGTGTGCAGATGAAAGACGACTCTCGCTGCTCGAGATACTTTTGAGTGCAGCGCGGAGAGAGTCCGAGGAAAGCGAGGTATTTCAGGAGGTCAACGAGGGCCATCTTCCGAACGGATTGCTGACTCTTCGCCATTTTGGACCCTCCTTTGAGGTCGGCATTGATGGCTTGGAAAGCTTTGATGCGTTCAAGAATAGTCGTGGCCAACTCATCCACCCCTTCGCTCCCGGTCTGACCGGCGTGCTCGGCAACCATAGCCGAGCAATGTTTTTTCATCCTCTTCACAAAATGTTCGATCTTGGAAGTGGTTTCCGAAGTGCGCGCTGGTGGTCGAGCTATGTCTGTTGCAGTCAAGCCGCTGACCGGTGTCATGGCAGTGATGTTTTCAGCGGCTTTTGCCGTCCGCGAGATGAGCGACGCAAGTCGATCTTGCGCATCCTCATTGGATATTTGAAGAATGTCGTGGAAGGCAGTCACGGCTTGTCTTACCGGCAGATTGAGAATAACGCGGTACCGTTTAATGAATTTGTTCAGGTGGTAATGGGTCCGTTTCGCGCTCTCTTGGAGAGCATACACGTTGACGTCCTTCCACGTTGCGATCTGCACATATCCATTCAGCTCCTTCCAGATTGGTTTCCTCTGTTGCTCAATCGTCGATTTCACTTGGGCCACGAACAACGAATAGTATCGGAAGACGTTATGCAGAACATTGGCGACCACTCGAATACGTCGTTGTGCGCTATCAGTTACGGTTGGCGCGACAGCTAGCAGATGCTGATGGAAGACGTGGATCATATCTAAACGAGTTTCGAATTGACCCAGTGCTGATCCCAAGCAAAAGTGATCCAAAGTGGCCAGAAGATCCTGAACAGGAAGATCCTCGGTGGTTTCGCCGTTGACCTAAGATCAAAAATCGATTGTGATTAGCTGCTACGGTGATTTACTGATGAATCGACTCGAATAACCCACCTGAGACTCAACCGCAGGATCCATAGCAAGACCGAACACCGTTTTCCACAGATGGAACCAGAGACCACTCGCATCCTGTTGACTCTTCCTGTCTTCGACTTCCAGAAGTTCCCGCCAGCTCTTGAGCTCCAACTTGCGCCACTGTACGATCAGTAAAACGATCGCGTCCATATGAACCTTCAAAGACACATCCCGGCTAGCGTAAGCCTCCCAATCTTGACATTTCTGAAGCAAAATCTCTAGTCCGGTTAACAGCTTCATCACAGGAGCTGCCACAGAGAAAGACACAATCCTTTCGCACAGTGCCGAGATTTGTCCCAAGACCGCATGTTCCGGCCATTGTGAGAGTAGCTCGCCAACTCGGCCATCGAGAGCCGACAAAAGATCGAGAATCCTTCGCGCCTCGGGAATGTTTTCGTCTCGATAGAAATCGTATTGGCCAGCAGCACCGTCTGCTTCTTGCTCAGTGTCACTGCTCGCGGATACGAAATCTCTCAAGACGGTAGCGGAGGCGTAAAAAAGTCCTCCATGGCCGACGACGTCTACGTCCCTTGGAGGAAGCATGCGGAGAGCGCGCACCAGTCGTGCTCCACTCTGGTAAGACTTCATGAAAGTATCGTGCCAGATCTTTTCAATGCGGACCGCATCGTTCTTCTGTCCGTTCCACGAAGCGACAATGTTTCGGTGGTGGAGACGAATGTCCTGCGCGATCTTCGTGTCAAACTCAAAAACATTTTCAGGAACGTCGGTGGTTTCTTTTTCGTTCGCTGCTGCGGTCGCGTTGCCTGTGTCGTACTCGGCATAGAAATCAGGGAACCGCTCACGGAATTCTACCTCTTCCAGCTCGTCTTCCGTCAGGAGGTCATGCTTTTGCTCCTTATACTTGTAAAGCTCAGCGTCCGTTTTCGCTTTGTCCACTTTGCGTTGCTCAACTGCCGACCAGGTGTCCACCAGGTTCGCAAATAACACATGCGTAGCTTGTAACGTCGGGAGAGACACGACCGAGCGAAGGTGAAGCGACGCTTCTGCTCGGGCCAAAAAGGCAGTCACGATCTCAACGTTATGCTGGTATTGTTGATGAGCGTCTTCGACCGGCATCAAGGATTTGTAATCGCGCAATTGGTTTTCGAGATTATCCAGACTGCAAACATCGATGAACCTGATGGTAGATTTAACAAGCTCCTCCGTCGATACTCTCTCCGCTCTCAACCTCTGTCGAAGAGATTGCACCATCAGGCGAAGTCCGTACTTCAGCTGATACACCCCCAGGTAAATGGGCTGCAAGATGTCGCGGTATAGCGGGTACTTGGTCTCCAACCTGTCGACAAGCGCCGCAAGCGTGTCCTGCAAATGGCTTTCTTTCGCGAGTGCACCCTGGGCGAGAGTGTTTTGCGACAGGTCCTCCATCAAACCGGAAACCGACTGGTCGGCGAGAATGTGTGATCCCAGCTGTCTCAAATCGGTAATGATTTCCTTCATCTGCGGTCTCTCTGGGCGCAGAGCTACACGAGCCGCCCACCCCTGACGGCGCGACGTCACTTTCTTCAGTCGGGAACGCAGCTCTTGAGTGAGTTCGTTCTCTCGGTTCCCTGTCAAAAGTCGATCAACTTCCGAGCGGACATGTAGCTCAGCCCGCAGAGTAGCGGCATTTTGCTCCATGAACTTCAATTTCACCGCTGGCCCAGAAGCAGGATCGACAGGGATGTCTGGAATGTAAGAGCGAAGGAATGCCATTGCATAGCAAACCCAAGCTTTACCGCGCAGGAACTTCTCGTCCGGCTGCGTCGGGGAGCACGAGCTGATGGCCGCCAAGCACGGGCGCATGTAATGAACCAATCGAGAACGAGCCACTTGGGAAGTGGACATTTCCAGAAGGCTAGACAGCTCTGCAGCGTGAGATGTGCCCACGGTTGTCTGGCCGTCAAGTAGAGCGTCCTTCATCAGATTTACGAGCCGCATGATTTCTTGATGGATGTCAGAAGTGAATGCCTTCTCGTGATTACGAAGGAACTGTAACAGTATAATTGTCATCAGTGGACGTCCTTGCAAGCGAACTAAAACAGCATCCGCCACGTACCTGTGTAATGTTTGTCATCAGCATCTTCATGTCCTCCACAGCGACATCGATCTTGTTGCTCGACGAGAGATCGGAGGCCAAGTAGTTGGTCACTCCCCGTAGCTGGTTGACTTTCCCCGCGTATCCATAAAGCGGAACATCCCGGGAGGCGCCGGACAGGTACAGGCAGAATCGACTAGCAGACCCTCCCTCAAGCATGACCGGCCCTCCATATCGTTGATCGCTTGGTTGCAAAACCGTTTTGCCTCGGATGATGTCGAGGACATCGCAGTTCAAAGCCCGTAGTGCATCAGAGTCTTCCATTTGCTCTGCCCAGAACGAGGAGCCGTTACTCCACAGTGCACGATGCCAGCGATACGAAGCATCGAGGTGGATGGAAACGGCGAAACTCCGGAGCTCGTTGTCAGTCAGCGGTCCGGACTCGCATAACCAGATGAGCCTTTGCATTGGCTCAATGTCTAACGGAGCCCGCGAGGTTTGCGCTAAAACCATCTGTTGGTGACGTTTCATTGGTTCGACCAGCTGCGACAGATCCGCCTGTCAATAAGAAGCATGGTTAGCGACTGAACGGTGAAGTAGATGTGAAATACACCATTCACCTTAGTAACACCTCCTGCCACGACTTCTCCCAATCGATTCAAGATCACCAGCTCCGAGATGAGCGACGAGGCATCCAGCAGACCCCACAGTCCCAGCTTGGACGCTCTGCTAGCATACTTTGTGACGACGTCTAAAGCGACTCTTCCTCTAATCTCCACCAGCGACGCGGCCTCAATATGCTTATCGGCGCTGATAGCCTCGGCGTCCGCCTCGATCTCAGAAGTGAGCGAACTGATCCTCCCTATGACCGTTTCCGGAACTCGTTGCAAAATGTTCAGGAACTCAGCCTTCCCTGACGCTCCGGCATCTTCGTTCAAGTAGTACAGAGTGGCAACACCGTCCATGATGCTCTTCTTCACGACTTCATCGATCAAGAGGGCCGGGTGGCCAACTCCTCCCCAGAAATGAGGGAAGGCGGCATTCCAGATCTGAAACTGCTGATTGACGCCACGAAACGCCTGTTCCAGATCGAACAGCTCTCGGTCCTTCAGCACTGACACGGATCCCCTCTTCCACAGCAGGCTCATCCCCTCGAAGCCATCCGCCCCAATGAGGTCCAACGCCTGTGCCAAAATCGTGTTCAGCTGGATGACGTTCTCGTCACTGTCGTTTTTCACGGTGCAGAGCTCGCACGCGGTGCATGCTTTCCGCAGGCGTCGCAGAGCAGTGAAAACTTCCTCGAAAGGAACATCAGGAGACTGCAGGCAAGTCCACAACACATCCCGCTGATCAAGGATCGCCTCAACCTTCGACATGTTGGCGGTGATGTAAGCGTGATAGTCTTGGTGCTTCATCCAATGTTCGAATGCTGCTCGAAGCGCTCCCATCAATGGGTAGAGCGTGGCGACTACCGGATGCTCCAACTCGCTTTCACCAATCTTGAGACAGGAGTGGAGGCGCGACTTTTCCAGGACGCTGATTTCGACGCCGAGTGATTGTGCCGCGTTTTCATCCGTGACGTCGATCCAGACCAGTCGTCTCGCGAGGTCCTGTAACCGCAGGGCATCCACATAAGGTCGCCACTCAGGCCGTTCCTTGACGATTTCTCCAACGCGGAGACGAAGATGCCTGAGATCCACGGGTAACTGTCGCAGCGCTTCCGAAGGAACCACCGCCTCTCGGAAAACCTGCAAATCCGTGCTTGGCATGTTCAAAGCAGCTTCTGCGAGCTTCAAAGCATGATTTGCGATTTGATCCTGTGCCTGAACACTGCCCGCCACGTGGGAAACCCAAGTCTTGCGCACTTCGAGACTTCCAGTGGTGGTCCCCTCGACGAACACCTTAGCGGCAGCCAAAAACAAAGCAGCTCTTTCACTCGTGTGCGGGTTTGTCGCCATGAGGAATTGGAGATACGCTCCATCGACCGCAATCTGCGCTAGCTCAGACTCTTCCAGCACGAAGTTTCCGGATATAAATTGCGGGAATATCATAGGCGCCGCAAACCCATCGGACGTACGCAGGGCTTGATGTACGATCTCATGAGCTCCGTCCCGTACCTCGGCGAGGGAAGACCGAATTGCATCGCTGATGGAATCGCCCCTTTGAGCGCGTTCTGCCGCCAAACGTCCTACCATCCCAAGCTGTCGGATGTTCAGAGCGGCACTCTCCTCTTGAGCCTCGGTACTACTGGCAACCAATGTCGAAAGCGCTCCACCGCCAAGAAGTCGACTGCGATCCGCTTCGTCGTGGTTCAAGATGTCGTCCACATATATTTCAACACCACGATTCCTCATCGCACGACTGACTTCTCCGAACCGGTCATCCAAGCACATGAAGATACGGAACCCGTTCCGCTGCCCAACAATGCGGATTTCGCCGGAAGCGTCCAGTCCCCTTTCAGTGACATTAAGGACACCACCAGACTCGAGTAAGGGGTTCAGACGATCCAGTACACTGGATGGGCAAAGATTGACGTTGTCGAGGAGAATCCAGTGTCCTTCCTCCATGGCCTTGATGAGCGTACCGTCCACCCATTCAAAGGTACCATGTGTGCCGTGGAGGATGGTGTCTTCGTACGCAATGATGAGGTCGCGAATGCTTTCGAAGGTCGGCAACGAACGTTCGATGAGGTCGATGCGCAGGTGAGAGACTAGGGCTTCCAACCGTCCTGCAAAGTCTCGCAGACCATCGATGCTGGTCTCATCAGTCGAACGAAGTGTGTCCCACTCCATCATAACCTGCTTTCCCAAGACGACCTCCTCATTACCCCCAGCGACCAATTGGCGGACCGCCACTTCCGCAACTCGATGGATCGCCTCAAATGTCGCCTTCCGCCGCCGCACTAGATCAGCTTGCTCAAAGCCACCGAGCAATTCAACACTATCCACACCCGGATTCATACTAAACTCCTTGAGCGTGACCCCACACATGCCCGCCAACAGCCGGATAAGGCCCGTTTTACCGCTGCCAGCAGGCCCGGTAAGGATCGGCATGTAGCCCATCTCAACACATTTCAACAACGTTTCCAACGTGGGTAGAGCGGATGGAATGACGTGAAGGCGGTCGATTGGCACCGAACCTTGTGTTCCGTACCCGGCGCGGTTGGCCCTTCGCTCCATCGACGCGGCTCCGATCGATACAAGATTATCCGTAACCCTCCACTGCGGTCGTCGGAGCTCCTCTGGGCCGTCACCGAAAACATCGTCGAAAAGCGCGCGAACTTTCTCCCTATCCTGTGGTGTGCGCATCCTCTGTGCGTACATCATTTCCAAAAACAACCGCGGTTGGCCTCCCGTCTTGACCAGATCTACCCACCGAACCACATCTCGAAGATTGAACTCCCACGGTGCGCCCCGGCTTCCAAACCGCATTTTCTCCATCGTCTCCTCCTTCATGCGCTCATTGAACCGCACCAATTTCTCAATAGTCTCCACCTCCACCCCGGCGCCAAAAACGCCAGACACGATCTGCCCCACGTCCGCTTCAGTCAGGGCTTCAACGTACACGGTAGTGAACCGGTTGACGAAACTGCGCGGAAGTCCTTTACGGCCTCCACCTTGTCCTTGCGGATTCTGTGCAGCGAAGACACGGAAGTTGGCGCCTTTCTTGAACACTCGGTCGAGCTCGGGCACATAGACTTCTCCACGATGATCGAGACACGCGTTCAGGCCTTCCAACACCTGCTGGGACGCCAGATTCAGCTCGTCAAGGAGGACCCACTCGCCTCGCTTCATAGCGTTCAAGAAGGGTCCGTCTCGCCACGCGAACCGGCCAGCATTTCCAGTACCCTCTACCGGTAAATCCGTGCCGAAAAGATCAGTCAGATCAGTCTGCTCTGACAGGTTGATACGCGTCAGATTGAAACCGGCCAGCTGAGCGAGGGTCGTGACTAGCGATGTTTTGCCAACGCCGGGGGTTCCTTCTAGTAACACAGGTTTGGCGAGCTGCAAAGCCCGAAGAACCCGCGAAAGATTTCGCAGCGTTGTCGGCGCCATGAAGGAGAATCGCACCTCCTTTGGCGGGATAGGCCCCGTCTGTAAGTTGAAAGGAGCCACTCCGAACCTATCCCCGTCAGTAACAACGCCCACGCCCTCACCAAACTCGTCCACTTGCGACTCGCGGCTGATAGCGCTACAGGCATGCATCAGCCATCCCCTAACCTCCTTCCGCATCTCCTCGATCCCAGAGACGACGCCATACGCCGGGTTGACACCGATACCATCGACGACCACCATACACCCACCATGCAAAAACGCCTGCTCCAGCGTCAAAACCCCGCTCGTCGCCAACTTGGTTATAAACTCCACCCACGCAAGCACATCACGCAACGAGACGACCGCATCGCGTGGCTTCCTCAACCGCGCCGAGAACCAATCGTAGAAATCCATGATCCACGTCGAAAGCACCGTCGCCCGTTCCTGTTCCACGCCCCCAATCGTCAATTTCTTGACAACGAGTCCATCCAAATCATCCCGGCTGGTCACACCAGGCACCCAGACTTCACAGAACCGATTGCGAAGCGCAGGTGAGAGCTCCTTCTTCCCGTAATCACCTCCAGGGTTCATCGTGGCCAGGAAACGGAACCCTTCGACAGCAGATAGGGATTCCGCACGCCCTTTCTCGGAAAGGAGGAGAGATTGCGAGGGTTCCAGGACGCTGTTGAGGCGTTCGAGTACCGAGTCGTCGGCTAGGGAAATTTCGTCGAGGAGGAAATGGGCGCCTTCCCGCATGGATTGCGTTAGGGGGCCGTCTTTCCACATGAAGAGGGTGTTGCAGCGGTCTACCATCTCTTTTGCGCGGTCGATGGCGGCACGGTCGGTTTCGTTCAGAGTGGTTTCGGAGGCGATTTTCAATGCGCGGAAGGCTTCCTCCAAATTGTCTTCACCGCTGTCGATCTGCAATAGCGCCCGACAGCTGTTGATCGCTTCCCATGCCTCCGCCACCTTTTCGTCGCGCCCGCGGATAGGTCTCATCCCCCCAACAAAATCAGCCACCTCGCTGCCTTGATGCGCATTTACGATCCGAAGCTCCTTCCCGCACATGGCTGCCACAATCTGGCATACAGTCGTTTTGCCCGCTCCGGTCACACCCACCAACAGAACGGGCTCATTGTGCGAAACACATTTCCACACCAACGTAAACAGCCGTTTCGTCGTAGGCGTCCACACCATGTTATCAACAAGCTGGGCAACCTCCGCGTTGTCCAGCCCCTCTCGACGAACCTTCTCAAACCCACGCTCATAAAGCGCGTCGAGATCAATCTGTACCTTCATCTCCTTCTCAATAACCTCCTTCACAATCTGCCTATCCTCATCGCTCCGCATCCGTTCACCTAGCAAGCACCACCCTTCCTCCGCAAGTTCCTCATACCCGACACTCCCGCGACCCGCCCATCGGAACAAATCACGCAGCGTGACGAACCCATGTCGACCTTCAAACACTCGTCCGCGGCCTCGTGTGGATTGCAGTGCTTTGTAGACGCCCACGACCTTCTTTGCATACGATGGTGCGATCGCACACCGTTTTTCGAGAATGATGTGCAGTTCCGCGGTGGGGATATCGCCGAAATGGATCTCGAGGAACCTGTTTCGGAAAGCGCGGGATAGCTGTTTACGGCCGCCGTAGGTTGTGCCTGCCGGATTCTGCGTGGCAAAGAGCATGAAGTTTGGGTGGGGGCGGATGGTGGTTTGCGTTTCGGGGATGAAGAGTTCGCGGTTGTCGTCGAGGAGACGGTTGAGGGATTCGAGGACGTCGGAGGGGGCTAAGTTCAGTTCGTCGAGGATGAGCCAGTGGCCTTTTCGTAGAGCGGTGACAAGGATTCCCTGCGAGATTAGAGAACTGGTCAGCAAACAAGTAAACGGTCCCAGCTGGCGAACGAGAAGGAAAGAAAACTCACCTCCTGCCAAACAAGCCTCCCACGACTCCCCCCATCCACCTCCTCAGCCTCACCCCACCCCCCAATATACTCCGCAACCTCCGTCCCCTCATGATTATTCACACGCACACACGTATGCCCCGTCAACCGCGCAAGATACTCAACCATACTTGTCTTCCCCGCACTCGTCGGCCCCTGGATCAGCACCGGGTATTTGCCGGACATAACCGCCCTCGCAAGATGCGAAAGGTTTCGTTGCACCGTCGGCGTGATGATGTACGTCTCCTCCGCCGGGTCCGATGCTGCCACGTCACCAAGGGTCAGGTAGTACCCCTCAACCCCAATATGCCTCTGCACCTCCCCCTCCGCATCCGGGTTCTTCACCCCCCGGTTCAAGTTGACCCCCTTGCCAACCGTCTCCCTCAACACAGCCTCCATCTTCTCCCGACTGGCGTCTCCTAGCCCCGTTCCGAAAGTCATGCAGCAACCCTCCCATAGGCCGCGGCGGAGTCCCCAGATCCCCTTCACGATCGTCCCGACGGCGAATGTGAGCGCTCTTGCAAGTGTTCGCATGCTGTAATGTACGCGGTGGTCCGCCCCGTCGTATACGATCCCTTGTGCGGCGTAACCTCGGAGGGTGGTGTAGAACGTGGCAACGTCGACACAGATATCTTCCCCAGCCTTAGCTGGGGGGAGGACGGTCTGGAGGTATTGTTTAACAATACTAACCAGATCCCCAAACGTCGCGTCGGGTGCGTCTACCCAGATCTCCGTGAATCGGCCCCGCAGGCCTGGTGAGAGCTCTTTCTTGCCTGCGTCATTGGCGGGGTTCATGCAGGCGAATAGGCGGAAACCGGGGTGTCTGTGCACGGGCTCGGTGTCTCCCCGCTCGAGTAGGACAAGGCTGGACGTCGCGGAGGCCAACAAACCCGTTAGACAGTCCAACGTCTCGGGTGTAGCCAGGTTGATTTCGTCGAGGAGAATCCAGTGCCCCTCACGTATCGCCTTCACCAACGCGCCCTCGATGAAGGAGAACAGCAACGACGCCGATATTTTCTGCTGCGTCGCGTCAAATGTCGCGAGCGTCTTCCCAAATTTCTGCCATTTGTATTCCAGCTCGGCGTCCAGGACGCGTTTGTCGCTCTTTTTCTTCTTTTTCGGCAGTTCGCTACTGCTCAGTTTATCTCCCCGCATCTTGGCGAAGATATCCTCGGCCATCTTGACGCCCATCTTACAACCCTTCACAAAAACAGCCCATCGCGCGTTCTTGAACGATTTTCGAATCCCCTCCAAGAAAGCTACGTTGGCTTTCGCCGAGAACGTGGCGGCGAATATCTGGTCAAATTCCGTGAACACCGACGCAGCGAGTGCTTTCACGTCGATGGGTTTGAACCCGCCCAACAGGTCGCTAGAGTCCGACTGCTGCGACATGTTTATGACGGTGAGCGGGGTGTTGGTCAAGTAAGCGAGATGCTGCACGACCGTCGTTTTCCCCGTTCCCGTTTCTCCCACGAGCAGCAAGGGTTCTTGATGCATGATGCTGGCTGATAGACTTTCGAGCAGTCGGACGCTGGATGGTGTTGGCGCATAGGGTCGTTGATTCGACACCTGAAGCGGGTCGCGTGGGCGCACAGGTAGCGCGACACGTCCAACAACAACCGTCTCCTGCCCCGCCTGCAAATGCGGGACATGCACCTCAGTGTAGAACTGTACACGATGAGGCGCCACGCCGAGCACGGCGCCGATCTGTTCCAGCGCCTTGTCGCGGAAGGCTTTGGTGGGTATCGAGTTGATGAAGCAGTCGGCGCTTTCGCGGAGGACGTCTTCGCGGATGGAGAGGGGGAGGTGGAATTCGCCGTCGATTTCCATTTTGTGGGTATCGGCGGTGCGGTGCTTGGTGGCGGATTCCACCCTCGTGCACCATTTGATGAGGTCCCGCAATGACACTTTGCGGCCACCCACGCGTTGTTTATCTTGGTAGAGCTTGTTGACGAGTTCGAACGCGGTCAGGATCTCGTCGGTTAGGCGTAGTTCAGTCAGCCCGGGGAACCTGCTTTGAATGACTTCCACGACCTCGGTCTGGTCCAGCGCCTTCACACTAATCTTGTGCCACAGGCCCTCCCCAGCAGCAAGAGTACGTGCAGATCGGTGGGTGCCGGTTGTCCGGGTCCCAAAGACCCGGAAACCTTCTTTCGCTATCACCCGCTCGCCCCTGCTCGCTACGAAAAGGCAGTTCGTCTCCAGCAACGGTATCAGGACACTGATGACTTCTAATGGTGCCTGGTCAATATCTTCAAACAGAATCCATCGCCCTTCAAGTACGGCCGTGGTCAAAACTCCAGGCTGCCAGCGGAATGAGCCAGGGGTCGACGTGCAGATGTACGTGCCGAGCAGAACCTTAGCGTCTGTCTGATCGCCCAGATGGATCTTCAGCAGGGACCCATGTCGTCCGAGTAACCGCGCTGCCTCTTCCACCAAAGCCGTCTTTCCCACGCCTGCTTCTCCCTCCAGCAACGTGGGCACATTCAGGGAAACGGCCAATCCAATTCGGTGCAGGTTGCGTCGAGTCGTCAGCGTTGGAACAAGCGAGTGACCCTGACGGTGGGGATCAGACGGAAGGAGGATGCCAGCCATATCCACTGTCGCAAGCGATAGATCCGACGTGGTGATCACGATGCTGTTGTGCCTGCAATCCGTCGTCTCCTCAGAGGCCTCCATCAACATGCTAGCTTCCTGCTCTGCATCCACCTCATCCTCTATTATCCTCAGCAGACGAAGCTCCTCCTTCGGATCGGACGCCTCCGAGTGGCGTTTGATCATTTGATTCCGTTCAGCGTCCGACATGCCCAGAACCACAGCCATGATGTGTGCCGAGTATACCCGAACCCCGGCATCGGCGTGTTGTAGGATAGTGATGATGGGTGTCCATGATATTAATGGGACAAATGTCAAGGGATCCTTTCGAAGAAGCCGATACAGACTGCGAACGAATGATCGCACGCGGATTGTTGACGGTATGTTCGAGACAAGGTGCTATAGTCAAGACAGAAATTAGTCGGACTTTCATACTCTCTCATCGAGGACAAAAGCTCATCAACCAACTTCAAAAAGATTCATAGTGCTTGCTAGTGTAAGGCATCGCACCGCGTAAAGCGTGACTTGCGGGGCAGTCGGTAGGAGGATGGAAAAGGCAAGAAGTATCCGTTCCAAGTTCTGAGCGTCCGTATCCCTCTCAATGGAGCTTCGAACGATGTTTCCATCCAGATCATGCTTTGGACTGGCGCCCGACCCACCGGACGCTGTGTCCTCATTGACACAAGTGCATGTAGAAGTAAATATCCTGCTGGCCCATGCTTTATCTTTGAGTGCCAATAACCATCGCCCGCAAAGATCGACGAGGAGAGCACGGAAATGACGGATGATGGTGGGAGTGCAGCAAGGTCGCAATAATAAGGAAGCGACGAGGTCCAACAGGTGCTGCACTGGCAGGGATGATTTCTGCGATCCGGATGAGATTACTGATGTGAGAAATTGCAGTTCGGTGGAGGATACACATTTCTTCTGGGAGGCTGGCTTCGATAGTGTGGTTGAGACGGTTTGTGCATTGGACGAGCTCTCCTTCACCCACTTGATGAGTTGCACAAGAGCCGGATATATATCCTTTTCGAACACAAGCTTTTCTCCGTCATGATATAGTGATTCGACGGCTTGCCCTTCAATGGCGCCTCCAAGTCCCGATGCCGATGCGATGCTGTTGTCGACGGCCGAGACTGCGTATTCGGTCATTGCTAAGAGCCCAGCGGTTCGAGAGGACGTAACGCTGGCCTGTCCTCAGAAGCCGAGCGACCTGAAGATAGAGCAAAAGGCACTTGCTGCAAGGTAGCAGAAGGCCAGAAGTAGTAAGGTTGCTGATACTCGCAGTCGACCTCTCGAACGCTGATGATTCGTAGGTATAACGGGAGTTTCCAGCTGTGGAATTGCCAAAAAAAAAAACCAGCCCTTGGGAAAACTGCGAAAAATGCAGCGGGAGGGGAAGCGCGAACGAACGCTGAGTTCTGCAGGCGACGCCTCTCATTGGCTGGCATCTCGTAAGCAAACGCATTCAATTCTGACCGGGTCACCTGACTCTGCACTTAATCTGAGCGCAATCCAGATTCCAAGCCCCAGAAAGCCTGCGCGTGAGGCGGGAGACAGAATAATGATGTCAATTGGAAACTCCGGCGCGCCAATGCTGTCAGTGGGCGCAGCGTAGACGTCATTGGCACGGTATTGGTACAGTACGTTGGTATTGGAGTTCGGAATATAGTCCCAAAACACTAGTAGCGCCATCTTCATAACCCTCCACACAGGCAGTTGCGGTTGGATTCATTGGAAAACGTATGGGCCACCTCAGCGGGTAAGCACCCATGTTTGCGGCCAGATATTTCCATGGCTCTGCTTCTGCTTCCCACCGGAAGTCGGCCACTCAGATGATTGCAGCTTCGACTTTGTCTCCCGTTGCCATCTGCCACCGCTCGACGGTGACGAGAAGCAGCATGCTGAAGGTTTGAGTTTTCTTGAGTTATCGACGACGCCGAGGGGAGAGCAAGGGGTTAAATATCCACGACGCAAGTGAACAGGCCAGTTTTCAAGCCGGCTCAGCGGGAAAGGAGGCAAGAGATGGGGCGGTGTAAAATGACAGCACGATGATGTGGGCGTCTTTTCCCTGATGCCGAACGACGCGTGTGCATGAAAAGCGGCAAGTGACCTGGTGGTGACTGCGTTTTTCAACAGCAATACTATGCAAAAGGTCCATGCATCAGCCAAAAAGGGGGAATAAATACCGAGTCCCAGCCGCAAACAACCATGGGCTTGAATAGAAACGCATAGCCGGACGGCGGTCATAATGATGACGGCAGTGATGTGGAAATGAGCTAATGGACAGGGTCACCGTGAATATTTTGAAAGTACTAGACAGACTCCGAGAAGTGCATGTGCAAATCATGCCGCCGGCGCCACATCTGCGTACGGGAACCATCCGATTTCATGAGGGATTCGCACTACTTCACATAGTGCACCGCCGTTATGTTGCTAGGGAAGTCGCAGATCGTGGGGCGATCGGCAAAACGTACCGAGGGTCTCCCATTCCGTCATTATTGAAGAACGCGGAGGCCATAGGAAGTTAGGAACCCATCCCGTGGTAAACTCGCCAGCAACCCCTTTTCGACATTCGACGGAGCAGGCGACGGGTTTGACACAGCCAAGTCAAAGGTGGGTGGGGAAAGAGAGACATCCATCCCCTCGCTGAAGTGTCCCGGATACCATACGTATATATAGAGCCAGGCCTGATCCTGCGCGCTCTGAGTTTCCTCCAACAAACCCTCGCTTCTCCCACTCGCATACCGAAATCCATCTTCGGAAGATCTTCCCTTCGGCTACTTCCAGTATTTACGTCCGAAAGCTTCATTCTCCGCCCAGCGTTCCTCCTTCGTATCCTTCGAATCTGCTTGCGCTGCGTTCCTACTCGTTCGTCGCCCATCCTGCATCGCACATTCAGTAGCTCCTCTTGTATCCTTCGTCGTCGCCCATACCTGCAACCGGCGGACCTCAGCAATCGACACACATCCTTCACAATAACACAACCCATCGCACGTCTTCAACCATATCGTCATATTCGCTCATGCAAGCCGCTCAAGATTCCATGGATCCCATGACCCCCGCCTACGAAAACGGCCCATACCCAATGGAAACCGAGTCCCCATCAGTCGCTCCAGTAGACTCCTCCAGGACCTACGACGGCCCCGATCTCGCGAACGCCCCCCGCAAAGATTCCACAACCTCCTCCAACGGCTCGGCAACCGAGTCCGATTCCTTGTTCCAAGACCAAAAGTTCGTTACATCCTCGTCTCCGCAGCAATCATCATCATCGGTCCTCAAGGCGATACCAACTTACTTGCAAAAGAAGCCCATTCCGATGCGGAGCGACTCTGACGCACTTCTCGAAAAGTCGTTGGGGCCTCCGCTGTTCTTCTTTGCCGAGATGGACGCGTCGGTGTATAACAGTTTTTGCGAACTGCTTGATCAGACGGAGCCGACGATCGGTCAGCTGCACATGAACCCGGAGGTTACGGAGGGTGCTAAGTACCTGTGCATGGTTACGGATATGGTGTGGGCCGGGTTCCTGTACAAGTTCGTACTTGACTACAACTTGACGTTTGGGGAGGGCGAGCAAGTTGTTAAGTGGCATGGACGTAGCCCACCTGTAAGTCTCCCATTGCCTCATGCTCTCAACTTTCCGAATAAGAATCTTCGTCTCATGTCGTTTTCTTCTCCTCTAGATCATGGTGCCTCCTCAAAATTTGCCCGATGCCCAGAAGCTCTACGCATCCTCAAACTTCCGGTTAACAACCATCCCCCAAGTCTCCCGCGCCGTGTCGTAAACCGTCGCATGATATCCCGCTCCGGTCGATCAACCCGAGCACAAGCATACCTTCATCTGAGTCGATACGAATCTGCTCATCGCGACCAAGAACAACACCTCCCATGTCGCCGGATACTCGTGTCCTTGCGCCGCAAGTTCCTCAACAGCGACAAATCTGTGTATAAGGCGGAGAACGGGGGCGCACAACGTTGCGATGTGAGCTAGTCCTCCCAACTACACTTTCCCCATCGCAACCCACCTCCGATATTGGAAACCCCCGGACGTTATCTGGTGGCATCGTATCAATCAATTTTGCATCTGTTTCACTCTTTTATTGGTAGTTTGTCGTCGCCATCCATCGTGGGCTTGAACTCTCTTGCATTGGGGATGCTCTCGGTGGAGGCGAGCTGTTTAATAGAACATCTTTGCAAAAGAAGTTGGTTGGTTGTGCTCAGCCTTATGTGTCCATGTGATAATCTTGGGACGCGTGCAGACTTGTGCATTGTTTGTGAATTCGTTTCATGGGCTACCGCCGGTAACCGTTCGAGATTCGATGGACGGATCGAACCCCGCTGGGAAGGCCGCCGCGGACTGGAAGGACAAGGGAGACGGAGACGTTTGCCGCTGAGGACGTTGCTGAAAGCTGCGAACACGAGAAACGGTGCTTGGCCTCGTTTCGCTGCTTGACGGATGGCCACAGTGCAACTGCAGACAGCCGGCGCGGTAACGTGGATGAGTGTCGTCGATCACTCTGTCCTTCGCCATAAACTAAATCAAGGTGATTATCGATAGCGGAATCATGTCGGCATCCGTAGAAGGACTGCGAACCTCAGCCTTCTTGTTGCGAACCATCACAGCGTCGAGCTTTCGCTCCCAAATACATTCAAATAACATTGATACGCCATTCATCAACTCAATGCATTAAAAACATACATGGGCTCGAATGCTATCAGCTATGCAAAAAATGGTTTGTATGATATCAAAACACTACGCCAAAAGGTATATGTAACAGAGATGCAGGGTATGTGCGATGGTATCTACTGAGCAGAGACGATGAGGTTGATCACGCCCTTCTTGGAGTGAAGCAGGCCGTGGGAGAGCTCCGCGACGACTTCCTGTTCGCCGGCGCCGGTGAGTTCGGGGGTGATCTGTGAGGGGAATGACATATATCAATTGCGAGCTAGGGTGATTGGCGTGTCAAGGGTGGTACGAACCTTAGCAGTGCCAAGCTTGTCGTCCGTTCCAACGTCCTTGTCGTACACTTCAACGTAGATGGTACCGCCGGGAGTGTAGTTGGGGAAAGTGAAGGCCTCGTCGAACACGGCCTGCTTGCCCGCGCCCTTCTTCACGGAGGTCTGCTCCCAGTTGGAGCCGTCGGCCGAGACCCTGACGTACAAGTCGTTGCCACCGAGGTCTGTGGTGGAAGGGAGATTTGGTTAGACACTGAACGCTTGTTGCCATATAGGGATCTGGCGGGGGACATACCATCCTTGTCCTTGACGCCGGCGATGGAAACAACGCGAACTCTGAGAGGCATGATTGAGTTTTGTTTGGGTGGTTGGGTTTGAAGGTTGGGTTTGAAGGTTGTGTTTGATTGCAGATGCTGGATGAGAGGGGGGAAAGGTGGGGAGGCGCTCCTTTTATATGCGAGCCATCCCCCTTCTCTCGTCCTTTTTGCCTTCGAAGTTCGGCCCGCGTCCGACATAACATTCGTGGCGCATGGTTTCGTCATAACATGACGTGCTTCGACGAACAACGATCGGAGCTACCACAAGTCATGTGCCTCACACCCGAGTGATCTTTTCGGAACGGTCTCGGCCTTGCGACATTGCATCAGGATGGGTTGGCTGTAACCGATTATGTGTGCATAAAGCCTTAACGAAATTGGCAACAACTTGAACACCGCCGCCATCCGCCGGAGTTCTCCTCATTGGTCTTCAACGTCACGGAATTGATAGTACTGTACAAACCGTCTATCTTACAACCTGTGGCCGTACTGCGCTCCGTCAAGGCTGCTCGGATGCGAGCACCTTTTCAACATGCGAACGAGGTGACGCTCTCAAATGAGACGAGCGCTTCCGCCCATTCCGAGTCGTGGCTTGCCATCCATCCGAAGCCTCATGTCAGATCGTTTACGTCACAAGAGAGCCCAATGTCGGAATGTTGGGATGTCCTGTCCTAAATGGACGCGACGCGTTTTTGTGCGAGGGAGGACTGGACTGACAGTATCGCGCTCACCGGCTCCAGGGCTGCATCTCGCTTTCGTACCGCACAGAAACCAATGGCCTCCATGATTCCATCTCCAGCAGAGTACAGCACTAACGGCTCTCATGGAGATTTTCACGTCGCAGGCACTGTGCGGACAATAGGGAGGAGTTCCAAGGGAGAGAGAAGGGGAGCAAGCTGACACCTGGATCTGGAGGCCTATTGACCGATACAGAAACAGTCCCGCGCAACGGCCTTGACAATTGAGGTGAGACAGCGTTCTTAGGCTCATCATTCTCTATGAATTCATTAGAATCCAGCAGAGCCCCATGAATGAACGTGTGAGGTAAAACGGATGGTGGGATCCTAAAATGACGCGCGAAGGCGTAAGTCATGACATGTATGACTGGCCTCTTTGAGTCTGCTGATGACTTGAGGAAAATAGAAGGCTGGCTATGGACCATGAGGCTCCATCGCTACTGGAAGTCCCAGGAAAGCTAGCGCTGCAGCGTCTCTTCCGAAAACAAGGGGCAATCCTCATTCAGGAGCTCAAGGAAATGACAGGATGTCGGTCGCCTGTCAATTTCTGTGATTTATAAGCAGCTCCGCTTCGTAGTTGTTGTCAAAATCATCGAAGCTTGAAGCTGGGAACACCTCAGTGGGGAATGCCATCACTCTCTTCCGCTCTAGTTATCCCTTGTACACAAAATAGCGTCCAACGAACTGTCTCAACCCTTTGAAAGAGGTCGCAGAGGCCCCATTCAGAACTGTAGCGCGGGTTGTCCTCATCAATTGCAATGGACGGACCCTGACAAACAGAGTTAAGGTTACGTAGCTCAAAAGACTTCTGACGTTGTGTTACATAAACCTCGCCATTAAAATCATTCCAGAACCCGCCCATAATCTGCTTCTTTGCTATAAGCAATGAGATATCCGGCTCCATTGATTCCACGGCAACAGAAGCTTCGTAGGAGAACGCAATTCCACGGGTTTACACCCACACATCATGCCAACGTAATCTTACATTCTCTCCAGAGATATGAAAGGTGCATTCTCCTGGTTCTTTTTGAGTTACTTCGATTTAGGTTTGAGACACTGGAATCAACAACTCCGCTCCGCTGCTTTGGGCACATAGAAGCTGGTATAAAAAGCCCGGACGAGCTGGACTTGTCTTGCCAATTTCCTGTTCTTCTGCATGACTTGCAACTGCACTCGCATCCCATATTCGAGTTCGTCCAGTATAGGACGACACAGCTTCTTTCGCTTTTCAGAGCCTTTACATCGCTCCGACTCGGCAACGACCTCTTGTCCCACAAATCCTCGAACATCACATTCTCGCAACTGCACACTGATTCCGAAGTAGCGCTAGGCGCTACATACACTTCATCTGCGCTGGGCGTTCTTCAACACAATTTCTGCACCTCAAACGCTCACATACACACATCACGAGCAGCAAATACCACCCAGACGCCTCAGCTGAGGCCGTTTTCGGAACTCAACGTGCATCGCTCGATTTACTTACACACTGAACGTACGTCCAACGACATTCGAAACAGCACTAGTCGCTACATCATTCACTCTTAGGCCTCACCGCCTTTACAAATTCTGCATTCCCTACGGTCTCATACACATCCGACCAGTTAGCCAGCAACTATCATAAAGCGCAGTTGACGTCGTTTCGGACCCAACCAACGAGACACCGCGTACGTCTTCCCACCATCCCCAGTCATCATCCAACACATCTACACATCTACACATCCGCACACCCAAACCACAAACACAAAAATGGGCTGCACATCTTCCAAACAAAAAGGCCAAGTTTCCCCGGTCATCGACCCCAAAGCGGGCACGACACCACAAACACAGCCAACCGCCGAGCCACAAATGTCGCAAATGGCGAAAGCGTCCAACACCATCAGTCCGATTACGATAGATTCGCAAAATGATCAGAGTCCTACTACGAAAGGAGATAAGCCACGGAGCGCGGGGTCGGGATCGGATGGTAGAAGGGATACAGGGAAAGCGTTGGGGTCTGCATCGGATGTTTCTAGGAGTAAAGGTAACTGACAGTGACGACCTTACTGCTGCTACGCGCTACAATGTACTCACAAACGGCGGACACCTCCCTTTTGTTTGTCTAGGCGAGATTGCACCACTAGACAAACCGCTCATGCCTGCAATTCGCAGCGGCAGCGGTAAACCATCGTCTGCGCCTAATGCTGCTGTTGTGGGCCCTCAACCGCAAAACATCGTGGTCGCTACCGCTACGGGGTTGAACAACAGCTTTCCTGATGTTCCCTCCTTATCCAAAGGTAATCTTCATAGACCTCGAATTGCAGCTCCTTGTTAGACAATCGTCGAGCACCTCTAACCCCTCCCACCCCATGCCTCACAGCAGCCGAACCGCACCGCCCCGTCGCCTTCGAAATCCCGCTCGGCGACTCCCTTTTCGGCCCGGCCACGGAAGGGAAGCCAAAGCCCGCGCGATCCAATGGCAGCATCAACAACACGGGCAGGTTACCGAGCTTGGGAGGCATGATGACGGAGACGATGCAGATGAAGTTGGCGAATTCGGATGCGAGGTGGAAGGTGAGGGCTGAGATTGATCGGGTGCTTGATGGGGTGCGTGTGTGATTGTTATCTTGCCCTTCTTTGCGGTTGGATGGGGGATGTGCGATATACTTTTGTTCCGAATCATTATCTCAATGGCATTGTCTCACACATACACATCCTTTCACCTTTCTCATCACCATAGGAAATGGACCAACACGAACAAGACCTCAAAAACCTCAAAACCCGTCGCCGTCGTCACGGCTCCAAGCCCGAACTCAGCTCCGCCGCGCGCCCCAAGACCCGCGAAGGCGGCCGACCCCCACGCCTCACCACCTCCACCCCGTCCCTCACCTCTTCCCTCAGCCCCGCCGAAGCGGAGGCGGCCGACATCGCGTTGAAGCAGCGGTTATTGGAGAAAGAAGCGCAGGCGCAACGTAACCGTGCACGCGAGTTGGAAAAATTGCAAAACAAGTTGGCGAGGATGGATGAGCATGTGAGGAGGGTGCAAGAGAGGAAGAGGGAGTTGGAGAGGGAGGAGAGTGAGGGCGGAGTGGAGGTTGAGAGTGGGAGTGCGGTCTCTTTGGTTGTTTGAGATGGGACGGGATAGCATTATTAGAAGGGGTGGAGGTGGACAACATTATGGTGATTGGGGGCATTTGTGGGTTGCGTTTGGGGCGAGGAACATGAGATGGGAAGGAGAAAAGGGGGGGGGGGGCATTATTGACTGAGTGACATGGAGAGGGGGAATGATATGTGCTAGCAACATTGGTTCCCTTTCTATGAAAAATGCGTATATCTGAAGACCGGTGGATTGTACCGGGGACGAAAAATGGGTTGTGGTTTATACGAACGAAAGAAGATGTATCGCATCATGGAGAACATAGTACCATTTGCCCAAGCCGACCGGCGAAGGATGTACGTCTCCTATGTCTGGCGGACGGAAGAAGCCTGATTTGCCGCCCACATGGCAAACAAACCGGCTGTGGGCAAGACGAGGGTAGCGTTCCAACACCGTCGTTCGTCCGGCACCACCGCCCACCTCGCCATATGATTAGACCATTCCCCGTAACAATTTTGGCGGTACCTGCGGCGATTTATAAGTCTCGCGGACCACCAGGTCATACACTATGTCTAGCCTATGTACTGTACGCGTGGACGGGGAAAAGTGTCACTCTGGATCTGATTGGACAAGCTGGACACGGACCGTTGGGCGGTTGGGAACTTGAGACTTCTCCAGACAGTCTCCGGAGGTCGTCGTCTTGGCGTTTCCGTTATCAGGAGGCATTGCGTGGAGGAGAGGTTCCGGAAGCGACCCGCCCTTTTGGTTTAGAGGGCTTCCCTATAATTCGTTCCCTTGCATAGGGAATGTCCGACACCCACTCCTTCCCGCCACTCGAAACAGAGTCCTCCCAACCGAGGCCCACCAAAAAGCCTCGTCATGCCGACCACAACAAATCTCCATCACACCGCCCCGCCGCACCTTCCATCCACATCCACAATCATGGCCGTGGCACCATAACCCTCGCCCTAATCGCCCATCGCGCCTCCCTCACCGCCCTCGCCTCAACCTATCCCCTCCGCCTTATCTCCCCGCGCTCACACTCGACGCTCGGAACCCATGCCGCCGTCTACGTGCTCACGTTCGGTGGTGGCGTCCTTAGCACCGACCGGCTGTCGCTGGATGTGAGGGTGGGGAGGGGATGTGCGTTGAGTTTGCATACGCAGGGGAATACGAAGATTTTCATGCCGCCCCCGACTACTGTGGGGTTGGATGATGGTGCCGGTAGTGGTCAGACGCACACGAGGGGGAGGAGAAGGCAAGCGCCGCATCAGCTGCTTACGTGCAGGATCGAGCCTCATGCGCTGCTATGCGTGCTGCCAGATCCAACTACTCTGTTTGCCGGCGCGTCATACACCCAGCATCAAACGTTCCACCTTGCGAACGAGGATGCGTCGTTGGTTTTGCTGGATTGGTATACGTCTGGCAGAGCAAGTCGCGGGGAAGTGTGGGCTTGGGAGAGGTTTGAGAGTCGGAACGAGGTTTTGGTTGGGCGTGGAGACGGAGACAAGTGGAAGGATGGAGAAATGGGAGAGCATAGTACATTGAAGGAGACTTGTATTCTACGCGACACATGGCTTCTCGAAAACACTGCCGCTTCACCAAAACAGCAAACTACATATGCATCCCGGATGGGCCATTACCACTGCTTCGCCAACTTGATCCTCATCGGGTCGCGCACATCACAAATTCGGAAGCGGATTGAAGAGGAGTTTGCCAAGATCGTCATTGTCACTTCTGGATCTGGCGGCGCTGGCGGAGGCGGGCACTCGCATTCATTGTCATTGTCCAAGTCCCGGCCACAGAATGGGGCTCGCCAACCACCACCCCCACCATCATCAAACTCATCCATCTCCTACACACACCCATTTGACAAACCATCAACCCCCACCGTTCATGCTTTCTCCATCGCGAATGCCATCGACGACCGCCCGGATCCGCTGTGGTCATGCTCGCCTATACCTAACGATATACACAACGGGAACCCGAGTGAAGGCATCGTACTACGCGCGGCATCGACGGAACCGGCGCGCATGCGCGAATTTTTGAAGAAGGTGCTGGCTGAGGGGTTGAAAGCGGAGATTGGCGAGGATGTGTTATTTTGAGATGCGAAGGCGTATTGGGGAGGGCCGATGTCGTTTATGGTTCATGGAGGTGCTATGAGGGCTACGGATATGGGTTCACCAATGTTGTTGGCACTTCTCAGGCGGACGATCTTCTGGCACCTCCATCCGACCTCCGTCCAACGTTTTTTGATTTCGTTTCCGTTGAAAACATCTTTCAAAGTGGCTGAAGCTCACCGGTCTTTGATTTCTGTCCCTGAAGCCCGAGGATGGAAGCCCTGAACTCCCTAGTGCGGCACCCCACCATATGATAACGCGATTTTCGAGAACGAAAAAGTGTATGGTAGATGTCTTGTCGGTATCTGTCATGTTGAGGATTGAGATCAAACCTACGCGTTTTCGCATTTTCTCCCAATCCCATTCCACAATTCTTCTTCGGTCCCAGCTGCCAAAATGATCCCCACCATCCTCCGCACTGCCTTCCGCCGCACCGCCCCCCGTCTGGCTCTCGGCCAGGCCCGCCTGCCCCTCGCTCGACAGGCATGCCCAGCTGCCGCACGGGCCTTCAGCGTCAGTTCTTTCCAGGTACAGTATGCGTACGGAAGATCACGGACCTCAGGGTGGCAAGAGTGTAAGGCTGTATTGTGTTGGTCGTCGGACTGCTCACCAGGCGCCTCGTACCTATTAACAGCGCACTTTTGCATCGGATTATGAAGAAGGTACTGTCGTCACAATTGCGTTCATCCCTTCCCTTTCCCCGCTTGCAATTCAATCTCACCTGCATAACTCCCTTTAGCCCCCTCACAAGCAACAGTCGGCCTCCCCGCCCCGGGCTTTCGCGCGCAAGCTGTCGTGAACGGCGAGTTCAAGACGGTGTCGCTCGAGGATTATAAGGGAAAATACGTCGTGTTGTTTTTCTATCCGATGGATTGTGGGTATACCTTTTCGCTCTTCTTTGCGGTTTGATTGATGGGTTGAAGGGGCATTATGTAGCTGATTTTTCTTTTCTTACGTGGGTTTGCAGTTACTTTCGTTTGGTGAGTTATGGGAGACGATGGGAGAGGGAGGGAACGAGGAAAGGGAGATGTGAGAACTGAAATAGTGATCTTCTTCCAGCCCAACGGAGATCATTGCCTTCAGCGAACGCATTGAAGAGTTCCGAGCTTTGAACGCCGAGGTGATCGGTGCGAGCACGGATACGAGGTTTTCGCATTTGGCGTGGACGCAGATGCCGCGCAAGCAGGGTGGGCTTGGTACGTCTTCATTGGAAGGATTCGACAAGGAGTAGCTGCAGTATGTGGGATGCCCTGCATGAAAATCATCGGACTGAAGGTTTTGGGCTCTAGGTGAAATGAAGATCCCACTCATCGCGGACCCTACCAAGGACCTCGCGCATGACTACGGCGTCTTGATCCAGCAAGGAGACGATGCAGGTGTGGCGCTGCGGGGCACCTTCATTATCGATCCTCAGGTACGCAAAACCTCACATGCCCATTCTCATGACACCATATCAACTCAAATCTTCCTTCTCCACGCAACAGGGCAAGCTGCGAATTGCACACATCAACGACCTTCCCATCGGGCGCAATGTTGACGAGTATCTCCGGTTGGTGGAGGCGTTGACCATCCACGCCGAGGTGGGCGAGGTATGCCCGGCGAATTGGTCGAAGGGGTCCGACACTATGAAGGCAGATCCGAACGGATCCAAGGAGTACTTTGGGAAGAAGAATTGAGCAGTAGCGTTAGCGGTAGGGGAGATCGGTACGGAGTAGCTTGCACGAGGACCTAGGTTTTGTGCAGTTCTCCAAAAGAATATCAAAGGCGTAGCAGGCAGAGAGGGTATATATCCGGTCTCCGAAATTGAAGCATTGTTGCGCATGGCGCTCTGTTCTTGTGCGGAGATATTTCGGTAGCAGCTCTATGTAAAATCACACCACCTCCTCACTCGTCGGCTCAGCACTCGACAACACCCCGCCTCTCTGATTACTGGACGGGAACCCCGCACTCGTGGTATGACCCGTGCCCGTCCTACAATGCGGCCCCAGTTTCGACGCCCACTCATTCATCTCCGCCTGCGACTCGACGCGGATGGTGAAGAAGGTCGCTTTGTCTTTTTTGTGCGTGAGTTTGATGCAGAAGATGTCTTTGGCGTCCTCTGCGGAGAGGGTGAAGGAGTATTCGGGGAGCAGGATGAATTGGCAGAGCTGTTGTGGAAGTGGGGATTTCATGTTAAATTATGAGACAGGGGAGGGGATTGGGAGGGATTCATGAACATACCGGTGCGTTGCTGTTGGCGGCGGGGCCGGTATCGCTGCTATTGACAATTAGGAGGAACTGTTTGTCCCCGTATAAGACCAGCTGTTTAGGCAGCCAGACGGTCATAAATGATTGTTTGACGGCGACGAAGACCGATGCCACCTTTGTCTGCGAAGCGCAAAAAAGCAGATGGGAAAGCATCAGTAGATGTCTCTTTGTCCAGAAGATGAGTTGGATGCTCCGTCCAACTTACGCCATTCCTCGCCCCCGCCTTGACCGCCAAGTTAGTGTTGTGATCCCCTCCTACCGGCTTCACGGCCCCCTTCGTGCTCCTCCTTCTATCGCTGCTCATGCCGACGCCCGACGATAATATATCGTCGTCCGCCTCACTCTGATGTTTCTCAACCCAGGCCAAATAACAGTTCTTCACGAAAAGCAAGCCGATGGTGGAGGCGATAACGGCGTAGCAGGCGATGATTTTGATGACAGAGAGGCCGATCGTGTTGAGGGAGAGGGCGAAGAGGATGGTGAGGATTAGGGCGAAGACGACGAGGTAGGTGTAGAGGAGGTTGCCGATTGTGTGGGATTCTCTGAGGGTGGGGGATTAGATGGGGTTGTTTCTTTTGCTGTAGGATGCCGCATTCAACCTACTTGAATTTTCGTGGCAGGTTGCGATTGACCCAGCACAAAAACCCTCCGTAGACGAGTAATGCGACGGTATACGCAAATTCCAACCCTAGAGCGCAAGGTTTAGCTTTTCCCCGAGGTCTGATCTGCTGTTAAATTACGCAGTTGATCGCAAAACATACCTAATAGGATCCATTGGAAGGCATCTGAATTAGACTGGCAGTAGTACTCATAGACGTAGTAGGTACGGCTGACTTCTTCCTGGAGATGCCATTGTGGTTTTGGGGCGTCGACGACACTCCATATTATTGCCAAAAACTATCAATGGAAAGACATCAGCGGTTGATCAAGGAAGCGGCGTTCGGATCAACCACTTACCATATAAACTCCTATACAGGTCGCCAAATAGATGAACATCCTCGGATTCTGCATGCTCTTCGCCGCAAACCCTTGCCCGCAAAATATCCGGAACAGTCGAAACGATTTGACCAGCAGGCTTCCGAGGACTAAGCCTAGAGCCGTGGGAAGCACCCAGACCGCCGCGGTGCAGGAGAAACTCGTTGGGTAGCCGAGAAGCGTGAGGGGGTAGAAGGCGGCTAGGGCGGTGCCGAGGAGGGTTGTGAACAGGAACGGTGGGCTGAGGGGCTGTTGAATATGAACATCAGCACACTTGTGTGAGTTTCTGCAGCATACTATTGCGCACATACCTTGAAAACCATGCTCTGCCTCGCCGAAAACACAAACCCCGCAATCCCCGCCGCCACAACAACACTGATCACACAAAGCACAATCGCAAAGATCCCCGTCCCGGACTTCCACGCAATATACCGATACTCCTTCACGATCTCCAGCGCATCCGCCGCTTTCGTCGCGGCGCCCGCGAAATACACCGGCGTCTGGAATTGATGAAACTCTTTCACGTCCGAGATCCCCGTCCAGTTCCCGAACGGGAGGAACTTTCCGAAGTCCCCATCTTCCTTGTTGTGCATGTCGTAGGAGAACAACTCGTACGCGGCTACCCGGTCGCTGTTCACATCTAGCGCTAGAAGGCCCGTGACACCGGTGCGGTTGGGAAAACTAACATCCGCGGGCATGGCGAGGCGGTGGGTGTTGGATGCGAGGTCGGCTAACGAGGTCCCGTTTCGCAGCGCCGCGTCGTATGCCCAGACGTACGACTCGATGCAAGTGGAATAGAACCCAGAGTAGGAGTCGGGTTCGTCTCCATAAAGTGCCTTCCAAGCGGTGGTGAACGCATCCCATTGCGCGCCTGTTCCTTCTTTTGGAAACGACGCCCACACGCCGTTCATCAGCAGTCGCTCCTCGTCTGTAAAGGTCTCCAAGTCGGCGTACAATGCGTCGTCGCCTGTTATCCACTGGTATCCCGGTCCCACCATCCCTCGCCGTTTTGCCTCGGCGAGACACTTGAGCAGGTCGGTATGCACGCCGAGAAAAAGGAGGATGGTCGCCCCCGACGCCTCAATCTGATCCATCAAGCCCTTGAAGTTGGTCGTATCCGGAATGAAACTCTGCGTCGTCAACAGCGTAATCTCGTACTGCTCCGCATACTTCTGCACAGAATTGAATAAGCCCACGCCATACGAATCGACCGCCGATATCACGCCCACGTGGTTATATCCCTGCCCCTTGACAAGCCCAATCATCGCCTCGCCCGCCATGTTATCGTTAGGCAAGGATCGGAAAAAGTTTGGGTACTGCGTTTTGTCGGCAAGACTGGGCGACGTGCTCCCGCCATCGCAGACGGGGAGATTGAAGGTTTGCGCTGCCGATGCGTAGGCGGTGGTAGGGCCCGAATAGGCCACGCCGATGAGGGCGTTGACGTGCGAGACGGAGGCTAATTTGATGGCGGAGCCGATCGCGCTGGCGGCTTGCACGGTGCTGCCCTCGGATGAGCAATCATCCTGGATGATTTGGAAGACCCCGGGAGCCTGTAATGCCGGGACTACCGGGTACTCTGCGTTTGGAGACAACAGCTGCGATAAACGCAGCTGCATCACTTGGATTTGGCGCGCTGACCAGACCCCATCGTCGCCTTGGAGTGATAAACTGGGGAGATCTGGTGTACATCAATCTGCCCCCACGTTCATACGTATTCGAAGCGATGGTCGCTCATACCTGACGCCGATTTTGATACTTTGTGCTAGCGTCCCGGAGCCAGCCAGGAGCACAACCGCCCATACTACAAGCGTAATCCAGCTGCATATGGAGCAACGCATCTTCCACCGATCTAGTACGATCTGTGAACAAGGTCGTTGGAATCCATACAGCAAACGACCATCGAAAACACAATTCAGCCGATACTACCTGTCGAGAAAAAACCCAACAGGTAGCCAGAAAACGGGACGATAGGGTGGTGCGGTGTCTTTGTCGGTCAATTTAGCACCAAACCGTTTAAAAGGCGGTAAACGAGGCAGGTCGGGCCGCTCAGACTTTATGGCCCTTGCAGCTTTAAAAGCCCTACGAAAATATGTCTAGCACATCCTGTCCTGAGGCCCCGCTCAAGGTTTGATGAGAAACGGTATGGTTTGGAGGATGGCGACAATGGATCGGCGTAGTTCGTGAGACTTTGACTTCCAGAATGCGAGACGGGGTTTGGGTTTGGGTTGGAAATAGCGAGCCCTTTCTTTTAAGTACTGACAGGCATTTTCAATCCCATTGGCAGTACGAACAATCGCCCACGGAATTGTGTTGTTGTTGCATTTGATGTTGACAAGGAAGACACGCAGGGGTAGAACTAATTAGAGAAAATCGGAAGCTACTTTCCGTCGTTCCGGCCTTCCACGCCGATGTTGTGCATTGCGAGTTCTAGGTGTAGGAGAGACCAACTGCAACATCTATCATATTGCAACATCTTCCCGGTCGGTCGGGCGGGCGGAGCTATGCGGAGACGACTTTGACAGCAGTCTGCCTGAGTGGGATATAGGCAAGGAGTTGGGGTTGTGCCGGGTTAGGGTTGAGCATGTTAGGGTTGTGCCGAGAGATGCGAGCTCCTAGTTGTGCCGGATTAGGGTTGTGCGGGTTAGGGTTGTGGGTGATGGACTTTGGCGTAAATTCGTCGTCGATGCCGGCCGCCCTGAGGACGGAGTCAACGAGGTGGTAGCAGCATCCCGTCCCTGTCTAGTACTAGCAAATCTTCAGAACATATCAAAAAAGAAAATGTGTAATGTATGTTTCTTCCTCATCACCCCTGTTCCCGGTGTGTCATCAACAAGAAGGGTTGATTTTTTGTGCATATGATGTTCACAAGGAAACACTCAGGGTTGGAACCGTTTAGAAGTCAGAAACGTACGCCTGCGACAGGGCTAAACATAATGAGATGAAGAAGGCAGCCGTCCCCAACCCATTCTATTCCCCAACACGGCCATCGAAAGACAGTCTGACTTGGTTCTTCCGTTCTCACCGCCCCGTTTCCGGCGCCTTGCCCGCTCGTTTCGGCATCTTGCGATTCGAGTCGTCTTCGATTTCTTTGGCTTTGTAGTAGTGTGGTGCGACTAGATGTGTGAAAGAAAGCGAAGATGCGAATTAGGATGAGAAAACGCAAACGAAAACACCATCCCTCAAAACCCACCTTCCAAAAGCCACTCGCCCTGAATCTCCACCACCTGCCTCATATACTCCTTACTCGTCAACACCAGCTCATAATAAAGCACCCACTTCGGATTCTCCTGAAACAGACAACTGCTCGGATGTATTAGCACGGTCTGATTATGCTTAATCGTGCGATAACTATCCCCGCTCTTCTGCAACCGCGCCGTGTTGTAAAAGAAGCCGGCTGTGAGGGCTTTACGGATACAGATGGTGTTGCCCGGGTCCGGGTTGGATACGATGGGGACCTCTGTGCGTTCCATGAGGCCGATTAACTGATCGCGCAGATCACGGGCGCGTTTGAGGGATCGGTGTTGGATGAAGTTTTCGGCGCAGAATTGGTCGGAGTAGTTGGTTTCGACGTAGGTGTTCCAGACGGCGAGGAGGGAGATGTGGTCTCCACCTGGTCTGAAGAAATTCTTACGCGCTTGGTCGGCTTGGAGTTGTTGGTTCTTGGGGCGGTAGAAGATGGCGCTGCCGACGGAGAGCATGGCGATGATGGAGACGATTTCGTCGGTGCAGTCGTATTTTTCGGCTGCTATGATCGTTTTGGAGAGCATGGGGTCGAGTGGGAATTCTGCCATTCGCCGGCCTAGTTTCGTGAGCTCGCCACGGTCGTTGAGGGCTCCCAGGGCGTAGAGTTGCTCGAGGGCGCGGATCAGGGTTTCCGCGGGCGGGGCGTCCATGAAATCGAAACTCATCAGGTCGTTTATGCCGAGGGATTTGAGGAGTAGGACCGTGTTGCCCATGTTTGTGCGCTGGATCTCTGGGATGGTGCTTTCCTCCATTTCGTTGGCGTAGGCCCACGCGGTATACAGTCGGAAACACTTTCCCGGACCTACACGCCCTGCACGGCCTTTGCGCTGGTTGGCTGACGCTCGTGATGTGGGGACAACGACCAAGCTCTCCATCCCCGTGCGCGGGTTGTAGTTGTTTTGTTTCTCGAAGCCCGGGTCGATGACGTAGACGACGCCGTCAATCGTGATGGAGGTTTCGGCGATGTTGGTGGCCAGAACTACCTTTCGGGCGCCGGGCGGTGTTGGCTCGAACATCTTGGCTTGGAGATCCGAGGGGAGGTTGGCGTAACATGGGACGGGTATCAGCTCTGCTATCTTGCTGCCGAGCTGCCGCCGTAGTGCTAGCAGCCCTTCTTCCGCCTGTTCTATCTCCTCCTGGCCCGTAAGGAAAAGAAGAATATCGCCTGGTGGTTGGGAAATATGGATCGTCATGATTGTCGTGATGGCGGCAGCCAAGTAATTGGCTTCTGGTGCGGCGGTGTGGTACGTCTCAACAGGGAACTTCCGTCCAGGGAAGATAAAGATCGGGCAATCGTCAAAATACGCCGAGAACTTCTCAGCATCCATCGTTGCGCTCGAAATCAGGAGTTTCAAATCCGGTCGAAACCGCGAAATATCCTTCACGAGCCCGAACAAGATATCCGTATGCAGCGTCCGTTCATGCGCTTCGTCGATCATCAAACAACTGTAGCTTGCAAGATCCGGCTCAGTCAGGAACTCGCGGAGAAGCATCCCGTCCGTCATGTACTTGATGATGGTCTTGTCGGACGTGCAGTCCTCGAAACGGATGGAGTAGCCGACCTCGTGGCTAAGTTTCGTCCCCATTTCGTCGGCGACTCGCGCGGCTACACTCATGGCTGCGACACGACGTGGTTGTGTGCATCCAATCTTCATGCCGTTTTTCGTGTAGCCCGCTTCGTGGAGGTATTGCGGTAATTGTGTCGTTTTTCCAGAGCCTGTTTCTCCGACGACGACTAGGACTTGGTATTCCTCTAACGCCTCGAGGAACTTTTGGCGGTGGGCGAAAACAGGTAATGATTCCCTCACTTCCTTCATCGACATGGCTTTCCGCTCCGCATCGGACATCTTAGGCCCGTCCTCCTGTATCAGCTCCTCCTTCTTCGCCGCAGCCTCTAATATGAAATCAATCTGCTGATCCTCGTCGAACACGTAATCGAAATCCTGCTGCTCCTCCCCTTTGTTCTGCGCGCCGACTTTTGCCAGCGACTTGCCGATCTGATGCTGTTCCCATTGCTCCTGCTCCGTTAAGAAGTTGGCTTGGTCTTGGTCATTCTCGTAGCGGCGGTATAGGACGGATTCCTGCTTCTTTTTGTCTAGTTTGCCTTTTTCGGTGAGGTAGTCTTCGGGCATTTGGTATCCCTCAACTTTTGTGCTCAGCTGCAACCGTTCGATGGTAGCCTTTAGGACCTCTTTCTTCAGTTCCTGCTCCCGTCGTTCCCGTTTCGTGAGCTTTTCGCCCTTGAACAAGAACTCTTCGTCCTCAATTTCCTTCTTCAGAAGCTCCAGTTTCTGCAATTCTCGTTTCTTCAAGTACTCCTGCCGTGACCGGTCTCGGATGTCCGGCATCACCGTCATGCGGGTCTCCCTATCATCGGCGATCTTGCGACGCCGCTCAGCTTCAGCGTTCCCCTTGGATGACCGATCTTCGACAATCTTCTTGGTCTTTTCCTTATCCTTCTCCCTCAGCCTCGCAGCAAACTCCTCTCGTTCTCTCAGATCCCTATCCATCTCGCTCTCCTCCACCGGCTCCTCCTCATTTGACGCATGCCCGTCTTCCTCTGCGGCTGTCTTTGACCGTTTCGGTGGTCGTTGCCCATAGTCGTCCTCCCCTTCCTCCTTTTCCCAACCCCGAGCGCTCTCCAGGTCATCCCGTTTCCGTAACCGCTTCTCCTTCCTGTCGCTCTTATCCTTTTTTCGACTAGAGCCGTCGGTACTGGCCGCTGGCCTCGACCCTTCTTCGTCCAGGAGCAGGGAGAACTGCTGGTTCTTCTGCAGTAACCGAACCGCCTCCTTTTCGTCGGCCTTTCGTTGTGTTTTCTTCAAAGCTGCTGCTTTTGACGACGACCCGCCCGACCGACCCACTCTCGAAAACAGCTCCGTCACAAAGTGCTCTGCTTCTGATGTTGCCGGCAGGTCTACAGCCTGCAGAGACTTTGCTAATGAGGAGCGGGACTTTGCTGATTTCGCGGCGGCGAGGACAAAGTCCACGACTGTGGACTCTGACATTCCAAACAGCTTGATGACATTGTCGGATACCCAGGTGCGGACTGGAAGGTCGGCCATGGCTGAAGTCGGGAGCGCTTGGGGTTCGTTTCCTTACTCTGCTAGTTGCTTTCTCGAATGTCTATTGGGCTTCGTGGGAACCTTTGTGAAATTCTGACTATAAACTATTCGGGAAAGGTGAGACTGTGCAAGAAGGCTGAATGTGAGTCTACGACATAAAAACTAGCCTATGATGGAATGTGGTGGATCCTGCTACGACGTGAAGTTCATGTTCCCACAGCAGGACGACATTTTGCCAATGCCTTGTAAAAGCAATCGCCCCCTTCTGCCGACTGCACAACGCGAGCAACACGCTCTGCCCCGCAGTTCCCACGCAGTTCCCATGCATTCCCGTGTTTCCTCTTCCCGCACAACTCGCACATTCTCTCTTCCCCGGCACTCTTCGCATTACGCTTTACGCAAACGGATTGACCGACGTGTGTTCGACGTGCTGGCAGCAACCTCAGAAACATCACGGACAGACCACACATACACAACATACGAACTCCTGAACTGAAGCAAACAACTTCAACTCAGCCAAGATGAGCGATGACTTTCAATCCGCACCGCAGCCGCCGCCGAGACGCATGGGGCGGCGCGCCAAACCAGCAGAAGGTGGACCAGATGAGCTCCGCAAAGAAGACGACTTTCTATTTCGCGACGACCTGTTATCTGAAAGTAAACCTGAAGCAAGATTAGTTAGCAATGATGAGCCACAGGAGCCTGCCTCCGTCGCGAAGAAGCCGCGGAGGATTCGAGAGACGGAAAGGCCCGAAGCGATGAAGGAGACGAGAGGTGGATGGGATAGTCCAGCGCCAGAGAGCTCGCCACCGCGGGGTGGACTAGTTGGAGGTACCTTCACCCGTGGAAAGAGTGGGTCAACTAGGAGAGAGGCGCAGGATGTGGAGGATATTGATGATGATGTAGACACGGTGCCTGTTCCACCACCAAGGGATCGGAGGGAAAAAATAAAGCAAGTGTTGTGATGTGCTCATTTGAGAGATGTGGCAAGGCTAACATTGCGGTTCAGAAAGCAAACGACAGTAGGCAGGATAGTTCTGACGATGCAGGTAAGCGCCCTGCTGGGAACATTTGATACTGATGCAGTGTCTAATGACATTGATGTTTCCAGTGACCGTGATCATCCCAGATCTGGATCAAGTGCAAGACAACCAGATGCTCACTGAAGTTGCGGCTGCACCTGTGATCAAAATCAACAGATTCAAGAATATGCAGGAATTAGACGGGGAGCTTCTAGCTAGCACAGGACAGTTGATTGAGGTGAGCACCGGTCAATGCCTCTTTGCGAGGCAATTCGACTCACAGTCGCTGTGTTGCAGCCTCCAACATCACTGGCAGGCATAGATGTCTCTCTCCTGGTCTCGACAGCCCTCATTCCTCCAGATCAACTAGTCAAGCCAGATGTACAATGGGATTGGGATGTCATCTTCACGGAGGTGTGTTCCGTTCAACCCACTTGAAATGTCTGCATCGCCTCATTCCACTTCCAGGTGACGAGCGACCTCCACGTCATTCAGAGCCCTGTGCCCTCGCCGCAGTCCAGCCCAACAAGACAACGAGTGTGATATGACTTCACCCAAAGCGATCTTCATGAGTCAGTTCTACAAGTATCTGCCCACAGCGGCTATGAACTCCAAAACCCATTCATGTCAATATACCCCATCCTGAGATGTGGGTGGATTTTTGTGAGGGTCCGCCGCCTTAAGCCGCATGAGCGAGGGAATGTCTCGGTTTTTGGTGGAGAACAACCGACGGAGTCCAAATCCCAAAATTACGAATGTAGTGGTCTCAACCATTCAGTCCTCCAAGACACTCTTTGCCTCAAGCAACCAAGCGCCTGCCCTTTCACCCCATCCATGAATCGGCCCTCTCAAGGCAAAATTGAGGCCGTCCGCGCCGAGGCAATGATCTCATCTTACCCTCCATGGAGATCTGTATTCGTCCAATAATACATACGCCAAAAATGAATGATATTCAGAAGGACAAGTATCTTGCCAGATCTCGTAATAGTAAGAAGCTACGTCTTTATCCGTAACGGAGCAGTTCAGTCTCCAATGCTGAACGGTCTTGCCCCAGAAGGCTTACGTACCTCTTTATGATCCTCGTCGCCCCCCGCATTCTCGTCCCGCACAACTTCCATGTCTCCCCATAACTACAATATGGCTAGCGTCGGTGCAAACATACTTTTGGCAGAGAGTCAGCTAGAGAAACGTTCGTTCACGGCCGGCCACGGAAGACACTCATTCACACGCCGGTTGGTTGATCCTGCACAGCGAAACCCGTGGAAGCGTTCGACCCGCGATGAAGGGAGGTCCGCACGCAAGAGACGACGCGATTGTTTAAAGATTCCACGCGTTTCCAATCACTTTGTTAGCCACTTGCCAGCACTTTGATGATTGATTACTGTACTGAGACGTGTCGCTTCCTTCTCTCACAGAGAACACGCGTCGTGTCATTGCGAACCGCCTTTGGCTTTGCTTGCGGGCTTTGGCGGACTTTCCCACGACTTACAAAAAGGACCTCCCCTCCACGCTCCGCTCCCTTCCCAGGCGCATGCATGAGCAAGCAACACATATAGACTATTGCAAAGACCCATCTCCCTTTCATCGCACACCAACCTTCACTTTCTATCCCAACCACCGCCAGTATCGCTTCTATCACGCGAAAATGGAGTCGCCAGTCCGTCTCTACGTCTATGATCTCTCCCAGGGAATGGCCGCTATGCTCTCCAGACAACTCACGGGGAGATATATCGAGGGAATTTGGCATACTTCCGTGGTGGTGAGTTTCGGGGGAGTGCAAATCCGGGCGGTGGCGAGTCCGAGCAAGAATGCTAGAGGGTTCCGAGCGATAGCGAGGAGAATGCGTGAGGACTGGGCCGTCAGGCCCGGAATTGCGGAGCACACACCAGCCCCAACATCCTTGTCGCGGGTCTCAATCGTTGATGGTCGATGGTATATGGTACATGGAGTATACTCATCACTCACGGTTGTTTCTCCTAGGTCTACGGCACAGAGTACTACTTTGGCCAAGGCATCATGCAGTCCCGACCTGGCTCAACTCACCACGGGGCGCCCATGAAGGATATCGATATGGGAACGACGCAGATTCCAAAGGATGTGTTTCTGCAGTATCTTGACTCGATGAGGGAAACTTGGACGGCGGATCGGTATCATTTGTTGGATAACAATTGTAACCACTTTTCGAATGAGTTGTGTGGGTTTCTGGTCGGGAAAGAGATTCCTAGCCACATAACGAGTCTTCCAGCGGATTTCCTTGGAACGTGAGTAGCGCTCTGACTGGGACGAACGAAGCGAGGCGCAGGGATGCTCGAGGCAGGCGAGGATCCAGCTCTACCTCCTTGTCGCGAGCGGAGTGACCAGGGTATCCTTCCAACCATTTAACCATCCATTCACTCATCTACTTTTCTTGTTACTCGCAATCAGACCCTTTGGACAACAGATACTACCGATGCTTGAAAACATGTTTGGCCCATCTCAGATCGCACGATCGGCGACAGCAGGCGCCAACGCCGCATCACGAGCCGCCGCATCAAACAGCCTTTCCCCTGGCCTCGCCAGCATGGTGGGCAACATTGCTGCAGCCGCCCAATCCGCGCCCCTCTCCCAAACCGCACTCCAAACTGCCACCAACCTCCTTCAACTCGAGTCCATCCTCGCATCCCACCGCTGCGTCGCTGTGGACTTCACGTCAGAGTCGTGCCCGCCCTGTCGCGTCATCTCCCCGGTATTTGAGGAATTGATTGCGGAGCGGAATAGTGGGTATCGCCAGACGGGGATTGGTGAGGCGGCGAGGTCGGATATGAATAAGATTGTGGGAGTTAAGGTGGAGGTGGGGAGGGCGAGGGATATCGCGACGAAGTATCAGATTACGGCGACGCCGACGTTCATCTTTTTCTTGGATGGCAAGAAGGTGGGCATTGTGTGGCATCCCTCAGTCATGCCATGGTGATCGAAAGGGGCTTATGATGGCATTTTGCTTTGAACAGTTCTCACAGTTTTCTGGCGCGAATCAATCCGAGCTCAAATCCCAGATCGACGTCTTGCTATTCACCGCCTTCCCACGTGAGTATGCGCGGCTGACAGTTGTTGCGGGTCGCATCGAGTCTTGTGCTAAAACAACATTTCGTCCCGTAGCACACCCGCACACCAAACTCCGCCTCACCACCCTCGACACCGTCCCCAGCACACCCATCCGCTACACCCAATGTACCCAAGTCGACACCATGTTCACCAAACTCCAAACCTTCCTCCAATCCCTCCACCCCCCAGAACACGTCACCCAAAGCATCCAAACAATACAAACCGCCCTCAAACGCAAACACGAGGGATCATCCACGGGCCCCCTCAACCTACCCAAAGACCATAACCTTGCCCTAGAGTGGTTGGTGGAACACCTGGACGGGGATAAGATTTTCCCGGTACTGGATATTTTGAGGTTGTTGGTGTTGGACGATACGTTGAGGGAGAGTTATGTGGCGAAAGGGGAGGGGTGGACGGTTATGGGGTTGTTGTATACGTATGCGAAGACGAGTGAGCCCGTGAGCAAGGCTGTAAGGTTGATGCTTTTGCGATTGGTACGTATCCCTGTTCTTCGCGTTCGTTTGAAACATCAAACGTTAACTCACCGACCTGGACCCCCCTCTCACAGGCATGCAACCTCTTCCCCGCCTCATCCCCCTACCTCCTCTCCCTCACCCTCACCCACCGCACCTCAACCACCTCCACACCCCACCGCACAATAACAACAGCCCTCCTAATCGAATCCCTCCTCCACCCCGACACCTCCGTCCGGCAAGGCGCAGCAGCCCTCGCCTTCAACATCGCCGTCGAGGAAGCCACGCAAAGGAGGAAAAACGGAGGTGTGGGCGGGGCCCAGGAGGACGAAGGGTTGCATGAGGAGTGGGTCAGTGAGATTGTTGCTGGGGTGGTGAAGTGTTTGGAGGGGGAGGATGGGGACGAGATTGGTGAGTTTTTTCCTTTTTTGCGTCTTCTCACTTCCTTTTGACCATTTGCACGAACTAACCCGAAATATTTGAATACTTTTTCATAAACAGTCCTCCGCCTCCTAACAGCCCTGGCCCACCTCCTCCGCTTCGCCACACCGTCCATCCTCCAGTTGGCCTCCGTCATCGGCCTGCCCGCCCTTCTCGACCACAAGAAGGCTGCACGGGAGAAGGAGATCGCTCACCTCCGTTCGCCTGCCGCTGCGGAGGAGATGATGGGGTTGGGTGAGGGTGAGAGGGAGCAGAGGAAGAGGGAGGTGGCGAGGCAGGGGAATATCGTGGGGCTTTGTGGGGAGGTGGCGGGGTTGGTTGAGAGTGGGATGTAGAGGGGGGGGGGAAGGTTGTAGCGTAGATGGATGTAGATGTGGGGGGACTTGGGTTGGGGTGGTAATGTTTGAGGGCAGACTGACATAGGGATGATGTGTTTTTTCGTAATAAAGACAATAGCATAGCAAAGTGATATGATGTGAGTGATATGATGTAATTTGAGAGAAAAAGTTACGGTATATACAGGTACAGTAAGGCTACGGAACTGAAAAAGAACTATGATAAAAAAAACGCGCTGAACTGAGTTGAGCAGCCGCACAACATCTCAATGAGTCTGTACACCCTTAAGCGCCTCATGCACCCTCCCCAAGGCAACCCCAAACAAAACCGCATCCTCTCCCTTCCTCTCGCCCCCGTCTCCCTCACTCCACCTAACACTCCCCCCATGCCCGCCCGCCAGCACATCGATCCCCGCCTTCAAAAGATACCTCTTCTTCACCTCAAACTCGGCGCGCTTGAGCTGCTCCCCGCCCTGGATGGGCACCGAGTTGACGGCCTCGTTGATCACGTACTGCAACAGCAGGTACACGTGTTCCGCGATCAGCACCGCGGCCAACGCGTTCGGGAGGCGTGCCTTGACCTGCACGCCGGCGTCCATCTCGAGGTTCCAGTTGCGGTACAGCGTGAGCAGCGACGGGATGGTGAGCGCGGACCCGACGTAGGAGATCAGGCGCAGGTTCTTGGACCACGGGCCGATGTTGTCGGCGCGTTGGGGGACGGGGCGGCGCGCGGCTTTGCAGATTTTGAAGGCGTCTGCGCGGAGCTCGAGGAAGTTGTTGATGAGGCAGAAGAGCGGCGTGAGCGGCCAGCAGGGGGAGAAGAGCATGATGTAGCCGAACTGTTGGGAGAATACGGTATGAGATGGGTGCGTTGAGGGATGTACGGAAGGCGGGGGTGGGAGACAGGGTACACACCTGAATGACCATCTCGGAATAATCATCGGCCACATTATACGCAGGCCGCTCAAACTCCTTCCTCGCCCGCCTCGCCCAACACTCATCCTCCGTCTCCTCCCGCTTCTGCGCCTCGGTCACTTCCAACCCCTGTTTCCTCGTACTCCACCGTGTCAACACGAGCGGCAACACCACCTCCGTGACCGCGTTGATCGCCTGCCCCGTAATCACAAGATAAATCAGGCGGCTCTGCAAACTCGCCGGGCCGACCTCGAACGACATGGACCAGATGTACCCTTTGGATTTGAGGATAGACCCGACCCATGTGGAGCAGGGGATGAAGATGTATGCTTCGGCAAAAAGGGCGAAGAAGGCGACGAGGGAGTTGAATGTGAAGAGTTTCTGGGTGAATGTCGCCGCGTGTTGGGTGTCGGTGGGCAGGTTCTCGAGGTAGGAGAGGTGGTTTGCCAGCCGGGTGTAGTAGGAGTGGAAGGTGGGGATACATGCGCCGTAGACGATGGTGGGGATAAATCCGACGAATTCCTTCCCCGGGCCGTCGTAGTATTTATGGAAATAGACGTCGGATGAAACGATCGTAAAAACGACGCATATGAGCACCCCGACGAGGGTGAGGTTAATGGGGACGGTGATGAGCGTGGTGGTCGCCCAGCGTTTCCAGTACGGGTAGAAGGGTAAGCGCTCGTGGGTGACGGGGTCGGTGAGGATGCTTGTGGGGCGGAATTCGGGGCGGATTTTTTCAATCTTGGAGAAGTTGCGGGTGCCCCAGCGGCGGGCGTAGACTGAGGCGCGGCGGTCCCAGACGGCGATGAAGACTACTGACCAGACAATGATCAGCACGCCGTAGACGGGAGAAAAGTCCCCCTGCCACAAGTACGCGATCCCGCCGATGACGGAGGGAATGATGAGAGATTGCACGTAAAAGCGCAAGAATGCAAAGTAGAATGCCACTTTCTCGCCGGCATAGTCGCGGATGGCGTCAATGTCTTGGTCAGTTAAGAGCCATCGCTTTGTCCAGCTTTTGATCCATTTCTAGGAAATCAGATTTGAAAGGGGGTCAGTCAACCATCGACCCACCGTCAACCATCAACCCCATCATGAACCATCAACAAACGGCGACGAGGAACCGTCAAACAATCGCTCGCTAACGCTCGCGTCTCGCAATCTACTCACATCGGTAAACTCCTTGTCATGCGGAGCGTAGATCGCCTCAATAAACTTCCCACCGACGGCATCCGTCTTTCCGACGACGTCCTCATCCATGGTCAATCCGGCTCCACCCTCATAAGTCGGAGTGGTGAGCAGCTCATAGACGAGTCTCAAGCGTTCGGCCTCGGTCAGGGGAGGGAGTTCGAGGTCGGTGAGAGTCACAGGCGGCTCCCTGACGGATGCGCCAGAGTTGTTGAGCCAATCGATGACTCTCGTACGGTAAATCTCTCTACGGAGGACGTCATCGGGACATCGAACGAGGATCGCCAGCTTTTCAGGACTGCCCCACTGTTGGACTTGGAACGTGAGCTTTACAGACAGCAAACGGGAGATGACGTCGTCCCAGGCCTGCAGTACGGCGCCTTTGCGGTCATCGAGGGCTTCTGGCGTCAGGCCCTTTGCGGTTGCGCGGGGTAGTTTTGTGTTGAATACGATGATCCAGTCCGTCTGGTGTGCGGCGAAGGTGGTTTGGTCTTTTGCTGAGTCTGCGGAGGGGACAGCCTGTGAGCGTGGTGGACGGAGTTGGGCGACCATGTTGGGGATGCCGAACGTGATATATTAAGGAAGGGTGGCGGGGAACGAGGGGGAGGGGGGGGTTCTTTTATAGGTAGTGGTATGGGGCAAAAGCCACGATGTGAATGCATCCACAGCCTCACACCTTTTCCAGAGCAGCGAGAGGCACGTCACCTCTCTCTCTCGATTCGGACGCGCACAGGACACTGAGGACAGGGGGCGGATGAGGGGCCAACTGCATGACGTCGCAAACACCCTACCGGCCTCCTAACATTATTACACACTGCACAACCTGGAACTGCAACTGGAACTGCAACTGGAACTGGAACTGCAACTGGAACCTGCACTTCCTATTCCCGTACGGTAGAACGCCCGAGCTCCACGCAGGATCTAACTGCCCAACAGTCGGAACTTCGAAGCTCGAGGGAATTAGGCCCGGGGCGGCGTACTCTCCAGTGCACGAGATTTCCAGTATTTATACCCCGTGGAGGAATCCACCCCCTCCGCCTGCTTCCCTTTTTCCCTCTTCCACATCGTTCACGCACTCGTAACCGCCGTTACCCTCACTGCACTTCCTTGCCGCCACAATCGCCAATCCTTTTCCCAGACCATCCAAGGCCGTTCTCCCACGAGGATCGTCCACCTCACACCCTCGCTGTGGCCATGTACGAGAAGGACGGAACGAGCCCCCGATAAGTTTCAGTCCCTCGAGCACGCTGCGATGTTCGATCTCGCTCAGTTCGTCAAACACGGGAAAGTTCCGCGACAGTGAAGATCTGTGCATAACCACTCTCCAACGGTGGTACAACGGCAGCAACCGCAACAGTCGACGCTTGTGAGGATAGCCGAGGAGGAGCTGGAGAAGTTGCTCTCGGTTAGCGCTACATCCGACAAGTACTATGAGTCATGGATCACTGACAGTTCGGCCTCGCTGAAGGGACATGGTTGCCACCGACATGCGTGAAGCATTCAAAGAGGGGGCGATGACGCAAACAAACTGCGTATCATTGCAGCAAGACGTCCCAGAATTCCGACCGGTCTGTCCACAAAATCGAACCCTTCTTCGAAGTGCGGAAGCACCAGCTTGCGGCGGCTTCGAGCTCGAGCCAGCGACCTATCACGGCTCGCAGAGCCAGAGCCCCTCCCAGCACCAGCAACCAGGGACGGACGCGAATGTCCAACAATCGGGCCCTTGGCCAAAGTCGGCATAAACCGGAGAACAACGAAAGGCGCAACAAGCCGCCGACCTCGCCACCAGCATGCTTTGGCTGCTGCAGCCGACGCCCACGCGCTTGAACTCGCCGCTCTCCGGGAGAGCATGCAGAGGGTCCTTGCCTTGACCAACGACCATCACAAGGGGGCGGCCAGTAAAACGCAGGAGAAGGTGGAGGGCACAATCGGCCAAACAGGAGCCTTCGTCTGCAACTGCAGCCATTGAAGGAACGCAGAACGACCCATGTTCACCTCACCTCACAAGGGCCTTCTCGTACCAAGGCCTCGCGGAGCAGGAGCGGCGCCGAGTGAGCTCTCTGTCGGTGACGGCAGAGTGTACGAGGCCTCTATGCCAAATAGCGTCACGCCCTCCCGAAGCCAGCAGAAATCGAGAGGCCGGTCGCCGCAACGTAAACATTATAGCACCATGCCGCCGGATGTATTACGGATAGTGTTTGTATATGCACCAGCCGCGTCGAACAAAATCATTGATAGTCTGGAACGACCGGCGTTGGGCGATGCCTCGAAGAGGCAGCTATCACGCCATACCTTGAACCACTAATTGCGGAGATTGCCGTACGGGTGAAACATCTGATCTTTCGGGACAAACGCCGGCGACGCCTATTCAATCTCACAGCGACGGAATGGCAAACCGCGACCACTACCACGCATAGGCGCGCGAAAAAGAATAATTTCCCTGCAAAGGCTGTGATAAGACGTTTACACCCAAGAAAAAGCTCGCAAACGTAACATCATATGGGACGTGAGCCCTCGAATTCGAACCGACAAAAATGTCCCTGCAAAGGCTGTGATGAGACGTCCAAGTCCGGGTACGGGCTACAAGTTCACATCAAAGCGAAACATCTGGGCTTGAAGGTTGCTTGTACCTGTGACGGATATTTTGGGACATTCACCCTACGCAGTAACCTCACGCAGCATATCAACGCCGTGCACCTGGGAGTGAACCCATAAGGAATTTCGGAGACATTCACCAAGAGTGCGTCAATGATACAGCATGTCGACTCCGTGCATCTGGGCCTTACAGCCGTGTGCCAATGCAAACATATCTACTCTCATGAATGGAGGGCCACTCCAAATATATGACATCACCGGGAGACGCGATGGCTTTATCAAAAGGACTATTGGCGCGGCTGGTTGAGAAGGTCATCAACCTTAAAATCGCAGCAAAAAGGAAGGAGGAGCCAGATTCGTCGGAGATGGAGCTCTTTGAAGATGCGAATTCCTTCGACAGTCACTCACGCGAAAGGGAACTGGACAAAATGGCCTTGGGAAACAAGCCGGAGATGACGTTTACTTAGGCAAAGTATGGACACGCGCATGGACAGCGACCTCCGAGAAGACTTTTCTTTGGGTGGAGGCTGGGCGGTTCACACTCGTCATTGCAACCGCAAACCAACGTTTCGCAAACTCGAGGCATTCGCCTCATTGCAGTCAGAATGGGGCGAATGCTTCGAGTTTGCGAACGAGTGGGATTTTACCTTGCGGCGAAAATCCGCATCTCTCCGGCTCCGTCACAGGATTGCGATGCAGAGGGCTGCGAAGGAACGATTGCTCTCTGAGGAACTCATCAGCATCGTGGAAGTTCGCATAAGGCATAACGGTGAGCGATCATCCTGTCCCCAGGGTTTCCCTAAGCCTTCAGCGATCCATGCCTCAAGGAATCTTACTGCTGTGGATGGAATCCACTCAAGCTCAGACCCGAATGGACTGAATCCGTACAGCTTCTGTGGGAACAGATGCACCGAGTTATTGCGTTCTGGTTGTTAAAATGCCCCCCACATTCCTTGGGTTGAGTATGCATTTTCGGGTTTCTCCGAAGACGAGAGCGCCGAGAATACAATCCGCAAAGCGATAAACCGAACAGAGTCAGCCGTACGACGTCCGTAACGGTATCATGATGACTGCGACCACATATCCTTCGAAAGCTCCGCATCGGACGAACATACCTATACCGGAACTACGCTTCCGTACATTTCATCGCAAACAGGATCGGAACAACCAGCCCCCAACGCAGCTCCCGAACCCCGTCGCCACCCCGCACGCGTTCCGCCACCGGCTTCCTCCCCGCCACCGATTGGGAGGATCTTGCTGCGAAGATGGGAAAGATGGGAGTGACTGCTCCCGCTGCCGCCAACGGGAAGGCCATCAAGATCTTTTTCAAGGTCTTGCCCTTCACCTCGCCCAAAGAGACCTCGGTGGATCCCGTAAGGTCTCTCCCGAGGTCTCGCCGTCGACCTTGCCCAAAGAGACCTCGGTGGCTTCCCGCAATGTCTCTCCCAAGGTCTGGCCGTCGACCTGGCCTAAAGGGACCACGCTGGCCGTTGGCCGAGGCTACTTTCAACCCACCGCCAAGGGAAAAGAGCGCGCCACCACGCCGCCGACCAAAGTCGCATTCTGGCGCAATTACGGTCCCCCGCAAGCATCGTCCTCCAAGGTGCTTTTGCCTTCGCGTGCCAAGATCACACCGACAAGGACGCTGCTGTCGGTGCCTCCAAGAAGACCACCCCACCGCAGATGGACGCCGCTCCCCGCCAAGAAGGACAGCATGACCAGCCAGTCCCTTGCCGTCCCCGCTGGAGTCGAGGCCCTCTTCGGAGCAATAAGCGAGCGCCTCGCAGCACTGGAGAACCGTAAAAATGCGAAGGCTCAAGCTGCCGCAGACGCTGCCACCAAAGCCAGAGCCGCCACCACCGAAAATGGTCGCAATGAAGAACGAGCTGGAGCCTGCGCAGAAGGTCCATGCTCAGGAAGTGCTGGACTTTACGCGCAGGTGCAAAGACCTTGCGGACGCTCTGACTGTCAAGGGCCGTCGCATTCGAGCAACGTGTCACCGACGCCCGACACCCGCATCGCAGCAACCAGTGAGAGGTTGCGCGCGTGGAGGGAATCGTGGCCGCCATCGACGGCGGAATCCATGGGGAAGAGGAGGAAGAGCAGGCAGGCCGAAGATGTTTTTGATGAAGAAGTCGACGGAGACGCTGATGAGGAAGAGGTTGAGGCAGAAGACGCTGAAGGAGAAGGAGCTGTGGAAGAAGAAGAGGTCGTTGTTGAGGAACTTGAGGAGGAGGCGCCTGTCGAAGACGCTGAGGTGGATGCAGAGGTGGATGACCACGCCAACAAAGTGCAGGAGGGCGATGAGGTGGTGGGGTTGCACATCTCTGAGAGCGATGGGTAGGTGGTACCTCTTTATGTTTCAGTAGCTGGTGCGCGGAGTAGAACAGCCATCCTCCGCAACTCCCCTTTTGCATGTTGGCCCTTCCCCGTGACATGCACTACTTGGCCATCAGTAATCGCAATCATGATTATCCTTTAGTTTACCAGAGCGTACGGGATGTAGATTTTCAAATGGTTTTAATTTATACAATAATGCTTCAGAATGCCTACACGATGCTATGTTGCTATGCTGATAATTGCAATCTATACAAAACTGGTGGTACGCCGATCCCATCATCAGCCAAACCCATGTGCCCCTTCCATATGTAAATGGATGCGATGACTTCGTCACAGATTGCCCAGAGTAACAACCTTCACCGCATTCCGCACCCCTTTATACCTCCACCACCGGCCTAGCCGATGTTCCTGTCCGACACCGACGACGAGGTACAGGGTATCTTTCTGGGATGCGGAGGAGCGTGATGAGAGGGCGCCGGATGCGAGAGCTGCGCGTGCTCGGTCGAGGCGGGTTGTGGGGGTGGTCGTGGAGGAAGTGGGGTTGGAGGTGTCGGTGGTGGAGGAGACGGGGTTGGTGGGGAGGGAGGGGGCTTCGAGGAAGGTGAGGGAGTTGATGAAGCCGGCCTGAGGTTTGCAAGGGAATAGTCAGTATGCGAAGATGGATTGGAGGAGTAAGAAATTGACTCAGGAGACGGAGCTATGAACTCACCATCGGTATAGCGGCGATGAGGTTGAATCTCCTCTTGCTATCCGCCACCTTCCACAGCCTGATATAGCCGTCCCCAGACCCAGACGCAAACAGGTCCGAGTACCGCACCGTCGCGAGCGAAGTGATGGCGCCACAGACGGACGTGCTGTCGACCGCATCAGCAGCCTTATCATCTCCAGCAGCACCCGCAACGCCAGCAGCCGAGCCAGGGGCCGGCCCAGGCACCGCCTTGCTTCCTACACCGTGCGCCTTCAATTTCGTAAACAGCGGTTTCTTCCTGTTCACATTCCACAAAGAGATCGCGCCCGTATCGCTTCCACTGACGAAATGCTCCTCGTCAAGCATGGCTACCGCGTCCAAAGACCCGCCCGCCATGCCAACCTGTTTCTCATTCTTCGCAGGGCCCTTCTTCTTGAGGCCGTCCATAACCACCAGATCCTCGCCAGCGGCTTCGTGGGTCGCGCTACCACCACCCCGGAAGATCAACTGACTTTCTTCAATGATCTTCCATAATCTGACTGTCCTGTCTCGCGAACCTGTTGTGACACATCGCTCACGGGCAAGGGTGTCGACGCAGGTGATTTCGTCTTGGTGGCCGTAGAGGGTTTCTACGTAGGACATTTCGTCGATGTTCCAGACTTTGATGGTGCGATCTAGGGAGGCGGAGTAAAGTTGGTTGGATGTGGCTTTGCGGAATGCGAGACCGGCGACGGCGTCACGGTGTTGTTTGAAGGTCGTTAGGTGTTTGTTTTGGGGGACGGACCAGACGTTGATCTGTTTGTCGCGGCCGCCTGTTGCCTGGAGTTCGGAGCAGATAAAACTTGTGAGTGTCGATGCTTCCATTCATCAATCATGAAGGTAAGATGCAAGATGTTCCGCAGCACAATTCTGGGTAATCAACTGATAATGATCATGCAGACTCAAAGCGCGAAATATTTCGATTTTGAAGAATGCTAAACATGGCAGGTATCGATTGATACCGCCAGTTGGAGGAACAGTTCGCACATCGAAAGCGCAAACGTTCGCTCCCTTCTTCGATTTAATCCACCAGATGCAATTTCCAAACCCCCAACAACTCTTCAGTATCCGCCACACGCTAACATCACGAAGTCAAACGGAGCCACCCCTACTTACCAAGTATTGGCCATCTGAACTAGCTGCGATGGCAAGGATGTGTTCATTGTGGCCGGCATGCTTTGACCCAACTTTAGATCCGTAGGCTGCGACTAGCTTTTTTGTGGGCTTGAGTCCACCAGGCACCAGGTGCACCATCTTGCCGGTCCAGAAGTCCCATTTAGCAATCGAAGCGTCCTTGGAGGCAGAGTAAATATATGTGTCCTTGTATCCTGCCGGTAATGTTGACGACGGTACATGATGTGTTCCAGATGGTATTGCGACGGTAACAGCCGTAACAGGTAGCGCATGTGGTTTCTTTGCACTCTTGAACGTCCTAACCCGGGACTCGTCCCCCCAATTCTCGACATTCGCAAACGTTTCCGCAATCGGGCGATGCAGTCTTCCGACCGCCTCGAGTGCCTCGTCTCGTAACCGATTTGCGATAATATCTCTGTCCAAATCGGCAGCGTCCACTTCTCCGTCGTCGGCACCGGCCTCCTCCCTCACTTTCGCGAGGTAGCGTTTGGCAAGCCTCAGACGCCTTTGCGCGGCGCTCTCGCGCTCGGCCTCCGAGTCTTCCGACTCTTCGAGCGCCGCACCACGGTCACCAACGAGGTCCATGTCGTCGACCGTCTCGGCACCACCGACTTCGTGGTCTGAGTTGTCGTCGTCGTCATCGTTGCCCTCTCCTCGCCGCCGGCCTGCCCTTTTCGCTGTTCCTCGCTTATTGGCGGCGGACTCTTCCGCCCTTTTTTGCTCCGCAAACTGCCGCTTGCGCTTGTTGCGGGAGGGCAGTGGAGCGTCCGGGTCAGCTATGAAGAAGTCGTCCATGTCTGCAGTGCACTGGTTGGGGAAATGGAGGGTTGTGTTTCCAGCTGCGACCAAGAAGCCCTTTTTTCGCAGGTGCAGTTTGCGATGGAGTTCTTTGTGCGACAGCTTACGTCAGCCAGTGTGACTCACTGCAGTACTGTCACTGCCCAAGTGCTGGCCGTCCCTTTTCCGCCTGCATCTCCAGTGTGCTTCCGAACGTCAACACCACAGCTCTCAGTCCCAGTGACGAGTCCCTCGATCCGAATGGAACTATCCATAACTATCTGATCGCAGGCTGGTGTGACTGCACGCATTTCGTTGCAATGGCCAGCAAACTACCTGCCACCGGTTCCTCATCCCCACCCGTCTACGCGTCGCAGCGTCGCCCGTCCCTCAGCAACCCATCCGCCAACAACAGTCACCACCACCACCATGCTCGCCCTAGCAAGAAACAGCGGCTTGCCCAGCTGGCTCCAGCGGACCCGCAAGACATGCGCATCGCCATGCAGGCGGCGGCAGGAGGGAAGACTTATTCTTGGGCCACTTTGCCCCCTGCACCGCCTCCAGTTGTAGATAACGGAAAAAAGAAGCGGAAGTCTCATAAGAAGAAGGTCCCGGAGGATGCACGGGTGGAGGAGAATCTCAGTGCATCACGACATCCGCCAGAGTTGGATTCAGTGGGGCAGACGGCTGGAACGGCGGACGAAGCACGGGAGCCGTCAGTGGTCCCAAAGAGAAGGAAAAATCCGGCGTCTAAAGCGAAAGAATTGGCGACTGTTGTTGACGATGGCCCCATCAGCAGCAGCATGAGCAGAAATGAGACCCCGAAGGTCAACTTCCATCGAAAAGGAGAGGAGCTCGACAGGCTTGCTTCACCTCTATCACCACATTTGTCGCAAAAGAAAATAGGGGCGCCATCCCTTGCGCTACATTCCGATTCCAAATCGCGGTCAGAACCGCAAACGTCGCCGCCACGCACAACTCCTGCTATAACAAAATCATCCAGTTCGAATGCTACGCGTAAGTCGGCAAAGGATACACGGAAGCAGGCCTCACCATCCCCATCCCCAACCCCGCAAAGACAACCAAAAGCCTCGCAAAAGGAACCACAACAGCCACTGCCACCGCCACCGCGACTTGCACCTCTCACCAAAACGCCCGGCGGCAGGCAGGTATGGGTGAAGCGGCGCGACGACGACGATGACGTGTACCATCGCAGTGCGCGCAATGTCATGGGATATCCGCTGGGCGTCGCGATCTGGCGTATGGGGTGAAGCCACGAAGTGTTGTGTGGGGTGGCGGTGAAAAGATGAAGATGGAGGTGCGGCGAGGGATGATGAATAGTTGATGGAGAGATGGGAGTGTATATACAATTTTGGTTTGGTTTCATATGGAGATGGACCTCATAGTGCCTCTGTGGCAATGTTTCTGTGTATGAATATGTCACACGGCTCTGTACATAACTGTATTCAAAGTCCATATAACCTGTTCTTTCGTCTGTGCGGTATCGTGGTAGTGTGCAGTCGTTGGCAAAAGTGAAGATTATGTATGTCTTGTCCATAGGGGTCCAGAACTCCAGATGCAAACGGCGACGCGCCCGCCGCTTACTGTAAGGCGTCTGTGTCAGAACGGAACCAGACCACCACTCACCGAGACTCCTGCCTCGACTCGGACTTTCCCGGGAACACCCCTCTCGACCCCACCAGCTGCGGGCACCTTCGGAGACCCACGGACAAAACGGAAAAAAATACAGTGGGCTACGCTGCAATGTCTGAGGGAACAAGCCCTGAACCCGCAAACAGCAAAAGCAAACGAAAAAAGGCCTCCAGAGCCTGCGGCCATTGCCAAAAGGCGCATTTGACCTGTGACGACCGTGAGTTGGCGTACCCTATATTCCCACATATGTATGATGACTATGAATCTGAACACCTTCTCTGCTCACAATAGAGCGACCTTGCAGCAGGTGTGTAAAGCGGGAGCTGCAGGATACCTGTGCGGACGGGCATAGGAAAAAGGCAAAGTACCTGCTGGACGTTGACGGTGAGTCTTGAACTTGGGATAGGTTTGCGGAGGCCTTGACAGTGAATGCTTGTGTACGGGGGTAACACCACCTCTCCGGAATGGGCTTCTGGCATTGATACCTCCGTCGTCTACAAATGTTGGTTACAGAGGACGATCTCGACGCCCCCCAATCGAGCGCAACCTCGCAACAAGACAGAACGCCACCCGACGTGCACGCAACACTCAACCAACAGGAGCAGGTCTCACCACATAACCAGCAGCAGCATACGCAGTCCATACCGCACCCGCCGCCACCGCCACCGGTTCAACTTGAGTACTCGAATCAGCAGCAGCAGCAGCAGCAACAGGCGCCGCCACATATACCCGCTGGAGTTAGATACCAAGGTATGTGGTGGTTTGCGGAAGTGGGGTTGACACTTAGTGAGGTGGGAGTTGGAGCGAATGTGGGCAGCGAGTGATAGGGAGGGCAAGTACGAGGGAAGCAAACGGGAATCATCCCGGGTAGATTTGGTACAGGCGGGAGCCGAGCCGATCGCACGGAGCGACAGAGAGATCTCGAGCGGAACGAGCAGTGTGTCATATCTTGCGTTGTGGGATTGCGTCTCACTTTTCTACCCCTCCCAGTAGTGCCAAACATGGCGCAACAACAGAGTCAGCCAGCAATATCAGGACTGGGATCCATACAACAGTCAGTGCCGAATGTCGTCCCACCAAACGCATTACTCAACTTCCCAATGGCGTCCGATTTCAATTTCGGATCGGAGGCGGTCAACCTGGAATACTCCTTTCTCTCCAATATGTTGGGCACGGCACCTATGGGCGACCCAAACACCTTTTCGATGAGCGATATGTTGGGACAACCCACTGACTTGCAACAACACCAACACCAGCATCAACATCCATCTCAGCAGCCGAACGCATATAATCAGGGCATGCCCGCCAACAACATGGCTCTGCACACAAGCATGTCGCCCAACCAACCGATGGAGAACTCATACAGGGACAATCGGCCGGCTGCCGTGTACAAATCGGTGTTGCAGCCCTACGATTATCGCGAAGGGTTCCATTACCTCGTGCGATATGTGAAGGAGCGGATGGAGAAGAACGATATTATGAGGATTTGTCGGGCGCTGGCGCAATTCAGACCGTCGTTTATGGCTCAGATTATGAACTTGTCGGAAGAGGATCTGGTGTTTATGGAGAAGTGTTTCCAGAGGACTATCATGGTGAGGGAACGAGCGCAATAAGGCGGTTTCCCAGAAATCCGGCGGACCGTTCTCACGATTTTTGTCCCACTTCCAGGAATTCGACAAGCTGATAGGTTTCTCGGGCACACCCACCGTCGTCTGGCGGCGCACGGGCGAAATCGCGCTAGTCGGCAAAGAATTCTCCATCCTCACGCAATGGTCACGCGACCAGCTGCTCGGCAGCTCCACTACCAAAAAAACCTACATCTACGAACTAATGGACAACGCGTCCGCGGTCGATTACTGGGAGAAATTCAGCCTGATTGCGTTTGATAACTCGCAGCAGAGTATGATGACGACGTGTACGCTGGTGTCGCCGAGTGGACGGCCGGTGCCGTGTGCGTTTTGTTTTACGATTAAAAGGGATATTTTTGATGTGCCATTGGCGATTGTGGGGAATTTCCTGCCGCTGTGAGTATTGTGTGTTGGATGTGAGATGGTGGGTTATTAGTGATGTGGTTTCTGATTCCGTGATCCTCTAGGTTCCGACCGGTCTAGGTGGTGGTCCGCCCGCATTTCGATTGATATTCTTCGTTTGTACATAGCTGTCACATTTTTTTGGTTGATCGAAGCTCACAGGGCCATTCGTCGCGTAGGGCTCGATGTTACCCTCTGTTGATGTGGGAGTTGGTCAGTCGTTTTTGGGAGAGAGCGTTAGCCTGCGGATACGCATTCGGTTCGTATCTAAGTTCGTAGGGCGTAGAACTACGGGCCTGTGCTATATTTATGGGTTGCTGCAAGGCCGAGGCCTTCCCAACCATTGATGAAGGCTCCACGCGTTCCGTAAACCGCGGGTCCAAAAGATCGCGAGACCTCCCTCAATTGTCCAAGTTATCCCACACACCAGCATCCAAAGCCTCTCACAGAATGGCAGACACAACCGGCATCCGCCAGCGGCCAGCGGCGGCGGCCAAGGCTTCCGCGCTCGCATCCAGCACGACCACCAAACCAGTCGTCCCCGTTCCGCCACGTGTTCCGCTTGGGCCGAGGATATCAGGGTGGGTCTTGCTTTCAATTTGTCCTTGATAGCGAGTACGATTGCTGAACGGTTAGAGGCTTTGCGCAGGGCGGTGATAGCAAAACTCGTAATATTCTCGTTCCTTCTGTTCTTCCTGCCGCTTGCGACGTATTTCGGGACACTGAATCGGTTGTACAATGGTACGCAACCCCTCCAGCACAACAAAAACGTAACATATATATCCTCACCAACTGTGATATTTTTCAGGAAACCAAAACTACAGCGCAATCTCAGCCGTCATCGTCGCCAATCTCGTCGTCTTTGCGTACGTCGTCGTCGCCTTCTTGGAGGATCACGGGGACCAGGAGGCGGACGCCGCGATGGCGAAGAAGGTTGATATACTGAATGAGGAGAGCACAGCGGAGAAGATTGCTGCTGAGAGGGCGGCTGTGGGGAAGAGGGCGGCGGAGAAGGCGGATAAGGGGAAGGGTGAGGGTGGAAAGGCGGAGTGATCTTGTATATAGGGCAGGAGGGATAAAGAGGAAAAGATCCTTGCGGGGCTGTAGCGGCGTAGTATTGTGTACGGCAGATTGGATTGTATATATGTGTTGGTTTTAAATAGTCATGGTGATGTACAGCCTCTGCACTGCTATCAGAAACCCCCAGCTATCCTGCCGGGTGGAGGAGAATCTGCATCTCTGTCCGGATGCGTTTTCAGGCGCAAATGATGCGATTGCTTTCCCTGATGCCTTCGAGTCCGGTGATGTTCTGCCGCAGACGAGAAGACCTTCCATCAAGGCGGGAAACATTCCGATGCATCTCCCTCCCGCAAGCGGGCTACTCTATTCTACGTCCTGCTAACCAAATTTCATTCGAAGCGATCGTTCCCACATCGGATTTTCATCGCAAGTACTTTTTCTTCCAATACGGCACGAGTTTCTTCAACAGCTTCTTCTGTGTCGTGTTGGCCAACACTCTCCTCTTCTTCGATTTCCGCTTCCATACCCGCATCTTGCTGTTCAAGTGGCGGCGACCTGCCTGCCCGCGCTTGAACGTGCCGTCGCCGGAGACCATCCACCTGTTTCGTGTTTTTATGTTGGTGTTGGGGAAACGGGCATTCAGTTAGGACTTCTGAACACGTACCTAGCCACGGCCCCACCATGGTTCTTCAGTTTATACTTCTTCGTCTTGCGTTTCGACGCAACCTTTGTTCGTTGCCACTCACTCACGCTGCGTGTTTGCAACGGTGCTTGTGGTGATGCGTTTTTAGGGAAGGCGGCGGTGAGTGAGCGTAGAGTTGGGGGGAATAGCGTATGACGGTGAAGGGTGGTAGGGGATGGTGATACGCTGAGACTTCGGAAACTGGCGCATAGGTGAGGTCGGCATGCTGGTTCTGAGAGAGCGGTTTTCTGTTAGAACTTGAAGTTGCGATAAATGGAGATCGTGGGGGGCACTTACTTGGGGCAACCCACGACCGGAAGAGTCCAGCCTTCCCAGCCCGAGCTATATGTTGAAGTTGCAGTGCACCTGCCATGACTGTTGGACACTGTCGCGGGGTGCGATGCGTTCAGCGTTTGCTCCCAAACCGTTTCTCGCCTGGTCGAGCGAAAACGTTGGGTGGCTGTGCAAGTGAGGGCCTTGTCATACGCAGTTAGGGCTACGCAACGGCGACTTGTTGGCAATTGCGCCCAGAAGTTCTTGGCACTCTGTCTGACCGCTCCCGGTCTTGGGAGGTGCATTCGTCCCATTTTCCCACGAAGAACCCAGTATAAAAGGCCCTGCCCGACATGAGCTACCACAACCAGCCGCCACTCCCGCCACGAACCGACGATAGGCGGTACTCCGGCCCATATCCACCTGCCAGCCAGTCAGTCACAATGCCCTCCCAGCAGCACAACAGGCCCCTCCCACACCCACCCCTCCAACACCAGGGCTCGTACGGAAGTCCAAGTGCAAGTCAGTCCTACCTGGCCTTTCCCAGCGCAAGCGGTATCCCCACCGCCCAGCCTTATGGAAACGCTCCCCACTTCCCGGGCACAACGGCGCCGTACGGCAGCACTACGTCTTACCCAAGTCCGGCTAACGTGCCATATGGTTAGTTGGTGGGCGTGGGAAAACTCCCGATAACCGTTTACTCGATGAACTTCACTAATTCCGCGTCCTCCCTTTGCGCATAGGGAAACCAAGTAGTTCGTTCAGCCAGTATCCTGCAGCATCCCCTCATTCCTCCCCACCTGTTTCTCGCCCGTCGACGACGACCTCGGCTGCATATCCCTCACATGACGCAACTGCAGCAGCGATAGCCGAGTCCAGTGTCTCGGCTGAGCTGGAACGGAAGCTCAAAGAAGAGCGAGAGGAGAGGAGGAGGTTGGAGGAGCGAGAGTTCGAACGTGTGAAAGCAGTCTCGATGTTGGAAGAGAAGCTCAGGGCACTGCAGTTGGATATGAACCGGACGGTTGAGCGTGCTGGCATGGCCTCCGAGATCGAGTCGAGACTACTATCGGAGCAGGACGAAAAGCGCAGATTACAAGACCGATTGGGTACCGCAATGGAAATCGAATCACGGTTGAACCACGAGGTGGAGGAGCGGAGACGGCTGGAGCAAATCTTAGCTTTGGAGCACCGAGAGAAAGAGGAGCTGCGGGAGAAAGTTGCTTCATTAGGCACCGTGGAAGATCGCATCAGGGATAAAGAGGAGAAAATGCGCTTGGAAAAGCGACTCAAAGAGGTCGAAATAGAAATGCGGGTGACGGAAAAGAAGCTGGAAGATTCAGACAGATCCAAATCCGACATGGCGCGATTCATCGAGGAAAAAAATGCCGAACTCGCAAAACTGAAGCGACAGCTGGATTCCGCAGATTCCAGTGTCGAAATCGCACGACTAGAACGAGTTCGCAGCGATCTTGAACGTGCCTTGCAGGCCAAGGACGCCGAGGTACCTACCGTTCTGCAGTCGACTTCCAAGATGGGGCATTTTACTGACTCGCCTATAGATTGCCCAGATTCTCGAGCGATTCAACCGTGACAACCATGAAAGGAGTGCGACTCTCCAGCAGCTGAGGGCCCTGCAGGCAAAGTATGAGCCTATGGCCCCACCGGTAGCAGATGAAGGTGTATACAAGCGTCCGCCACCAGGACAGCCGCTTCCAATCCCCAAGGGCGTTGACCTGGAGCTCTGGCATCTGTTCACAATGGTCGACCCTCACCAGTTGAAGATCATCAACGCTGTTCAATTACGCGACATAATCAACCATGGTTTGTACCAATTTTGCGTGTTCCCGACCCTCCGTCTGACAAAGCACTGACAAACTCGACATACATCCAACTAGGTCCCTGGCCACCACTAGAATATCAAACAGTCCGGATCCTCTTCAACGTCTACGACCGCACCGGCAAGAATTTCAAATTCGAAGACTTCACCGCTCTCTGGGATCTCGTCAACGAATGGGTCCAAGTCTTCCGCGCGAATGACCATCATGTGGATGAGGCTGAGTTCGGACATATCGATCGGCAGGATCTGAGGAAGGTGCTGAAGGCGTGTGGGATTGCTGCTTCGGAAAAGTTCTTGACTTCGCTTGTGACGAAGGGGTATCAGGAGGGTTAGTAGGATGCCTTGCGGACAGATCATGTTTGGGCTTGCGAGACGACTGATTGTTGTGATGTTTGACATATAGAGCGTGCACTTGGGTGGGACGACTTTATGCGCTGTGCGGCTAAAGTGAAGCTCATGCAGGATGCATTCAGAAAGATCGACATGGACAAGGACAACTGGATCACTATCAGTGAGTGTCCCCCTGAGGTTTCCTTTTCTTTGGGATGACAAACCGCTCACTTTCTACCTACCCTCCACCTAGACTACGATCAATTCCTCGAACTCGTCAACAACAGCAGCATTTAAAGCACTTTCCCAGCCGTTACTTTACATTCGATATTCACATGATCAACCCCAGAGATGTATTGGCGTATGAGTCTGCTTCCCTTCTCCCCCCACGTAGTCGTAGCATTGCAGTAATGTAGCATCTTTTCGGTTCGGCTCCTCGGTGGACTAGTAATTGACACACCCGCATTTTTAGCGGATGTATTATGTGGGATCCGTGGGGTTTTCTCCAATTCATACCAATCTGTCGACGCGCACACAGAATTCGAATGCGCCCACTGCAAACACTGATCATCGCCCCAGCCGTACGCCGAATCAAATTCCGTTGCCGGTACTACCGCCGACAGCAAAACAATCCCACCACACCGACACATACGCCACTTCAACAACCCATCTGGTATTCCCTTCCACATCCGCGCAATCACTTCCACCACCCGAAAAGCGCATCATGCTCCATCGCAGCCGTCACCATCTTGTTGTATGCGGTAGGATCTGGGTGTGATAGTCAGCTCGAGACAGTCCAAACGAATTAGAGAATGCGTATTGCCATACCCCAGCCTTTCTCAAAAACCGTCGATCCGGCCTCTTGTATAGACAGATTTGGTTGCACTCGGCCCTGTGTGTCCAGGATGTAGTCAGCATCCGCCCTTGAAGCACAGCACATATTCTCCCGATTCCCACAACCGCTTACCAGGACTTCAACGATCTTCCCAGTCGCCTCACTAACCGGCGAGCCCTTCAAAAGTACAGTCCACGTCAGTCCATGGCTTATACCACGATCTCTTGGTGGGACGAGCTACTTACCGGTATCATGTGCACAGTAACCTGTCCCTGGTCACATGCCTCAAACAAGGCTTCGCCTGAGCCTGGATTTACCTGGTATGTGGCAATACGTACCCATTAGCGCTTATCACTCGACAACGGAGCACCCACCCATACACGTAAGGGCTCCGCTTACCGCAAGCACCTTCCCGACTAGCCTGACGTTCTTTCCGTTGCATTTTGGGAGCAGGGCCTGGAGGTGGGTCAGAGAGACTGGAGAAAACTTGGGTGATGGGGGACGAGAGGCTTACCGAGTTGACGCGGGGAGATGAGGAGTCCATTATGATGACGGTTGAGTGGGTGATTGGGTTGGTGGTGGATTGCTGCAAGATCGGATTTGTACAGCGGGTGAAGCTGTTGAGAAGGAGTTCCAAATTCGCGGAGACGGGAAGTTGATGATGCATTCGGACGCAGCGCCAACGTCGTCCGAATGGAATGCGAAGTTACGCGTGCGTGAGGTGTGTCCTTTTCGCCGGCTGTTCTTTCCATCCATCCATCAAAAATCCTCGTTTCCCAACCACGTTACGTGCCTTTTTGTCGTACGAGGACGGGCCAGCTACGTCCAATCTATACCGTGTATCGCTCAACTGTCTATGGCCTCCTTGTCATCGGCGGCAACAGGAAGAGCAAGGATAACAGCAGAAATAGGGCGTCTGGGGTGAGCAACGCAACGCCAACGTCAAGCCCTCTTCTGGAACGCCAGCGCAAAAAGGAAAGGTGAGACCGAACCGCCACATATGGACAAAGGCAAAAACGTGGAGCGGGCGGATGATACCGCCTTTCGCCGCCTGCAGGACTTGAAGCAGCTGCAGTAAGTGTGTTGTATATGCCTGAAGGTCATCGAGTCGGCGCTCATCACATACGTCATCTTCCCCAGCGACAACCAAACCACCTTACAATCACACGTTACCCAAATCCTCTCCCTCACCCGCGCCCTCGACCACACCGACACCCTCCTGGCCGAACTCTCCGGCGCAGCCCACACCCTCAAACGCGAACGCACCCTCCTCCTCTCCCATCTCGCATCCATCACCTCCGATCTAACCACCATCGCGTCACGCACAACCGCGCTGCAGGATGCGCAGATAAAACGACGCGCGGAGCTGGATGCGTTGAGAAGGGATGTGTACGAGCCGTTGAGGGAGGTTGTGGAGGCGGGACGCGCGGAGTTTGGGATGGAGGCTTTGGAGGGGGTTGAAAAGGTGGTGGAGAGGGAGGCGGCCACAATCTTAGAGGAGCGACGAAAGAAGTGGAGGGATGTGGGGGTGGGTGGGGAGGGAGTGTTTGTTGAGGGAGATGTACCGGCTTTGGAGGGCGGGGTTGGTTCGTTGACGTCTACCGCGAGGGATGCCGGTTGGACGACATCTGGGGAGCCAAGTTCACATTCACGGAAGCGCCGTATATCGAGTCAAACCGCAGCAGCTGTCCAGTCGCCAACGGATACCGCACACTTCACTTCCACTCCAAACCGGAAATACGGTGCCAGGCTAGGCAGACCTCCGTCCACATCCTCATCCACCTCTCGACCCGCCTCTGCCTCTACCACCCCATCGACACCACATCCGCCAACAAAACGCCTCAAACTGCGCACAGGCTCCGCATCGCTGCCGTCCTCGCCAACGAGTGCTAGTCGGCGTGTTACTTTATCGGCTTCTTCGGAAGTGATGCCGGAGGGAGAGCCGGTGGTGAAGAAGAGGAGGGGACGGCCGCCTAAAAGCTAGTGGGGTTTCGGACGTGTAATGGTTTCAGGCCTGCTTGGGCCGACGAATATTTTGGTTCGTCCAACATTGCGTCGAGTGGACGCACGCTACTGCGTTCAGAAACGCGGTATGTTCTGTTTTTGCCACGGGAAAGTTCGAGCACCGAACAGCATCCTGATACTCTTCCGATTTTGGCGTACCTCCTGCGCAGCCCGGTGATGACGGCCCATCACCTTCGTCGATGTGCAACCGTCATTGCAGGTGGAATATCTCGTTAGTAAACCCCAACATCAGGAGAGAGATTTTTCTGGGCAGGCGACGTTGGTCTGGACGAGGATCCACACATTTTTGGACGACGCGCGGGGAAGGGAGTGGATGACGAACGGGGTACGGCCGTGGGATCCATACTCTGTCTCCGACATGACATAGTGCATATCCCGGGCGGGGGGCAAGGGGGCAACTGCCGTCAACAGCCGGATCACTACGTTAGCAGCTATGATGGGCAGGCGGCAATAGGGGTTTATGTTTAGTGTTACCCGTTTGAAAACTCACAAATAAGACTGCGTTCAATGAAACGCAAATGGCACTTTGATGATGCACTGCCACTCCACGAAAGGTATAAAGTACATTCCAGATTCCATCGCCCCAACGCCCTACACAAAAGTTTTGACGACCGCACCAGCTAGCTTCCACCTTGACCCAACACTCTCGCATAGAGCGACCCGTCAGTCTGAGTCGCCGTGCGGTTGATCGCCAAATGTTCGTCTCTCGAAACGATACGTTCAATGATCTCTCCCGAGCCCTTGACAAGTCTCCAGAACGAAAGGATGAGCGGGAATGGAAACACAAGAGGTGAGTGTAGGCGAACCAGAATGTGACGCAAAAGAAAGGAAAGTGCAACGAAGGGACAACTTCAATGTGGGTTCATCCCCAAGCCCTCCAAAGTAAAATGCACATGAAAAAAACGACCTTTCGTACCTTGTTCGGCCGCTCAGGGGATCAAACACTTCTCGCACATGGCTCTGCTCCTTTTCATACTCTGCCTGCGTCTGCGGCGCCGCTACCGGCCGTCGTCCTTTCCCATGAGCCGCTGTCCTCCCACGCTCACCATCTTTTACATCCCGTGTGCTGTGATGTACAGCTTCCAACCCATGATTGTTCAACTCCGAGCTGCTGGGTTTCAAAGAAGCTGCAGGCGCGAGCGGCGTCTTTGTCAGTTCGCTTTCTACCAAGCTCAGTATTCCTGTCGCTGAAATCGGGTGGTGGTGATGGTGGTGATGTTTCTTCTCTTTGTGATGTCTCGATTTGTGTTTTTCCTTTTTCTTCTTGCTGCTTTTAGACTTCTCTTTCTCTTTGTCGTGACGGGACGGCCGATATTTCCCATCTTTGTGTTCTCCCTCCTCCTTGTGATGATCTTTTGTGTGATGCTTTCGTGTGGGTGTATGTGAGTGCGAGTTTCGGTTGCCGCGACTCGAATCCGACTCTGAAGAGGACGAAGTTGACGACACCGTGGCAACCGAATCAGCGCGGGATTTCCGTGAGGAGGAGCTACTCGGTCGTCTCCTGTCGTCTTCATGCCTAGGATTGCGGTCGTCGTCAGCGCGCGAGTAGGAGTGACTTCGCTTTTGTACGGGCGAGGGTGATCGACGGCGGTGGTGATCGTCAGATCTTGGTTTGTCGCGCCTGTTGTGTCGGACGGGACTGCGGCTGCGGCTACGGCTGTGACGCCGGCGTTTGGGTGGGTAGGAGCCGCCCATGTTCTCTGAGATGGGCAGACTGGGAAACTGGGAATTCAGAGCCGGGAATGTCGAAGGCCAACTGGTCGATGTCAATGCGCGAAGACGCGGAAACAGACGTGGCGGACTGCGGGAGGCCAAAAATCCTTCACGTTTTCTTTTGCTGCCCTGGGGACCTCCGCAACCGCCAATGCCACTTCAACAAGGCGACCTATAACACATACCCATAGTCGGCTCATACACCCATATACTCGCTGGCAGGGTATCTCCCACCCGAACTGTCTCCGGAAATCACCATCTTGAGAAGGAAAGTCACGGACTTCTCCAGCAACGACAGCCGTTCAGAGAGCGGAGGTGGATTTCCCAGCGTCGAAAAAGAGACTGTGCGGAAACCAAACACCACTTCAATCGAAGGAGTGTTGCAGCCGTGTTGGATAGCTCCACGCATATCCGCTGTCGGATCACAGTTGATGTCTATCGAAAGAACTCCGCTGTCGCATTTCCACCAATTCGCTGCTCTGCGGAGCAGCAGGCCCCAAGATGATGGAGAGGTTGGAAATCCCATCCACCGCCGACATGGCATTGGCTTCTAGGCGTGGTGCATATACTTTGAGCTCACCTGCGGAAACGCCTACGATTGATGGGGCCATTGCAGCCCGAGCGCCCATACCCAAGGTAGGACCAAGTTGGCCGTAGTGGGGTTCTCGATATGGTGTCCGCGGATTCGTCGCTTACTGCCACTGCATTCACGCACCAGGTTGTAATAAGTGGAGGACTAGCCGGCTGCATAGCGGACTGTATAATGCACCCTCTGGATACGGTCAAGACTAGAATGGTAGGAGACACGCTCGAACGAACGTAACCATCCATTCCAGCTCCGTTCTGACATTGTCTTCATCACAAATAGCAAAAGGATGGAGCATCGCCAGGAACAAGAAAGTACAATGGCATGTTAGTGAGGGCGTGCTCTCTCTCGTCAATTTTTTTCGTTAATGCCGTCATTCGGAGAGGGGGGGCCTGGGACCTTGCGATTCAGGAAGGAATGTCTGACCGTCGATTGCCTTCGCGGCCATCTCCCCCCCAATAGGAACGTATCAAGCTCTGCGAACGATCTATTCAGCTGAAGGGCGATCAGGACTGTTCGGGGGTTTCCGAGCCGCAGGATCAGGGTCTCTAGCCGCCACTACCCTCTATTTTGCAAGCTACGAAAGCCTAAAGCGAAAGTTCATTGACGCCGACGTGAACGAGACAATAAGCTATTTCACTGCAGCAACTGTCGCCGAACTGCTTGCCTCGGTCTTCTACGTCCCATCAGAGCTCGTCAAAACGCGGATGCAGTTGCAGGGCAGGTATAACAACCCCGAGAGCCTCTCGAGGTATAATTATCGGTCGGATATGGACGCGTTGCGAAGCGTATCGCGGGGAGGGAGCTTGTTTCATGGATGGGGGACAACGATGGGGAGAGATATCCCGTTCACCGCCGCGCAGTTTACATTATATGGTACGGACGGCAGAGCGTTTTTATTGACGAGAAACCTCGCTTCGACTCCCACAGCGCTTGGGGCGGTGGCTAACATGTGTTTGTTGCTCAGAAACCATCCGCGGATTCATAATACGAACCTACGGACCCCGCGGGTCCGGCGTCTCCGAAATCGTCCGCTGCGACATCATCCCTGGCGCATCAGCCGGTTTCGCAGCAGGCCTCCTAACAACTCCTCTGGACGTTGTCAAGACCTACCTCCAGACCCAAAGCAAGCAACACAGCAAGTTCCACCACCTCCACTCACCCTCCGCGCCACCGTTGCCTACCGCCATACCGATAGGAACAGTAGCAGCCGCAGCAGTGGCAACACCATCACTACCAAAATCATCACATCACCCATATTACGACACGGCGTGGAGCGCATATAAGGGCATTTACCGCGATAACGGCATCAAGGGGTTATTTAGTGGGGCCGTTCCGAGAGCTACATGGACGGGATGTCAGAGCACCATTATGTTTTTCTTGCTTGAGGCATTTCTGAACTCGTAGGATAGCTGCGTTCTCGTTGTATTCGTAATTAATAGATAAACATATTGCCGAAATTTAGCGGATGCGTTGTTGGCAGTCAAACGAAGCTTGGATTCCGTACTTTCAAAAATTCGAGGCCTAGGGTTCTTCCCGAAACAGATTCTACTACGATGCATCCGTACGATACACTGATGGTAAAGTCTAGAAAGTCTGATATATTTTGAGCACAGCCCAAAGGGATCCCAAAAAAAGCGTCGCATGTCTGTGTCCGCAGACTCTATACTACTCGGCAAAATCGCTACGGGCTACAAATTACAAATCTAACCTGCAATGGCCATGAATGTTGATTCGCTCAATGGAAGCACGTATTGCGTAGACCTGGTGAAGGAAGCAGGACGCGATGTGAGCACATTCGCTGCAACGCACTGTCCCACAAAATGATGGGTGCTTACTTTGTTCGTGCACCGGCATTTCGTGTTTCTTGAAGGTGTTCAGCTCCTCACGAATCTGAACCTTCATCTGCGGCGTAAGTTTCCTGAACGTAGCGTTCCCGTCCGGTTTGCGATTATACTCCGACTTCCTGAACGTCGGCAGGACCTCAACCGTCTCTGCGAAGTTCAAGATTCGTCGCTCTCGAAGCTGATCGACATCCGGCCGATCACGCAAACGCGAATCCAACGTGTCCGCCAACTGCGATTTGCGCAGCCTCTCTTGCGCCGCGGCTAATGATGGGTCGACCGAAGTGTTCTTGAGAATGTTCAGCTCCTCCAACGCTTCTTTCTCAGGACGTTTCTTCAGAATCGACTTCATCGCCTCTTTTCGTTCCTCGAAATTGATGGGCCGCTGCAAATCGAGCGGTTGCACCGGTGTCGACCCTCCCTCCGCATCATCGACTAGCTGCTGGATGTTATCGCTGCTTTCGACGCGCAGGATGTTGCGGAGTTTCAGGTCGACCGATGCGGGCCGGTTGCCGATTTTGCGGTTGAGGGTATCCTTCGTCTTTTCGGCCTCCAACGATGCTTTCTGCTGTATGATGTAGTTCGACACGCCTGGCTGCGCTTCGTCTTCGCGCATGATGTTGCGTTGCACGAGCTCGTCTACTCCCTGGCGCCGTGACAATTTCTTTCCCAAATCTGTGAAGGGAACCATCGCAGCGGAAAAAAATCACTACGGTTGAATCGACCTCACGTCAACGACTTCTTCGCACATACCTGAGACCATCTTCCCGAAACCCTTATCGACCCCCGCAGGGAGGTTCTGGTTGCTTTCCTGCATGGTTGCCATGGCTTCAGAGTTGATAACTTGTTCGATAACTTGTGAGTAGGAGGGGAAGAAATTGCGGTGCGTTGTGAGTATTTCCTTCCTGGGTATGCTGCAGTGGCGATTTTCGAATGGCGTGTACGGAAACCTAAATAGAAAAAGCCACGGAGGAGCCTGTCCAAGGCGCAGATAAATAAGCTGCCAGGAGCCGGTTTACTCCTCGGCTGGCGTATCTAAGTTTGGGAAGGCATCTTGTGAGTCCGCGAGGTCTCCGTGTCTCTAAAAATAAACATCTCAAGAGGGCCTGTGCTCAGCGGATAGCTGGTCCGTTGGAGCAGTGTTACTATGTGCACCGTTTTGGCGGGGAAGCTATGCGACTATTGTGGGCTCCACCCTATGCATATCTGACTGTGGGCACTGACGATGTCTTACGCTGGGCGACATTGTCGATGTGGGTTAAACTCGCCTTCGGGGATGTATGTACACTAGGAAAGGGAATTAAATAAACTAATCAGATCCACGTGACCTTGGAATTTCATTTATCGTCGTCTTACGTACCAGAAAAGCACCCCAGAAAGGCACCCCCTGTCAATTGTATAAGAGAAGCCTGACGAAGAACAAGTGGATTCGAATCTGAAGTCCGGTGTGGGAGTGTATCGAACTCAAGGTCCTAGAATCGAGGGCTCATAAGGAATCTGCATCGGAAATGGCATGGCAGTACTGGGCTTTTTTTCCAGCGTGCTCATATTCTGGGCAGTCTTGCGGCTTCTCCTTTTGCGATACTATCCGACTGCCGGTGGCAAGTCTGTAAGCCCTAAACTGCAGCGACGCAGAGGGACCAACAGTAGCTTTTTGCCCACACCTAGCGGAGTGGCCGCGTCTTCGTCCTATCGAAATGCAGCGCAGATCATCAGCAACGTGACGCATTCCTTCGGGCAGATTCACTATGAAACCACTCGCTTGAACCGTGCGTTCGAAACGATTGCGGAACGGTGGCCTAGCTTTTGGAGGAGATGGTTTGCCGTTGGGACGATCGTGGGTACATTGTGTATGGCTGTTGCGCTAGCGACACTCCTGTACGGAAGTAGCTCCGCGCTCTGGAGGATTATTCGCTTTGCATCCGGTCAGGGCAGAGAATCGCGGAATGGGGCGATGGAAGTCGATTTCCGATCGAATGCCACAATGATCTATTCTGCCGGTGGGACATTGGGAAGCAACGTAGCCGGGCCAGGCCTTGTTTCACTGGTTGGTGTGATTTGCCGTTGGACGGGTGCATTGGAAAAGCCCTCACATATGTGAACCATCTAGATCCCTGGCGTAAACCTCCCCATCTCGTCCCTACCATTTTATTTTGGAGCTCTACTCTTTGCCGGCGTAACGCACGAGCTTGGGCACGGAATAGCAGCAATAATGTATGTGGAGAAGCTACGTCTGGTGCTCAGATCCCAATTTGATTATGGTTGCGCCTTTGCAGATACAAGACACCAGTGCAGTCTTCTGGCTTGTTCCTTGCAGCGATATACCCGGGCGCATTCGTCTCGCTGCATGAGCCAAGCCTTTCCCTCCTTGCCCCGCTTCAGAAACTGAACATCATTTGCGCCGGCGTCTTCCACAATGTGGTACTGGGTATCGCCGCTGTGGTAGGATTATATACCTTGGCTGCTGTCCTCTCACCAGCATACATGACCGTGAACGAAGGTGTCGTCGTATTGAACGTCATGTCGGAGTCCCCGTTTGTGGGCCACCTTGCTCCTGGTGCAATGGTTTTCGCGCTGAATGAGGAGCAGATCATGGACGGTATAAATGGATGGGAGAGCACCCTTTGGAATGAAGCTGTGCAACCGCGGATTGAGACCAAGGGTTGGTGTGTCTCAGAGAAGATCCGAAGTGGTAGGTTTTCAGTTGCATACCTTTGTGCCCATGGTATCAAAGTACTCAAGGGTGGGTCTTTCCCAGCAAAACCTCTGGAATGCTGCAGAGTCTCGATCCAGCAGCCCCTTGGTCCCCCGGACGTGAAAGATCAATGCTTCCGATTGATATCATCTCCAAACAGTACCGAAGCCGTCTCTCAGAATCTCACAGCGGCGCCAGATGCCAACCAGCTTTCATGCCTACCGCTGCATTCTGTCATCGAAAAGTCACTTCCTTGCAGCGGTAGCCAAGACTGTGCACCAGGACCCGACAACGACACGCATGGAAAATGTATCACGCCGTATGTCCCACATCCGTCTATCAAAGTTCTTCAACTACGCATACGTAAAGACAGGAGCGACCCTGCATCCACCCGCACGGTCACGTTCCTTGGCGATCCGCAGGAAGTGTGGGAAGGCGGTACGTGTAGTCATCATCTGTCTTATTGATGGCGTGTGTTCGCCAAAGTGTGTCAAAATCTAATCAAATCTATTCGCCCAAAAGTCAAAATCGGCGTTCTAGTACCCCGTGCGTGGATCTTCCCTCTCAGCGGCCCGTACATGATAGAGCAATTCCTCCAGTAAGCTCATCGCTTGCAACCGCCGTACCGTTCCCCTTGCTGCTCTAATATCTCACACTGCAGATTCACGATATCCCTCACGTCGGCCCTCGCAGTCTTCAACATGGTCCCCGCGTTCCAGCTTGATGGATATCACGCGCTCCTAGCCATGACGGACTACGTGTTCGGGTCGTCCTTCCAGCCCACGTCCCTCGCTTCCCAATCGCTCAAGAATCGCATCGTTTGGTGGACGGATCGCGTCTCGCGAATTGCACTCGGTATCGTGATGGTGAATGGGGTGGCTAGTGCTTTGTTGGCCGCAGGCGGGTGAAGGATAGGTATCTCGCATTTATGTACATATCCATCGCATTCACAGTTGAGAAACATCTGCAGCGCTAGTCCAGACCAGTGTGTAGGCTTTGTGTGCGGCTCCAGAGACTTTGGCGTGGCTATGTATCCCCATCGATCAACTTCTCAAGCAGAGAAATGGCTTAATGACACGGCCGAAAATTATTTGCGTCGCTCGCTCTCCGGTGTTGATCGCATAATAACAGATGATGCCTCCAGGCCAGCCGGTTGACATGGTTTCTGGCTCATCGCATATCGCATGGATAGCTTGTCTCGAACCGTTCCATCCCTCGACCCCAATGGAAGGCGTCAGTCCCGTCTCAAGCTCCCAGTATCCCTTCTATCCTGCCCAGTCTATCCTTCGCGGCCTTCATGGTCACCTCAAGCTTACTCAGCCGTTTCCGCAGTACTGTCAATCGATTGACTGCTCCCGAGATAACCTGCCCATCCGTCGGCGGCGTCGTTGACAATAGAAGCTGGAGTTCAGCCGTCAGGCGCTCGATTTGCTCATAGAGATCGCGGTGCGCGTGGCGGAGTTGCAGAACGTTGATGTCAAAGTTGTAAAGGATTGGGAGGACTTGCGAAGAGCCTACTGACGGGTTTGGAGTAGAGCCTGACGCTGTCCCGGTTGTATTCGAACTCGAGGTCATGGGAGTTGGGCCAGTGGATGACATTCCAAGCTGAGGGACGCCGATATGGGTCCTGGCAGCTACAGTACAACGGTCTACGGCCTGTTATGCCTCTTGGAAGGAAGTGGGAAGTGCGTATAAATACCGGCTGCTCAACAGCCTGGGTATAAATCTACACAGTATGTACAGTACAGTTTTGTCCGACCACACTCAACCGACGACGCCGTTTGTGCCAACGATGGTGGATGAGCGAATGCAGCGGATGCTGGCGAACCTGCTGGCGAACCCACGCAGGAACCCACGGAACGCGCTCGCCTCTTCGCCGACAACGCCGACAGCCTTGCACGCCGTCATACAGTACGGGTGGGTGAACTTGAAAACATGCCCGAAGGACAGACTCCTTTGCATAATGAGACGTGGTCCTGGGTTTATCATCTGTATTGAGAGAGTTCGGAAAGGCACCAGAGTCAATACCTTCGTTTTCTTACTGTGTATATAGCTTCGTACTGGATTGGGGCCTAGCAACTTGGCCACCAGTCCTCCAACGTATAAAACACCAACACCATTCGTTCATAATTCCAGGAAACTTTTCTGTGTCCCGTGATTGCATCATAAAGCTCCAAAGTCATGGGAAAAGAGAAAGATAGACGTGCGAAAGGAGTGCAGCCAGCCGCCAGCAGGTATGATCTACTTCCGTTCGACTCAACTGTTTGCCTGGGCTGACCGGCTGTCTTCCGTGACCAAAAAAGTCGGGCGGCTGACCTCCTATCGACGGGAGGGTTCGGATTTGGTGGTGGATTTGTAGGCCCCGCGTTCGGCTCTGGTAGTGACTGGGACTTGAGCAACAAGAACCCAGAAGTAAAGGTTTTATTCAAGAAGTTGGCGAAACGAGACAACACAACCCGGTCGAAAGCTTTGGAGGACCTGTTGGCGTATGTAGAGGATTCAACAGTGGAGGATTTGACCGAGATCATACCGGCCTGGGTAGGTTCTTTCCCTTGGAAGGAAATCGCCTAGATCAGGTTTTGAAAGAGCAATCTTCCGATTCTCCCGCAGGCCAAGATTTATACGCGAATCAGCGGCGATCCAGATCGACGTGTGAGAGAATTGACGGGTGCTGTCCAGCTGAAACTGGTCGGGAAAGTGAAAAAGCAGCTCGCGCCGCACCTCAAGCAGTTGATTGGTCCTTGGTTATGCGCACAGTATGATCCTGTACGAGAGGTGTCTCGGCCCGCGAAGGAAGCCTTTCAGGTGCGGCTCATCCGTGCCTTCGAGATTTGATTTAGAAATATCTGATCTGGAAGCATGTACAGACGGCGTTCGGCGCCAAAAGAGTCGATGTTCTCATCCACTGCAGCGCCGACATATTGGCCTACCTATCCGATGTGCTACTGGAGCAAACCCCCGAAACCCTGAGTAAGTTCGCCTTGGGGGAGTGGCGAGTTCATCGAGCTCACCTTTCTTCCACAGGTGATCCTCGCGTCACTTCACCAGAAGACATGTTGGAGAGATTCAATCGGACGGTGTCAGCCGCGATTCGTGTTCTCGCGGAAATGGGAGGTGCGGTCAGGTCGGATGGGGACAGTCAATGTGGAGTTAGGCTGAAAATCCGCATGTTTTCTATCAGAAACGCTACCGGCAGATGCGTTTACTAGGGTAGAGGCGGATCACGCACGGATTCACCACGAAGGAAAGTTCTGGAAATATCTGAGGCACAATTCGCCGATAGTCCGCCGAGCACTCTACGTCTATATCAAGACAGGGAGCGTTGCTCGAACAGGTGCGGAACAGCGTGGCGAGTAAGTCGGTGCTGTGCAGGAATGCTAATACAAAGACGTAGCTGCTTTCAAGGAAGACTTGACCACTATTGCACCGACTTTCCTGAGGAGTGCGTTTGATGACAAGGACAAAACTACGCACGGCGACTTATGGAATGCGGTCTTGACTTTCCTCAAGACTTTTCCGGAAGCCTGGATGTTGGCGTCCGAGAAGAAGCCACTATTTCCAAAGCTCTACACCTTCCTGCGGAACGGCTGCTACGGTTCTGCCTCATTGTCGTATCCCTGTCTGTTACCTCTTATCGCCATCGTCAAGATACCTGAGGTTCCCGAAGTAGCGAACGACCTTTTGACCGCCATCTGGGCTGGGCTAAGCAGCTCAAACATCGATAAGGCGAGCGTCCCGATTCTCATCGAAGCTTACTACGAGTGCGCCTCCTTCGCAGCTGCGAAATCTACGCGGGTGGGAGAGGATGGCGAATATTCGCCAGAAACGGAGCTGGGCGTGCTTAGACCGTTGAGCGCGTGGTTGCATCCCACCGGTCATCAAGATGTCAGGATCAAACTTCAAGAGGTTGACCTCGCCGGTACGAGTGCCAACCACATCGTCAAGTTGGCACAAGACCGGAATGTCTCTAGCGAATCCTTGCAGCAGTTGATAAATCAAATGCATAACATCCTCAAGCGGGGAATCCAAGCGGAAGCAGATCCAAAAAGTAGTCAGCGATGTGTCGGTTTCCTCGAGAAGCTGTTCAAGCAGGCGAACGACGTGGAAGGCGGGGTTACGCTTGTTGCCGCGCTTCGTGACACACTCAACGAACTGGTGATGGATACCGTGAAAACCTTGGAGTCGGATGTTCCCCCCGGCCAAAGCGCCGCACTTCTTAGGGATCTGGCACATTCTTCCCTATCGGTTTTCGGCAATGGCGACAACGCAACGAGAACGGCAATGTTGGATCTGATTCATCTGTCCTTACCTCGAATAGCAGGCCAAGGGGATCAAGCTTTGACCGATGTTCTGGAAGCTGGGATGGTGTTCATTTGTACGCTACCGCCAGGCGATACCGACTCCTTTCAAATAGGCTGGGGTTCCATGATGGACGTGGTCTTGGGGTTGGAAAGTCCACGTCGACTACGGGCATTGCGTAGCATCGTGCAGAAGGTGGCGCAGTCTAATACTTCCGGCGACTTTGCGGACGACCGGATTAGCAAGGTCGTAGTTGAGGCTGTTAAACAACCACTGTCCGTCGAAATAAAGGAGTTGGTTGACGCCATCCTCGTTGCGGCACTCTCGATTGAGGAGGCGAAGTTTTTGCGGCCGCACGCTATCCGCGACATTTTTGAGCACTTTGAGAATGTCATTGGCAGTGTCACTTCCGCCTTGCTGGTTGGACAGGGTCATGGTGATCACAGAGTTGAGGAGTCTCAAATCGCCAGAGCTCTACATGCACTCCGCAGCCTGCGACTTGTCCTCTCCAATGGTTATCGGTTGCCGTCTGTCGTCAATAAAGCTATCGCTGGAATCATTGCCAATCTGCTACCGCTGGGTCACTTCCAGCCAGAAGATGTGGCTTTTCGAGTTACTGCAGACGCACCAACCGCCAACAGCGCTCTGGAGGATTTGCGATCTGCTGCTACTGAGCTGTGGGAAGTGGACGGTTTGGTGCTCGTACAAGAGGACGGCCTTGCTACGCAGTTCTTAGACGCTGCGATCGCAAAATGGAAGGCTTTGCTGCTGGATGTTACTTATATCGGCCGGTAAGTTCCAATGACGGTGCCTTCGAAGTAATTGATGATCTGATGTTGACACGTAACTCTGATTGATAGGGCGGAAGACATAGTCGAGTACATGCAAGACATCTGGCTCTTGTGCAAAGACAACGAGTCTCGCAAGCGAGAGATCTTTCTGGCAGCACTGCCAAATCAAAATGAATGGCTGGCACTTAGCAAATCATTCCAAAACAGCAGTGTTCTACTGAGGATCGTGGATCCTTTGAAGGTCTCGGGCGAAGAAGCTGTCTCGAGCAGTTCACCTGACTTGCAATTGGATCACCATGACCTGACCGTATATGCGCGCGTCACAGCGGTTGCGGCTCGGATTCTGAGTTCCTATGCCACTCACATTCCCCGACAAAGTACCGATGAAAAGCTCACACACGCCATCGTTGAGCTACTACGGGCGAAAACGCTTTGCCGCAATATGACTTTGCTGAGAATCAGTCACCCGTGGGGACCTTACGCTTCTCCGCCATACGTGGATACGGAGAAAGACGTTACCGAGATCATTACTGCTTTAGGCGATTTCGACTTCGGGAACTTGAGCTGGCATGAAACTTTAACAAAGGAGCTTCTTGGGACATCGACCGAATCGTCGCTCGACCTTGTGCAGTCTCTAATCATCTATGCGTACAGAGCCAGCCTTTCAGCGGATGGGGACGGCTATCTTGGAGCCGCAACGCTGGTCCTGGAGTCAGTGTTCGATTCATCGACTGTAGCAGAGGCCGCTGCCGATCACTGGCTTGCATTTGTTGTTCGAGAATCCCAAGGGCCTACGAGCGGCAGTTTGACAAAGCTCGTCATTGGCGGCATTGTATCGAAGGCTTCTTTGGAGGCTCTGAAGAAACGTGCACTGGAGCTGGCACAAATACTGATGAAAGCTGATACAAGTACATTCCCTTCGGTTGTCGAGCGCACCCTACCTCTCCTCAACAACCTACTGGGATTGTATGCTCGGGCCGATGACGACGTGGAAGCCGGGAACGTTTGCAAGTTGTTGACCAACGGTCCTGCATTGGAACTCGTTAGACGACTTAGGTGGTGGTATGACCAGGCTGCGGTACGAGAAAATCTGAACGCACAGCACAATGTTCACCGTCACGTCGCCGTGTTACTCCGAGGCATTGTCGCGGAAGTCGATGTCGGGATCAATCTTGGTGGCTTCATCGTCGAGTGGTACAGCAACCTCATTCACGTAAGTCGTATGCTGCTGACCGGGCGAAAATCTCCCTCTGATACCACGACACGCTTCCAACATAGTCGTTGAAGTCGGACGATGAGCAGACGTCTGTAACGCTGTTCAACGCGCTGCTACTTCATGGCATGCTGCTCACGAAACGTAATGTGTACCCTGACACGTATAAAACCCTGGAAAGCGTCGAAGAGAGCATACGAAGCGCACATCTCAAACTGTTCCTTCAAGAGGGTGAGTCTCGGGTAACAAGTTTGGCCATCGATATCATGCTCATCTCTCCGAGCAGCGGAATACGGTCACATGCCCATAGCAGAACCACGCATACGCTTGCAGAACCTATTACGGGATGAGGTGTTGTCGGTCAAAGCCAAGAAACTTGTGGACCACCAGGCTGCTGATGCGGTAAGTCAACTTGATATTACAGTCACGACCGTGTCGGAAGAGACTCAACCGGCGCGGTAACTTCAATAGTTGTACAAGATGCTCTTCATCGCCAGTTCCGGGATGCAAACGGCGGCATATGTCCTTCTGCGTCGCTTGAACATTGACCTCGTGCAGACGACATCACTCCGGATTGAAATGAAAGGAACTATCCAGCGCGACGAAATTGATTCGGAAATGCCTATTGGAACCGAGATGCTACCCACTCCTATCTTGACCGCTTTTGCCAAAGACATTCCGGAAATGGTGCATGATGGGGAAGACCTCGACACTCATAGTGATGCAGTCACGGTAAATATGTCAGATTGCCGCACAGTTCCAAACAATCCTCGCATTCACCATGCACGATGATTTCAGGCCAGATTCGATTTGTTGGGGCTGTTCCTCAATGCCATGGTTATGTTCGATCATTTGCAGGATTCGGTAATGTACACGTTGCCAACTTCTTCGTCAAGAACATCTGTGCTGACCTTTAGACCAACAGACGTACGAGCTGAAGATGATGTACATTGCGCAAGTACGGAGTGCCAATGTGATCCCCAAGCTACTCGAGCACATCTTTATCGTTCTGGGCGTCGGATGGTCAAGATCACCATTTGATCTCACTCCTTGGGAATTCGATGAATACGACGTCTCAGGATTTGATATCACATCGGATGTGGCGTTCCAGCTACTCGCGGCCCATCTCTATTGGCGTTGCCTACGGAACACTCCCTCACTGGTGAGAATTTGGTGGGCCGAGTGCAAGTCCAGGCAATTGACGCTTGCCGTGGAAAGGTGCGTGACGTCGACGCGGTCCGTAGTTCGACGAGTCTTCGGCCCAACTCATCGAGTTTTGTCTTTCGATAGCTACACCGAGAGGTTCTTCAGCCCGATCCTCATTCGCACCGAAGTCAAATCCGTACAAAGAATGAATAAATCGGACTTAGAAGAGACGACGGTTAGAATCAACAAGGCCGGGAATGAAGTTTCTGCCGTCTTCACGGTGGAAGAAGCAGTGCTGGAAATGGTCATTCGACTACCGAGCAACTTCCCCTTACGCCATGTCGAGGTTGATAGTGGGTCAGGGGCAGGATCCACTGCTGCCGGTGGCAGGGCGGCTGGAATCAGCGAGTCCAGATGGCGAGCTTGGCTGTTGAGTGCCAGCGCCGTCATCGTATCTCAGAATGGAAGCATTGCTGACGCAGTCAAACTGTACGCCAAGAACATCACCTTACACTTCGAAGGTAGTATGACACATCGCGGTTTTGGTGAACCTTCCCAGACGTTAATCATCCATTCCAGGCGTCGAGGACTGTGCAATTTGCTATTCGGTGATTGGGGCGATTGATCGGACACTGCCAACAAAGCAATGCAAGACGTGCAAACATAAGTTTCACTCCAGTTGTCTCTTCAAGGTGAGTATATACTTCCATGCCTGCCTAGCGGGATGCGTCATGACCCTATCCGCCTTTCCTAGTGGTTCCGCACAAGCAATCAATCAACCTGCCCACTTTGTCGTCAGCCAACCTTCTGAGGAGTGTGTTGTTCATCTTGCGATCACCTGCTACATATACAGTATATTAGGTCGATAGGCTTGGATCCCGTAGACTAGATTGTTATAGAGATGAGAAGGCTGTAAGGGTTACGCGCTGTCGATTTTTGCTGTCATTTTTTCGCAAACTCCGAATCCATTTTCGTAGTTATTCATCAAAGTAAGGTTGTTTTACCCCTCCAGCAGGAGGCGATAGTACCACTTTCGGATTGCTAGCACGTTTGACGATTACACACAGAGTTCCCTTTTCCGTTCCTGACGAGGGTGAGCCAGCCATGGTTCCTCCAGCCGCCACCACTCTTCCACCGCTCCGCCTTCTCACCGGCGGGACACTCACCCCCGTGCCCGATTTTACAACCGAGCATGACAGCGACAACGATTCAGTGCTGCAGGGTCATTACCTCCGGTTTCAAAGAACTTTGCTAACTGCCGTGGATGCCCGTGTTCAGGATCTTGAAGCCAAACTTCGAGAGAATGAGCATGCGGTGGCATTGACAGGGGAGGAGAAGCAGGCGGTCGGAGTGGAACTTTATAAGGCCAAGAAGGAGATCGGACGGCTTAATGATGGCCTTGGCAAGGTGTAAGTTGCTCGGTAGCCTGTGAGCAGACCTACATCATGGCTTTTTCACCGAGGAATACGGACGACCGGGAAAGGCAAAAATTCACACATGCCTGCCCAATCCAGGCAGTCTATTCTGCAGTATAGCGAAAATGGCCGCAAAGTCTTGGAAACGGATAGGGAGGCAGCCGAGCGAGAAATTGCTAGAATGATGCAAGCGAACCGGGTATGATATGCGCCGGGACGTCGTCGCGAACCATCGCTCCGTGCTTATTCTGATGTTCTTGCGAACTGTCAGCATGTGAGCAGCTCCCTAGAAATCACTCGGCGACAGCTGGACGACTCTTCTACAAAGCTGAGTCAGATGAACGAAGTCAACGCTGCATATTTCTCTAGTATCAAAGTGCAAAGACGAGTGGAGGAAAAACTGAAGAAAGAGCTCGAACTGGCAGAGGAAAGAAGAAAAGCCGCTGAGGTTGAAACAGAGGAAATGAAAAAGAAGTTCGAAGAGGTAAGGGCTTTTGAAATGCTGCGTGGATATGACTGTGTGGGTGAGCATCTTACTGAAAGTGTGAGATGGTTTTTTCCGTCCGTATTCATACTGGATTAGCTTGCAAAGAGCAAGAAGGAAGTGGAGGAGACTTTGACCTTGCAGAGGAGCGAAACGACAATGGCGCAAGGAGCACTCCACAAAATGCACAAAGGTTCAACGACGTTTTCCTCGTCCACTGCCCGCACCGGTAGACTGACGGCAGCTCCCTCACACAGAGATTGCTGATTTGACTACGTCAAACCGGGTCCTTTCAAAGCAATGGGAAGAGTCGATTTCTGCCATGGCGAAACGAGACATGACCTTTCAAACTGTAAATGATAGTAAAGAGAAGATGGTGGTTGAGGTTGCGGATGCCAACAGCGAGATCAGAGCGCTGAAGAAGGAAAAGGCGGAGGTGGAAAGGAGACTGCGAGACAAGGAGCTCGGTAAGTCGAATCATGCGGATTTGAACTGCCCGCCACGATGTCTGGTACAACCGTCAGCCGAACCACCGTCTCATTCACATATAACCCCCCGTATTCGTCAGAGTGCACAGGATTATCCGACAACCTCTCCACCCTCCGAACATCTCTCTCGTCGAGCGACACCAAAGGGCGCGACCTTCGCAGCGAACTGGTTGAGGCGCAAGTAGCCGAATCCCTATACAAGCAACAATTGGACAAAGTTTCCAAACAACATGAGGTAGGTTACAGGTGCTTTTTTAAGTTTGATTTCGGCAACGGGATTCAAGACTGAGGAAGCTTATCAGAATATTACATGTAGCTTGCAGTGGATGAGCTGCAGCGCAAATCGGAAATGGTGTCAGATCTGAAATCGAGACTGGAGAGTGTCAAACAAGAGTTTGAGAACAAATTACGAAACGATGTTTTGCTGGTAAGAGATCTGGAAAGTGGGAGGGACCTTTGTCACCCGAGATTGTCCCTCCCGACCTGAACGTGGCGACCCCCAGAACGTGGCGAAACGTGAAGAACAATTTGAATCCTGGGCCACCACGGAGGTCGAAGCGGTTACTCGAGACGAGGAGAACAAAACGACTCTGCTACGGAGGGAACAAGCACAACTTCGCTTGGAAAACAACACGCTACAAGAGACAATCGTGAGCACACCTCCACGCTTTGACCGACGGCTTTTGTCGTTGGCATCTACTCACGGCGGATATGTCTTTTCTAATCGCAGCGCGAACTACGCCATCAGCTCACCGTGGCAAATGAGCGGTACGAGCATATCAATGGGCACTACAGTCGTCTTTATGACGAGTCGAAGCACATCATCTACTCTCTCGAAAAAAAAGAGCACGATGTAAATGCTCTCAAAGGACGACTAGCAGAAAATGTCCGAGGTAAGAACGCCTCCCCATGTACCCCTTTGCTGTATTCCCAGCTGAAATCGGAATGTTTCCTTGCTCGCTGCGGAATCAGAGGATAAAACTGTAGAGCATCAGCTGGAGCTGCAGGGAATGCTGAAGGAGTTGAAGCTTGCAAAAGCCGAGAACGAAAGACTACAAAATCTGTGGCTGCAATCTCAAAAGCTGAATCTGAAGCGAAAAGAAGATATGGGACAAATGGCGGACGATAACTCATTCATGAAGGTACAGTCTCTCTCTGAAACCGTATCAGAGCAGATTCATTTCGGTCTTTAACCACACACTGCGGCAGACTGAACTGGGCATAACGGCGACGATTCGTCACAAAACAGAAGCCGAAACATTGACGGCGAAAGAGGAGGCGTTCGACAATAAAATGGAAGCTGCAAAGTTGTATGGAGAATTGAAGCGATTACAACCACTTGTTCATTCCCTCCAAAAAAAGAATGTACGTCTTCAGATTGAGCTCATCGCAAGCTCTGGAATTGCTCAATAGCGCTTTCACCTCACGTTGCCTCAGACTGCCCTTGAAAAGCAACTACTGGAAGCTCGGATTGCCTTGGAAGAAGCGGAGGTCAATCGCACGGTAGGCTCATACCAAACACTCGCGCGAGGGATTCAATGGCAAGCTCACTCACAGCTCTCCGCTGTGCTTGTATCGAAGACATCAACGACGATGCTCAAAACTGAAATCAGGCGTCTCCAGCATCAGAAGTCCATCACCAACCAAGCGCGTCAAACCGATGAGCGCGCTACTCACGGATTGGAACGCAAGTACGTGCTGGCCCGCGAAATGGTGGACAAATTGAAGAATGAACGACATATCTTGTTGAAAACCTGTGCGGATCTGAAGGCGAAATACAAAGATGCCAGCAGACGATGGAATGAGCTAAAAGCCTGGGTCGAGCCGCGGCGGGGAACAACAGGACCGGGTGATGGAGTAGGGGAGCGTGGTAAACCGGCTTGGGCAAGTCTAGCAAGTACTCCGATTGGAAATGGGCCGGGAGATCGATCAGCTAGAGAGCCGCCCCCTAGCTTGTCGAATTCGGGTGGTGAGGGCAGCGTACCATCATGTTCAATCTCGGTCCTTTGCTCACGAGCTCTTCAAATTGCCAGGTTCAAGTACAGAAGACCCTAATCGAGGTCCTTTACTCGATGACGTTCCAAATCTGGAATCGTGGCGTCTCAAAATAGAGCGCCTGTCAAGAGAGCGAGAGTATTTGAGCAACGAGAAAGAAATGTTGCAACGCAAGATAGACGAGTTGCAGTCCTCTCTTACCACGCAACAATCGCGGTATACGGCAATTCAAGCTCAACTGCGAAATTTGGAGCGTGAACGTGATAATCATGCAACACAAATCACTCACCTGCAAAGTCGGTGTACAAGGGCCCAGAAAGTGGCGGCGCACTTGGAGAGACAGTATCGGGAGGCAAGACCAAATGTTAAGATCGACTATCTGATGATTTCGGGCAACCATGGAGGCGGACCAACCGGAGTAGATAGTGAGCCAAGCACTCAGCTCTTGGCAGCACTGTTACCCAGGGTAAGGAGGCGAGCGTTGCGATTGGCAGTACAGTCTCTACCAACTTGTTTTTGTTGCTCATGCGCCTCTTCAGGACTGATATACTAGTTTGCCGCTCTTCATCCGGAACACTTTCGTGAACGATTATAATCACACCGCATGTACATAGTACTCCCGCGGCTATCAAGCGCTGTAGACCGTATTAGCAGGCGTTCGCCAGCAGGGCGGTTCAAAATCAGGTGCGAGGTACTTGCTGAGCACAATGAAGACTACGTAATGATGTGACGACGTGCACATCCATGCGTGTTGTAAGCAGTAAAGCATTATTTAAGGCAGGATCATTTTGAAAGTCTCGGTGGCCAAGTCCTTGGATACCGTTACCCTTTAGGCATTGACGGTAGAGTTAGGTTACCACATCCATGGAGACACCTGGCTCCATGTGTTGAGAGAGGTTCCCATCTTGTAAAGAAATGCAACGTACTCCTTCGCAAGCCATTTGCGGTACATGGCTAACAATCCTTTTAAGGCTCTGCAGCCCCTAAGGGCATTCCAGCTCCCAGATGCGTGAAGTCCGGCATGGGCAGGGGTTTGGTGAGCACCTCAGCTATCATCTCCTTCGTCAGGCAGTACTTGAGTGTAACGGACTTGTGTGCGACTTGTTCACAAATGAAGTGATATCTGATGTTGATGTGCTTGGTTTGGGCATAATGAACTGGGTTTATCGCAAGGGCCATGGCACCTTGGTTGTCTTCCCAGACGCCTGTGGGACTATGGTCAAGGTCTGTGTTGTCATGATGCTTGCGAAGATCCTTGAGTAGGCATCTGAGCCACATGGCTTCCTTACAGGCATCTGTAAGTGCCTTATTTTCGCCTTTGGTGCTGGAGAGTGCCATGGTGCGATGTTTGCGTGGTTTCCAGCTGAGTAGACCTCCAAAGGTGAAGAAGTATCCTGTGGTTGGCTTGCGAATGTCTGGACGACCTCCCCAGTCTCAGTCTGACCATCCCACAAATTTGGGAGGTCCTTGGATCGCAGCAAGTCAAAGTTGATGGTGTTTGGTAGCTTTGATGGCTTTCCAGTGTACTTTGCCCAGGTTGGCTAAGAACTGGCTCACAGCTCCTACTGCGCGAGCTATGTCTGGTGTTGTACCAATCATTGTGTGGATCAGACTGCCTACAACAGCTCGGTAGTCTGAAGTTCCTCTGCCATGAAGTGGTTCAGGTCAAGTCTCTTGTTGCTCAAAAGTATCAAATCGTCGACGTAGAGGATCAGGATGAGTGGCCATCCCTCACAGAGTCTGATATAGATGCACTGGTCAGAATCAAGTTGTATGAAGCCTTTCTCGATGAGAGTGCTGTGGATTTTGATGTTCCATTCCCTGGGGGCTTGTTTGGGACCATAGAGGGTCTCCTTGAGTTTAAGCTCCAGATGCTCTTCTCCTGGCTTGATGAAGCCTGGTGGCTGCTTCACATAGATCTCCTCACTGAGGGTTGGGTTCAGGAATGCAGTGGATAAGTCCATTTGGTCCATTTCAAGGTCTTGAGCTGCTCCCCATGACAGGAGAAGTCTTATGGTGTTGAACTTGGCTACTGGAGCAAGGTTTGATGGTAGTCAACTCCGTCTTGTTGTGAGCAGGCCTGGGCGACTAGTCTGACCTTGTAACGTTCAATACTGCCATCAGCATTCATCTTGATCTTGTAGGTTCACTTGCAGCCAAGGAAGTTGCGACTTGATTCACATTGTTGGCTTGAGCTAGCCCTCATTCGAGTCTTTGGCACTTGTTTTTCCAATTCCCTTCAATGGCGCAGGGATGGCACGTTCCCTTCTTGCTGGCAAACCTAGCTGAGCCCCGAGCCTCCTGCTGGTGCCCCGCAGCCCGAACAAAGGCATTTCTAGTCGATCTGACTGGTTTTGAGTTCTCCTTGTGCCTAGCTTTTTTGTTTAGAAGCCTGGCCATCAAGAACTCCATCTCTGAACCAAGCCATCCCTGAACATGCCTCCCCTGTGGGAGCACTTTGTAGCACTCCCGTCCATACCTGGCATCAGAGACTCGGTCATCTGAATGCCCAGCATGTTTAGAAGCTCATCAACTGCTACCAACGCGACATCAGAGTCACCGGACACCCTGATGGTCACATCTGTGAAGTCTGCACGCGCTCCAAGCAGTCCAGAGCACCCTTTACGCTCTACCCGAGCCACGGAAGGACTGGCACTCATCCACACTGACCTCCGTGTGCCAATGAGGATGTCTACCTTTGGAGGCTGCACCTATTTCGCATCATTCATTGATGACAACTCCAGAATCATCTGGGTCAAGCTCCTCAGCAAGAAAGACAACACCTTTGATGCATGGGAGGAGTACAAGGCTCTTGACAAAGGAGGCGAATACCAAATCTACCCAGTTCGCTGTTGTCCTCAGAAAGGCTGGAACCCAACACCAGCGTGCTTCTACCGACACCTCACAGCCGAATGGAGCAGCGGAACATATGAATCGAACTCTAGTCAAAATGGTATGCTGCCTACTCACTCAGGCTGGTCTCAGACACAAAGACTGGGGAGAAGCTCTGCTTGCAGCCATGATATCTGAAATCGCGGCCCTATGGTTGCCGTCGACAACTTTAAGACACCATATGAAGTCTTCTTTGGTCGCAAGCCCATCCTCCTTCATCTCAGAGTGTTTGGATGCATAGCCCATGCTATGGTACTCAAGAAAAACCGAGGAAAAGTGGACAACAAAGCCAGGAAGTGCCTCTTTCTCGGCTATAGTTCTTCCAGCAAAGCCTGGAGGCTCCAGTCACTCGAACCCAATGATCAGGGCGCCATTATCGAATCCAGAGACGTCCAGTTCAATGAGAACAAGTTCTACAACAGCCTGGACAACGAAGATACACATGAAGACACGTCAGATCGCTCCTATGACAGCTTAGCGAGCTTTGAATTCGATCCTGAGCCTGACAACATTGTATCGCGCGCACCCAAGCCTACAGGCAACACTGAATTACGCTCGCACGCTGCAGAGGGGGATTCTGAGCTTCCTGACGTGTCTCCCAACCCACAACCTGACCGTGAGTAATGGGCAGAGGCCCCAGAGGACCTAGATGACCAGGAAGATGACGACTTGGTGCATTATGGACACATCACATGCTCCCAGAGCACTCGAGTGCGCCAAAGCAACCTTGCCTATGCTCCGGCAACCAAAGTACTGCACCCAGAGCCCAAAACCTTCAGGCAAGCTCTAAACTCGAATGCTTCAGCCAGGTGGAAGGAAGTCATGGATGCTGAATACGCATCCCTGGTCAAGAACGGCACCCAGGAGCTCTGTCCAGCACCCAAAGATCGCAACTTTGTCTGCTGCAAGTGGATTTACCACAATCAAGATGAATGCTGATATGGCAGTATCGAACGCTACAAGGCCAGACTAGTTCCACAGGGCTTCTCACACAAGAATAGGGAGTCGACTACAACAAAACCTTTGCTCCAGTAGTCAAGTTGGACACCGTCAGATGTCCGCTCTCATGGGGAGCACCCAAACTTCCCAAAATGGACCAATTGGACATTTCCACCGCATTCCTGAACCAAATGCTCAGTGAAGAAATCTATATGAAGCAGCCACCCGGCTACATCAAGCCTGAGCTGAGCTAGTTGGAAAGCAAATTTAGCCCCATATAATTTAAGTAGGTATTTTCGCACACTATAGTCTTCAACAAGCTCCAAGGGAATGGAACACCGGATTTTATGGCACACTTCTTGGGAAAGGCTTCAACCGCCTTGATTCAGACCACTGCATCTACATCAGACTCTTTGAGGGATGGCTCTTTGTTCTAGACCTCTCTCTCGATGATCTCATACTTTTGAGCAACACGAGACTCGATCTTGACCATTTCAAAGCCAACCAACTTCAGAAGGCGTATGAAATGCGCGACCTTGGTGCCCCACACTACTTTCTGGGCCTCCTAGTCACCAGAGACCGAGCCAAACGAATCCTGACGCTTGCCCAGACTGGGTCAATAGAAAAATAGCTTGAAACATACGGCCTGGTCGATTGCAAGCTGGGAGCCACACCCAGTGCTGTAGGAAGCCCTCTCACCAAAGAAATGGTACCTCAGACGTCTGAAGAGACTGCACAGATGCACACCACGCCCTATCGAGCCATTGTAGGCAGTCTGATCTACGCGACGATTGGGACAACACCAGAAATCACTCAAGCAGTCGGAGCTGTGAGCAAGTTCTTGGCCAATCCGGGCAAAGGGGACTGGAAAGCTGCCAAACACATTCTAGCCTATCTGAAGACGACCAAACACCATCAACTTGGACTTGGTGTGATTCAAGGACCTCCCAAACTCTTTGCGTGGCCAGACTCAGACTGGGGAGGTTGCCCAAACACCAGACGATCGACAACAAGATAGAAGCTCCAGGAAAGAAGCTCCAGAATCCTATAAAAGGCAGACGTGTTGCCCATCCCCTCTCTTCACTTTACCCTCTTCAATACACATCTTTCTCTCGCACTACCGTAGCTACGGTACTGTCTTCTACATCACAACACTGCGCTCTGGGCGCCCATATATCTTGGTCATCATCAAATCAGTTTTAGTCACCTCTCAGATACACCTATATCAGCTAAGGTTTCAATAGAAAACGTGGTTCTGGGCCTGGATGTCTGGTAAACTTTTGAGACATCTTCAGAGCCTTCCAAGACTCGTCCTAAGTCTTGCAGAGCCTTCCAAGTGCTGCATCTTGATGTTATCGCAATACTCACTCTCACTTGAAGGCTCTCCAGCCTGCAAGGGCATCCCAGCTTGCAGACGTGTGAAGTCTGGCAAGGGTAGGGGTTGGTGAGCGCATCAGCCAGCATCTCCTTTGTTGGGAAGTACTGGAGGATAACTGTCTTGTGTGCGACTTGTTCACAAATGAAGTGATATCTGATGTTGATGTGCTTGGTTTGGGCATAATGAACGGGGTTTATCGCAAGGGCCATGGCACCTTGGTTGTCTTCCCAGACGCCTGTGGGACTATGGTCAAGGTCTGTGTTGTCATGATGCTTGCGAAGATCCTTGAGTAGGAGACTGCTGTAGTGCGTTGTTTGCGTGATTTCCAGCTTACTGGACCGCCGAAGGTGAAGGGGTATCCTGTGGTCGATCTTCGAGTGTCTGGGCAGCCTCCCCAGTCTGAGTCTGACCATCCCACGAGTTTGGGGGTTCCTTGGAAGGCTCCCAGTCGAAGTTGGTACTGTTTGGTCATCTTGAGATACCCCAAAATGCGTTAGGCAGCTTTCCAATGTCCGTTGCCTGGATTGGCCAAGTACTGGCTCACAGCTCCAACTGCTTGGGCTATGTCTGGTCTTGTGCCGATCATTGCGTAGATCAGAATGCCCACAATGGCCGATAGGGCTTGTTCTGCATCTCTGCAGTCTCTTCAGGCGTTTGAGGTTCCATTTCCTTCGTGAGAGGGCTTCCCACGCACGACGCTGGGAGTTGATACAGGCTTGCAAT